CACCCCCTTACATTGGTCCCTGACATACCATGACAGATATTGCCTTTGAACACTTTGACCCGGAAATAGAGCTATGCAACGTTGACGAAAATGGTCGCCCTATTCGTCCTCGGAAAAAGCCTGGCCGCAAACCAAATCCACCCTCACCAGCTCAACGAAAGGCACAGAATCGGGCAGCTCAACGGGCATTTCGTGAACGCAAACGACGAGAAATGCGTGAAGCTGAAGCCAATGTCAAACGAGCATTGTATGCACGCGATCAAGCAGTACGAGAAGCCAACAAATTACGACGTCGAGTTAAGGATCTCGAGTATGAGAACAAACACTTGAAAGGCTTCATGCTGACACTGAAGCTTGCTTGTCATGCTCATCGAGTGGATGTACCGAACTATTCAGACTCTGGTGCACGTGATGAACTTGGCAATGAAAAGATGATGGAATCCAGCTCCAATGTTATGCCACAGAACCTTGAATTCTTTTTGGATCGACATTCTCATATCGTCAGTCTACAAGATGAGAGTTTACCAAAGAGCATTGATCCACAATCACCTGGCAGCATGAATAATGCATCGACACCATCATCATCCAATTACAGTATCAGCACTGCTCACAACACACAATCCTCCACGCTCGAACAATTCCTTCTTTCTCCACCACAGCATGAAAAGTCGATGCCCGGCAGCTTTGATTTTGGATCAGAAGATCCAAGTTCTTCATCGGAGCCTTTACCACCCTTAGATCTCACTCAGACAGCCACAGCTCTCCTTCCTCAATTACAATCCATCAACAATACCACAAGTCAACTAAGTCAAATCGATCCAAGCATCTTCCAAGGATTGATGCAAACAGAACTCGTATCGGGCTTCATTGATCAAATCACTCGCCCTGAATTCACCATCGATCAAACACCTCCAGAATTAGCAGCTCTCCTTCCACCCGAATGGCGTACTTCTTTACATGATTACAGCATAAGAACTCGTAGCACCGACAAAGGAGACGACGACAATGATGATGATCACAATGAACCCACCATCAAAGCTGAAACCATCGAGACCAACAACGACCATCATATGCCTGATTTGTGGAACTCTCATCAACAACAGGAATCATCGTCATCATCATCATCACCCACCAAACCACGCTATACAGTGGGTCCTAGTGGAGAACGAATTTATCCCCCCATGACACCCCTTGAGTATTTGGATGAAATGCGTACGATTCAACGCACTGACAAGAAAACCTGGGCATTTTTCGAGCCAAGTAAGTCTGGGCGGATTTTCTTTTCGGGAAAAAGGGGGGGTAGGGTTGTTTGTAGGAGATGGGATGTGTGGGAGAGAACTCTCACACACACACTCACATACACGCTCACGCTCTCATTTAGCTGAATTACAACGCAACGTACCTCATGATATCCGTATTGATGTGATCCCTGGTGCCATGATGCGTGATCAAATGATCCTTTTCCAAGATTATTACGATGGCAACGAGTTATTCAATTTCTTATTCAACACGGCCATGTTCATGGGTGGCTCACCTGGCAACCAAGATCATTGGTTTGTACCACCAAGCTTTTTACGCAAATACTGGTTCCTTGTTCCCAATCAGAAACCACCCTTGCGTATGGATAATAGCGTGGAAATCGTCGTCTATCTTGGCAGCCGATTACAAGATGCATTGCAACTACGTAAACAAATGTACTATGAGCGCGAACGATACATTGAACATTTCCCACCCCCTGGTGCCTATGATGTTGCCGCTGCTGCTTCACCTTCACCTTCCTCATGTGCTGATCAATCCGCCATGCAAATCGAAGACGAATCATCGGATCATCAACACCACCAACAACACCAACACGATCAGTTGAGTGATGATAGTAGAGGAGACAACAACAACGATGTCACATTTACATCACCGATAAGAGATGACATGCCAATAGGTAAGATTGGATTGGATGAGGAGGAAGCGTCTTTGAGTGCCACAGACTTATGCCATTTTCTTTATGCAGACATGATCATGAATGTAATGGAAACCATGCCACGATTGACATCGCCACTTCCTTTCGAATGAAAAAGAGCAGGACTTGATTCATCGATAAAACTGTAGTTGTAGTTGTAGTTGTAGTACAAGCATCATTCTTGGTTTCCACCTTTGTTGAGTAGTAGTATTCGTGCATCATCACCCTTATTTATTCCTCTCATCTTCTTTTTTATATGCGATGCGTTTCTTTTTAACATTTTGGACTGGGTCTTGTACATGGGGAAAATCAATTTACCTTGTGGCTCAGAGATTTCCTATATGTGTGTGTGTGTGCCTCTCTATTATTTAGAAGGAAAGGTTGGCAGCTATCATGGCTGAGTTGACAAGGTCCCCGGTAGTAGTAGTAGTAGCTTGTATTGTGCAAAGTTGAAGGATGGCAACAAGATTTTATGCAGGTCGCTATGGTGATGGTGGTGCATCGGGTATTGTTTGTGTTCATGTCGCCATGGTTGCATAATGCCACAAGGTCACAAGTGGGGGAACACATACATCATTTTCGAAAAGGAAAGAAGAATGATTGACGTAGATAGCAATAACAACATTCATCGACTTGAGTTTCCTTCCCCAATTCTATTTTTATGCAGTAAACCGGGAATAGCATTTGCAGAAATAAAGAAAATTTCTTTACTTGTATACTCACGAAAGTGGAATTGTCCTCTACATACACGTATACACATACACAACAACTACCCCATGCAATCACAAAGTTGTCTGTGTGCAAACTTGAATATTATGCAAACGAAGCCAGTATAAAAACGATCGACGTTGCGCGTGAAATTGAGGATTTAGTAGCATCCAACACATGGGTATGTCCGCTTTTGTCCGCATTTCCAAAGATTCTAATGCCTCTTGTCTCTCTCGGTAGATCGGGTTGGGATGCACATGACCTAATTACGCAACATGTCTGGTACAACCTGGAGCACCGATCTCCCGTGCAAGTAGTCAGCAATCACCGTTGTCGGCAGAAATTAAGGGAGACAACAACAACAACCAAATCAAAAACGCCTCATGATCCCATTTGGTTTTCTCGAAATTTGATTGTCAATGTCAACGCCATCATCATCATTTTCTCTTGTTTCTTTGTTTTACACAACATAAAGACTAAGGAGGCAAAGAAGCGGATGTGATGTTATATTATGTACATGATTTTGTTAGCGTCGAAACGATTCCCGAAAGGGCAACGCGGTTGCTACACAATGGGTCCATTTGGCAGCCAAAAGTCAGCGATCTTGATGGTTGGTGCTCACTCCCCCCTCCTCTCATTATGCTCATTCATCTATTCTACTACTACCCACACAACAATTTGAAACCGCTTATAAAAAGGGGGTGGGTTCCCTTCTCATTTGTCAGGTCAACCACACATTACATCCTTTTTTCTTCCACTCTTTTATATCCATTATGAAGTTCCAACTTTCCACTCTTGTCCTTGCCTCTCTCGCTGTTGCCCCTATTCTTGCTCAACAAGAAAACTGCAACTGTGATCCCTCTGATACCGAATGCATTTCAGGCTGTGGTATGTATCATGTATAAAATGTCATCCATCCTATGCATGCATGCTAATGGATTGCCTAATGAATAGTTACGGGTACCAATGATTGCGTTACTCAATGCAAGAATGATACCGATTGCTTCCAACAATGTGTGAAGGGATGGCCTGGTGTTGGCGAATCCGGTAGTGCAGGTGCTGGTGGTAGCGATGGTGCTGCTCAACCTACTGCCAGTGATGGTGGTGCTGCTGCTGGTGCCAGTGGTAGTGATGCCGCTGGTGGTGCTGATCCCACTGCTGCTCCTTCAGGTGGTGATGCCGCTGCCTCTGGTGATGCCTCTGCTTCTGGTGATGCTGCTGCTTCTGGTGACGCTGCCGCAAGTGGTGATGCCGCTGCTTCCTCTGGTGCTGCTGCCTCTGGTGACGCTGCTGCAAGTGGTGATGCCGCTGCTTCTTCTGGTGCTGCTGCTTCTGGTAGTGAAGGTGCTTCAGCTTCATCCTCTGGTGCTGCCTCTGATGCTTCTGGAAGTGATGCTGCTTCTGAAAGTGATGCCGCAGCTGATGGTGAGAGTGCTGCCAATGGTCGTGCTTATCCCCAAATGCTCCTTGGTGCTGTTGCAGCTGCCATTGCCACTGCTTTCTTCGCTTAGATAAACCCCATACCACCACCATTTTCTTTTACATTACCTATCATTCCATTTATTTTGTACGTTGTAATCTAAAACGATCGTATCTGTCACTTGTATATTCAACACTCTTGGATTGTGATGATTTTTTATCGGTGGATGGACCAATCATGTGACTCTAAAGTAAAGGGAGATGGGGTATGCTTCATAGCTAGATGATTGTATATAGAAGAGAAGAGCGATTTGATTCAAGGTTATTATTTCATAGGATGATGGTATCATAAGTGTATCCAATGGCGACGGTGGTGTGTATGTGAAAGAGGATGAAAGATGAGTGGGTTGGGTGGTGGTGGTGGTGATGGTGACGATCTTGGAAGGTGCGTCACAGAAAAATGTCCGTGGTCGATAGCTGTAAACAACTCCTTGTCCATTCCTCTGCCAATCTCAATTGATCAGCAGCTGCACCATTGCGAGCGACCACCTGTTATGACAACGAGAGGGAAGTCCTGTTAGCTTGTTCTACTTGTTTTCTCTTTTCGACATCGACATCTCCCCACTCTTTCACATACACACCTGTCAACATCATGTTTGGATCCAAAGCAAGACCACTCAACCATTTGCAGCGACAACGTATTACTTCCAATCTGTTTGTTATGGTTGCCTTGGGTGCCGTGGCAACAGTGGCAGCACCTACCGTATTTCCATGCCCTGCTTTTGATCAAAACGACAAAGCTGCACGACTTGAAGCGCGTCGAAAACTCAAGGCTCAACAAGGCAATACACCCGTGATTGTCAAGAAGCGACGTACCCCAAAGAGTCAAGAGCAACAACAAGAGCAGCAGCAGCAAGAAGAGTAGACATTAACTATTACATATTTTCAACCACACCCACACATCCATCTTACACGCCACTGTCATTATAGTATCAGCTTTATCCGCAATCATCAAACATGTACACACATTATTGAATCGCCCATATTCCTTCTTCATGTATCATCCTCGCTTATTTAGAATGTGACACGATAAAGCATATCATGAACCTCCTTTTTCCTATAAGAAAAAAGCGCGCGCATCGACCAAGTGATCCTTCTTTCTCCCTGTGAAGGGTGACCCTTTAAACAACGAAATTCTCGGGGATGCATAAGGATGTGAGAAATGTGATGTGATGAAATACAAAGCTGTCGGAAACATCGGGTGTTGTTAGGGAAAAGCGTTGTGCAACACTTGTTGTAGTACAAGCGAGCCACTAAGCGCGCTCATTCACTCTTTACAGAGAGCGAGAAAAAGAGAGCGAGAGAGCGAGAGAGAGAATGAGAGAGAGGGGATTGTGTACAGCTGCTGTTACAGGACTCTCTTTTTCCTTTCTGCACAAATAATCAAAAGTATTACTTGTTACTCATCACTTCTCCTTTCCCCCTTTCATAACCTTTTCTATTTCAACACGCATCACATTTTTGCTACTTGCTTTCTTTCTCCTCAAACCCTCTCGAAACGTTACACACTAACATGACACTAAGCGAGGTAAAGAGAACAAGATGAACACACCCAAAGTGCCATCTCGCTCAATGGTCATTGCTAGGATTCCTCGTTGCAACCACAATCCCCGAGCGATACTCAACAAGGTAGTATATTCATGCTTTATTTTTATCTCCCCGGAAAATGTGAAACCTAGGAACGTATGTATCTCTTACATTTCTCTTTTCAACTCTAGTGGTCGATAATAGCAACAACAACAACAACACCCATTCGACATTGACTACCACCGATGATACTACTACTACTACCATCAAAGATGACAAGCAACAACATGTAGTGGATGATCATGACACCCATTTGGAACAAGAACGCGCGCTTGAAACGGATCAAGATCCAGTAACCGATTCATCAAAGGCAACAGCTATCCCAACAAGTGAAAAGGAAGCATCTCAACAACAAGAAGCTTCTAAACAGGATCCTGCAGAATCACCTGCGGCGGACATTAAGCACGACGACGACAACCACTCGGCAGCAGCAGCAGCAGCAGCAGCCCCTGCCCTCGCATCATCCTCATCACCTGAAACACCCATCACTACCACTACTACAGATACTCCCAATTTGGATACTATTACTACCACTACCCCATCATCTATTGAATCCAAGCAACAAGATGAGATCAAGAAGGATACATCAGAGTCTGAATCTGTGGTGGAGAAGGTGGTGGATAAAGAGGAGGAGGGAAAGATTGCAAAGATGGAAACGGCTGCTGCTGTAGATGAGAAAGCAACAACCCCTGTCTCGGAACCACAGGAAAAGCTTACCGATGAACCAGCATCTGTACAACCTCCCACAAGCGAAGCACACAACTCTGCCACCAACAATATCGACCAAGATGATAATGCTGCTGATGCTGTTGCTGATATTAAGGATGAACAACATGAATCGTCATCGTCACAACAGGATACAATCGATCACAAGGATGATGAACAACCTTCTGTGGCAAATCAGGTGGATCAGAAAGCTCCCACTGACGATGAAACACAATCGTTGGCTGTTGGCGTTGAGGGTGATGCTACTACCAAGGATGCCAAGATTCAACGTACTTTGGCTATTATCAAGCCCGATGCCATTCAAGCCAACAAAGAGAATGCCATCCTTGACAAGATCAAGCAATCGGATTTCGTTGTTGTTCAAGAACGTGAATTGCATTTGACCAAGGAACAAGCGGGTCTGTTTTATCGTGAACATGAAGGCAAGCCATTCTATGATGAATTGACTACTTGGATGAGCAGGTAAGTTTATAATGGCGAATTTCATCTAATATATGCAATGCATTGACACGTGTCCCTTTTTAGCGGCCCCATCCATGCCATGGTGCTTGAAAAGACCAATGCTATCCGTGATTGGAGAGAGCTCATGGGCCCCACTGATCCAAACAAAGCACGTGAGATCGAGCCCAATAGGTAGGTTCCTTGTTGTTGTTGTTGTTGTTGTTATTTATACAAAACATGTCGGCTGATGTGATCCTTTAGTTTGCGTGCATTGTTTGGCACCGATGGAATGAATAATGCCACACATGGCAGTGATTGCCAAACCAGTGCTGAACGTGAAATCGACATCATTTTCAATGCCATCACTTCGACTACTGAAAAGGAACCACTTGAGCAACCCAAGGAGAAAGAAAGTGTCGCAAAGCCTGTGGAGGATGCTGCCAGCAATGATGAATCGGTGAAGCAACAACCGACAAATGCTGATTTGGTTGCCAAGGAGGATGATACCAAAACCAACATTGTGGAAGAAACGACAACGACCGTATCAGCTGATGACAAGTCCAAGTCGAATGATGATGAAAATAAGGAGGTCGAGCTTGCATCATCGAATGAAACGACTACAGCCGAGGAACAGCATGTTGAATCTACTGCCACCACCACCACCATTGATGAAAAGGAAATTGAGAAATCGGTGCCTGTTGTTGAAGAGCCTGGAAAGGAAGCATCCAATGGAAAAGAAGCCGAGAAATCAGTGCCTATTGTTGAAGAGCCTTCAAAGGAAGCATCCAATGAAAAAGAATCTGAAGATGAGACATCCAAGGCAAAGGACTCAGAACATGTGGTCATTGCTGAGACAACTGATTCCTCTGCTACTGCTGCTACTGCTGCCATGCAAGAAAAGCCATTGGAACAATCAACTGCTGATAATGCCGCACCTGAACAGCCAAAGGAAACTTCCAAGCCTAAGGAAGAGGAGGAACTCAAGCCCACCAATGACAAGGCTGACAACAAAAAGGCATCAGCAACACCATCCAAGCCAAAGAACATTAAAAACTTGATGGCCATGTTTGAGAGCGATGGTTCAAAGGCACCTGAGAAAGCAGCTGCACCACCACCAAAGAAGATTGTCAAGGAGCTTTCTTCATCCAAGAAGCCTGTTGAGCAAGCACAAGCTCAAGCTGAAGAATCTGTCAGCAAGGATAAGGTTGATGCATCGAATGACGCCAAATCAATTGAGCACAAGGAGAATGAGCAATCGGCTACCACTATCCCTGTTGTTTCCGAAGAGCCATCTTCTACTCAAGAAGCCGTCAAAGAGGACAAAGAAACCAAGGAGGATGACAAGAAGGTCAACAAAGAAAAAGTGGCAAAGGAGAAAAAGGAGGCAGCTATTGAAAAACAATCGTCCAATGAATCAAGTGGTTCATCCGACAAGGCTTCTGGTAAAAAGACTACCACAACAACAGCAGCAGGTAGCAAAGTGCCAACAGCCACCAAGCCAAAATCGCCTTCTCGATCACCCCAACGCAAAACGGCCACTACCACTGTTTCATCCAAAGAAGAGCGTACCAAAAAGGCAGCTACCACCACAACTGTAAAGAAAACGGTGACTGAAAAGAGATCGGGTGGTGGAAACACTGTTACTACACGCACTGTTACTTCGACTACAAAGCGCATCTCACCCACTTCTGGAGCAGCAGCAGCAGCTGGTACAACAACGGCCAAAAAGACAACCACAACAGCCAATCGTGTGCCTCGTGTTGCTACGTTAGCAGCCAAAAAGACATCACCACCCAAGGAAGAGGAAAAGGCACATGCACCTGCTAAAAAGACGACTACTACTCGTACATCCGTGTTTTCAAGATTGACTGCACCCACAGCTGCTAGTGCTCGTAAACATGCGGATGACAATGCACAAACCGCCACTACCACCAAAAAGACGACTACTGGTTCTTCTCCTCCACGTCGTATCAGCCCATCCAATACTGCTGCCAGAAGCACCGTTGCCACCAAAAAGCCAGCTACCACTACCACTGCAGGTCGTACCACTGTTAAAAAGACATCACCTACTGCATCTGGCACTGATAGTAGTGGTGCTCACACTACAACCAAACGTGTCGTGCGTCGTGCACCAGCTGGTGCATCAGCTACCAAGGCTACTGGAACAACTACTACAAAGAAGGTAAAAACGGGGGGAGGTTGATGAAAAAGGGATATTGTATTTGCAATAAGTAGGCTAAATGTCATTTTGATATCTAGGTGGCCGATCCTAGCAAGCGTGTGGCATCCAAGACCAAACCTGTTGCTGCTGGTGCTGCTGCTGGTGATGATGCCAACAAAGTTGAGCATAAGAGCGAATCGTCTGGATCAGAGGAACAAGAACAAAAGCAAGTGACAGTGATTGAAGAGCCTCCCAAAGAAGAAGATGAAAAAGAGCCTTCATCATCATCAGCAGAAGCCAATGGAAAAGATGTTGTCATGACCGATAACAAGGAAGAAGAGGAGCCACAACAACAACAACAACAGGATGCTGCTGAAGCAGTATTACAAGAGCCTTCTAATGTACATGATGAGGAAGTTGCATCGATTGTTGTACAACAACCTGAACCTCCAGCTACACCTCCCAGTGATGGTAAGGAATCAGCATCCTCTTCACGAGCCAAATCGCCCGAGGTGACCTCTTTGCGTAACAAGTTTGAAACATCCTTGTCCACCAGCAGCAACGCATCCAACGATACCTCTCACCTTAAAGATGCCCGATCCGTCTCTCCTAGCAATCGTGTCAAGGACATGATCAATCGCTTTGCCGGATAGAGTGATTATCTAATATAACTTTTTTGCTTATCATTTCACACACCATTTAATAAACATCCATCGCTAGATCGATATTCTATGCAAATATTCTTCTTCTTCTTCTTTCATATTGTACATAGAGAGTTGTTTTTATTGGAGTACCATAGGAAGGAGATGATTTACTCTATATACAAGCTTTTGATATGATGCGTCGTCATGTCAACCATGCACGTGCTCCCGACTGATTTAATTCTGAGACCGACATTAATCCTTGTGGTCGATATGCCGCTTCTTGAACGACAACACGACACTTTCCAATCATGATGAAATCCACGAGCGCCCTCAAGAAAAAGGGCACAGCAGGAGCCGATGTCTTTCGACGAAAGGACAAGGATCGCGATGCGACAAAGTTCAGTTTCAAATCGGGTTCGAGTTCGAGCTCTCCTTCTTCCTCATCCAGAATTGGTTCACCCAAGGCATCAGCAGCAGCAGCAGCTTCAACAACAGCAACGCGAAAGCCAAAGCCGGCACACCATCCCAAGCAAACCAACATGCCACTCTCCAACAGCCCCATTACCCTCGATCTCCATCGCTTTGCCGATAGCAACATGAACCCGGAAGAATGTATGTTTTATGCAACTGAATAGGATATGACAAGGAGTCGTCGTATTCACTGTAATCTATGTCTATCTAGTTGTGCGACGTTCTCTTGCCGACACCAACGAAGAAGGCATTCGAGCATTCCATCGATCGCTTGTAGAGGCCAAACATGTGATTGGAGGCGACCTTCAAAGGAACGTGTATCGCAACTACACAGAGTTTGTCACCATTTCCAAAGAAGTATCCAATCTGGACGCCGACGTCTTTCGACTCAAGGGATATTTGAACGAGCTCAAGAGCATTTGGGAAGGGTTCGTGGAAGAGGCCAATCCCTCGGAAGATATGAAGCCTATAGGTACATTTCCAATTGACAACGTGAAAGAGGGAACGAGATGACTTATATACAATGCTATTAGACGCCATTGGATTGAATGATGCTATCTTACCACAGAGGAAACACAGCGACATGATACCATCGGATTTGCAAAGTATCTTTCGTGCTCAAATCGCTGCCTTATGGGAAAATGTGGAAGGATCTCAGGTATCTATCGTTGACCCCTGGTATGAGTGAGTAGCTTTTAACGTGGATCCTATGATCAGCGCTTTGTAGCTTATACCCAGGGACGTCATATCGTGAGAGAATGTGCCAACTTTTTCGACATCAATCCAAAGACACTGCAACCACGTCAAGCTGTGCATATCTTTTTGTTGAACGATTGCTTGTTGGTGGCATCTCGAAAGAAGCGTTCGGCAACTTCAAAATACAAGCTAGTGGCAGATCATTGCTGGAGTCTTGATGAGGTTACTATTATTGATGTGAAGGATTCAACAGGTAAAGCAAAAGAGTAAGGTGGGAGGATGAATGTGTGTGTGTGTGTGTGTGGAATCTTAATGCATGATACGTGTATAGCCGCTGTCAATGCCATCAAGATTTCGGTTTACCCCAACACCTACATCTATCGTTCCGAGCGTCAAGAAGACAAGTATGCTCTCCTACATGCATACCATCGCACCATGGATGAGAACAGTGATCGTCAGGATGATGCTTCCAATCCAAGTAAGTATAAGGATAGGATTTGAGAAAGAGATGGATATTAATGTTGAGTGTCTAGTCGGCTTTAGGAATGGCAAGGTAACCACGTTTTATGGATTGTATTGGCATTGGCTGACAGGAGTTGCTTTAGGATGCTGCAACAGGTGCTGGTGAGAATCAACGTGCTAGAGAGGGTCAAGATAGCGACATTGAACCTGGAGATCGGAAATGGTTGGAGGATTTGCCGGATGAGCTCGAGGTGGTGATTGCTCTGCGACAGTTTGAGACAGCTGTTGGCTATATTGAGCAAGGTACATGTAACATTACATCATTGCTATGCAGGTGTATTGATTGTTTGTATTTGTTTGTTTTTGTCTTATATAGCCAAAAAGATGCTTGATTCATATCCTCAGCCTACTCCCTTGTTACGTGCCAGCAAAAGCAGAGTCCAAAAGTATTCCGAATCGCTCGCATCCATCATCAGTCAAGATCTCCAAAACACGCTTCTTACCAAGCTTCAATTCCAACGCCTTGTCAATTGGCTCTTGCGGTTGGATAAGGGTGATGAGGCAAGTATGATGTGTTATGTGTGTAACGGAAAGCTGACGATGGAAATATGTATCCAGGCACGCGAGGTGTTTTTGAATACACGTTCACTCATCATCAAGAAACGCATTCGGCAGTTGACATTTGAAGGTGACAGCACAACGTACATCAACGAGCTTGCATTGGTGGTCTTTACTCTTATTCGTAACACGTGCGAATGGTATCGAGATTCTTTCAAGCAAAACGAGATGGCTTCAAGATTCATTACTTGGGTGCGAGAGCAAACAGAGATCTATGCTGATATCTATAAGCGACAAGTCTTCAACCATAGTCAGCTCAACTGCCAGATTATTGCTGATTGTTTCAAATCTACGCTTGATCAATGCTCCATTGTAAGTATCGGAATAACGGAAGGCAAACCGGATAGCTGAGCTAATGAGGGGTGTCATCCGATCGATAGCTGCGCAAAGTGGGTCTCGATCTCAAATTCATGCTCGAGGATTTCTTTTTGGACAATGTGCGCGAGACCGTCCTTGCCTATGAACGACGATGCGCTGACAAGGCTGAAAAGTTTGCGCGTGGCGACAATTTCAGCGTTGTATCGAGTCAAAACTTGGGTATGGAAGAATTGGAATGGTGGGAAGGGACTTTTTTGACTGATTAAGAGGGATTTGTAGGTGGTGATGTCCGTGTCACATCCAGCGTTATCAGCTTTTACAATATGCTGATCAAGTTTGTCAATGATATATGTCTCATCGCTAAATTGCAGGTACGGTTTATTTTCACGTGCTTTTGACAAAGAAAATGCCGCTCAAACTCCACTTTTTGTAGTTATACGAGACCGTAGTGCGAAGCATTTCTCGAGTGACAGAACATTATCTGCGTACGATGGTGGATCAATCAAATGGCCAGGTAATCATCATCACTACTACATGTGATAAAGTTGATTGAGCTGATGGAATGGGTAAAATAGCGGTCTGTGGCTTCAATGAATATTGGTTTTGTGCTTGACAACGTGGTGCCACGAGTTTCTTCACAATTGAACGTGAGTAATTGAAACAAGTCAGTGAGATGTCAACGTCCTAACTCTATCTATAGCGACATTTTGATCGGCCGATACCCGAGTTGGATTCCTTGCGGGCAAGGCTTAGAGGACTCGCCAATTGATCATGTTTTTACGGAGCACGTCCCTTTTAATTTCCTCCCCATGACAATCGTGATCACAACTGTTTCGAACCTTCTTTTCTCTTTCACACCCTCTCTCTCTTTTCTCCTTCCCCTTTATTTACAATTTGCAAATAGCATATTCATAAAGAAACGACAACCTCTCCACTACATTCATACACGCTACAATCTCTCGCTCTCACTCTCCTCATGCTCCTTATCACTTGGGTTGCCTTGGAAATAGCATTTTGGTTTTATCTTTACAACACTAAGAGGCGATTTCAACAATACGTCAAACCACAGACATTGCCTACAAAGAATGAGCGACAGCAGCTATTTTGGAATTGTTATCACACCATCAAACATGATTTGAAAAAGTGGTTCGAAGGATGGTTTTATATAGCCAGCAGCCCTGATCGTGCGCATCCCAACTTTAAGGATATTCATCGAGACAATGTGGCCACTTGGTACGTACGCAGTAGTAGGTTTATATCCATGTCGTAATGCTCAATGCATATATTAGGTTTGCATGGGCATTTTGGGTGGAGCAGCTTGACCATGTGCTTTCAAACAACGAATGGGCTCAAGAAATCGAGTGGATGATCAACACCATCGAGAAGGATTTTGATATCGAATTTCCAAAGGGCTATAATGAAGATATTCAATGTATTCGACCGAGCTTCGATCCTGTACAATCATTACACCGACCACTTGCGTTGTACTTGGCCAACTATGTCATGACGTGTGTGTTCAATCGTGTGCTGCTTGAATGGTTTTGGCAATTTGAACGAGGTGGCACGGACTTGCCAGGTGTCATGTGGGGTCATCTCCTGAGACCCTTCCATCATCAGCCGCCTCCACCAACAACAACGAGTGATACCAACAAGTTCAATCATCTCGTATACTGGTCTCTTGTGCCATCAGCATCTCACAAGACATCGCGTGAAGTTCCCATTGTCTTTGTTCATGGTATTGGTGCAGGGCTCACAGTATACGCTGAATTTATTCATCGCCTGGTTCGACTTGGACGACCCATTTTCTGCGTGGAGCTACCTTATGTTTCAATGCGCATGGTAGAGCATGTAAGTTACTATTACGTTGCTATGGTGATGATGATAATGATGATGAACCATGCTTTATTTCCTACTACATAGATTCCAACGCCTGAAGAAACAGTGCGAGAGATCGAGATGATGTTGACAGCTCATGGTTATGACGAAGCTGTTATTGTGGCCCATTCCCTTGGTACAGCTGTTGCTAGTTGGATAGCCAACCTTGCTCCAAAGCGTGTGGCTGGTCTGGTTCTTGTGGATCCCATTTGTTTCTTACTCAATTATCACCATGTTGCATTCAACATGCTCCACCGTATTCCAAAACGAATCATAGAGGCAAGTGCACGTTGTCTTAATGTACTACCATCCTCATCATGCTAATGAACAATACAGTATCTTATACACTATTTTGCATCCCGTGAGCTTTACATCAACTACTACATCAGCCGGCATTTTCAATGGTATCAAACGATCTTTTTCGCTCATCCACCATCAACGACATCCGATCCTCCACCTTCGCCTGTACCACCAGAACAACAAGGACCATTACGCAATGCCACAGTGTTCCTATCCGAAAATGATGCCATTGTTGACAGCCCTTTAATCACCAAATATCTCTATGATGCAGGAGTACAAGCACGTCTTATGCGAGATATCGGACATGCCGAGTTCCTTGTCAATGGTCAATGGAAGGATGAGATTGTGACCGAAGTTGAAAAAGCTGTTAGTTGTATGGAGGATGAAGGATTGGGATTATAGCGCACATGCATACCAAAGTTCTCAATAAAGAATTTGGCATGGGATAGCCGTGATACATAGAGAAATCGAGTGCCTGAAATAATGAACCTGCGTCTTCCTTCCTTCTTTCTTTTTCCCCCTCAGACCCATCGTCGTCGACCCAGCAGACATGCTTCAACATGATGACACGGTGATCCTCGCCTCACTTTCCTTGACCCATGTCCAATTCGACGCCCAAGACAAGATCGCCTATGCCTTCGCCTACATCACCCTGTTGCCTCTCGCCATTCTTGTGTTTTATGCATCTGTCATTGTCAGCCGACGCGAGATGGCAGGCATCCTAATGCTACTCGGCCAATTGACAAACGAGGCTCTCAACGCAATACTCAAGGAGTATCTTCAAATCGCTCGTCCACACTGTATGTTCACTCTTTCCAAACGTGGGATATCGTTTGTATCACGCACTTATCGACTAATTATGCACAATGCATGGATAGCTCATCTTGGTACTGGTTATGGGATGCCGTCAAGCCATGCACAGTTTATGGCATTCTTTGCTGTCTATGGTTCCTTATATCTTTGGTCATGTATGCGGCTGGATCATATCATGTACAAGGTCCTTGCAACACTGGGTATGGTTTCCTTGTCCCTTTTGGTGTGCTATTCTCGGTAAGTGTGATTGTGGATCACATGACGCAAACAAGGTGCTCATTGTTATCCCTATCAAAAAGTATCTATTTGGAATACCATAGTGCAATGCAGGTGGCTGCAGGGATGGGTGTTGGTAGCCTGTATGGGTTGCTATGGCATTGGATTTTGGAATTTGTTATTCGGCCCTCGGGAATCATTGATCGTCTCTTGGATACCCCACTCGCCAAATTGTTCTACCTACGGGATATGCGTGCTATCGACAATGTCGCAAGATGGGAATATCATCAATGGCTGCAACAACGTCAAAAGAGTAAATGTAAGACCAAATAAAGTTTTACACTGTATATGCTTATTGGTTTTTTATTACTGCAACAACTGTTTCAATGAAAAGGGAGGCGACGATGATTATGAATAGTGTGCTATGTATCAAGGGCAACAACATGTGGAACTTTTTAGAGCTGGAAGAATACCAAAGTCGTACCGACCATGGCAAGCGAGGACACAATTGTCAAAGCCTTGGCGTCCGATACAGCACCATTGTCGTGGTTTTCATCGTGACCAGCGGATCCACTTGCATGCAACATGCCAAGGGAGGGTGCAGCAATATGGCTCGTGACCGTGGTATGTGCTATGATACATTGAGCGTCAACATTCAAGTACTTATGCATATGACATGTAGTGTATATTACCTGTGACAGTAGATTGCGATTGTTGGCTATTGGCAGGAGCAACAAGCTTGGCAGCATCTGAAGCAGCATCAGCATAGGGAGCTGGAAGATCCGAAGGCAAGGCATCAGCGATATCCGAAGGCAAGGCATCAGGAACAGGCATATTGGAACCAGTGGGAAGATCTGCTGGCACGGGATCGACAATGGGAGTAGTAGGAATACCACCTTGAGGAGAACCCATCTTGTGCTTGTGATCATCCTCATCATCATCGTCGTCGTCTTCATCATCATCACAATCTTCGTCATCTTCATCGTCATCTTCATCAGAGCTCTTTGCATATCCAGCAGGCAAATCGGATGGGATTTCATCCTTGGGAATATCGGAAGGCAATGCATCAAGAGGGATACCAGAAGGCAATGCGTCAAGAGGAATATCAGATGGCAATGCATTGAGTGGGACATCAGGGATTCCTTGTTCATCCACCAAGTCTTGAATCATATCCTTGAGTTTGTCCTCATCGAATTTGTCTTCGGCGGCAACAGACGAAGGTTCAGCAGCAGCAGCAGGCTTTGGCAAAAAGTGATCAAGCAAATCATGATCCAAAGGAAGGTCCTTGGGAACAACACTTGGAGCAGCATCAGCAACAACGTCTTGAAGCAAGTCCTTGATCTTATCCTCTTCCTCACTCTCATCAGCCAAAGGGGATGGTGTTGTTGTTGTCGTTGCAGCATGACGCAAATATTGCTCAATCAAATCATGGTTCAAGCGGACACCTTTAGGCATGTTCATGAGGAGATCTTTGATGGAGGGGATGTCACGTGAATTGTCATCGTCTTTGATGTTGTCAAGAATATCGGGAAGATCGGGAACGTCAATGTCGGGCAAGTCGAAATCAGATGATGGGATCTTTTGTGGCAATCCTTTGATGGTTTTCGATTCATCCTTATCCCAGCTACTATCATCATCCCAGTCTTCGTCATCCCAATTGTCATAATCATCCTCCTCGTCATCGTCACAGTCTTCATCGTCGTCATCATTGCCATTATCGGCAGGCTTTGGCAAAGGATTGGGGAAGGTATCCGAAGGAGAAGGCTTATCATCATCTGGCAGTGGGAAAGGTAAGATTGAAGGTGTAGGCTTGATACCATCTGGTAATGGGAATGGCAAAATAGAAGGAGAAGGCTTGCTACCATCTGGCAAAGGGAATGGCAAAATGGATACATCATCATCATCGCCATCATCGCTTTCAGCAGGAAGAGGGAATGGTTTAGGTGTTGGCAAAGGAATTTCGTGGATCACATTGGGAATATCAGGGATCTCTGGAATATCATCCACCATATCTGAAGCAATGGATTGAACGGCAGCAGTGGGATCAGCAAGGAATGAGCTGACAGAAGCGATTTTTTCGGCAATGGATGAAACCGATTGGATGCCTTCGACAATCTTGGGTGGCACAAGTCGTCGTGCACATTGCTTATAGCAATCCTTGGAGGTGATGCCGCATTCCACGACACATCTTTCCATGTCTGCCACTATAGAGAGCATCAATGTGAGCAACATCATGCAAGACCAGCAACAAGGGAATCAAGTACACGTACCACAAGCATCTGTGCATACCGTATCACCTTCAGCACAGCCACAGATCAGGCCCAACGAAGGTTGAGAAAAAAGAGCGACAAGGGTGGTTGCAAAAACGATTGAATAAGGGCGCATACTTGTTGTGATGCTGAATAGTAGTATGGTATAGTAGTAGTAAGTTTGAGTTGAATGGTTTGGACTTGTGATGGAAAACTTCGAGTTTAAATAACCAATAACTTTAGGGAATTCGGATCCAAGCCAAGGAGCTATATCGATTCCCGGTATCCGTTTCATTTGCCGTGGCATAAGGTGTAAGCCAGTCTACCGTGAAAGATCGACGCATGAATTGGTCAGTTTTTGCAATAGCCCATACAAGAGCCGAACGCTGGTTTGCACATGGACCATCATCCCCTTTACACTTGGAGGCCTAGAATCCCTGGTGAAAGGTGTATCGGTTTCTCGGAAGGAATCATGGTCGTCCTCGGTGCACACATACAACAACATTTACACTTTAAGTCACCACTTTGAGCTGCTATCCCTAGTCAATCTCATGAAGACATACAAATAAATCACCAAGGATATTCCTTATTGCTACTATGCCACCCCAAGTTTCCATAGCAACGACTTGTCCATACAACGTTGGATGTCATTAACAAGATCAATATTGAATTCAAAGGTCCTTGTGTGTGTCATTGTAGAGCTATAACATTTCCATGTCAAGTGTGATAAAGTTCTTTGCATGCATTCATTGCATATAGATGACTGCCAATGAAGCGTATCATTATTAAGGAATCGATACTTTAGATTATGCGGTAATAGCAATGGTGTTATGCATCTTGATCCACGTGCTGTGTTCTAGGCAATTGGAGTTGTAAGGATATTTGAGAGCCGCTGGTAGTAAGAAAATCATCATTGATCCATAACCTCCAATAACGGAAACATCCATTCTCCCGGATTTGTTTGAGATCAATCAACAATGGGATACCACCCCAAGAATAGCAGTTTGTTTTGTGTATAACTAAATCAGCCTACATGTCACCAGCCTATGTACATATACATCTCCTTGACATTTTGAAACCCCCTTTCATCAATCCCTATTAGTAGTAGAAAAGCTTTGTGCTTGCATACGACATCGTTAAGGGGGTTGTGGTGTATGCTAACTAATTGCATGTCGCTGCAAGCAAGGTATCATGCATGTATGTAAGTAGGTATCGATCGTGGCTATTTTTGTTGTGTTTGCGAGGCACATGCGACTTTTTTTGTTGTCAACTCTACCACCTCAAGTTTGCTAGATGGCATACATACGCCTAAACATGGGGGCCAATGTGACAATTTTACTGCAGCGCGTGCATTACCTATGTACCCCTGTGTCCAATAACGTGACATTGATTGTGCTGATGCGGATACGAGATCAAGAAAATCTAACATGGAAAGCTATCACATACACGTTGTTGGTGTATGATGGATTGGTATTTGACTATGCAGATAGGGTTTGTGTAAAACTAAAAGCCGAGGGATCCCGATGTCATGTTCAAAAGAGCCTTTTCAATAACAGCTATGGTGGCGATTAACATGTTCGCCGATGTGACGCCCGTAAAGATGGGGATAGGAGAAGAAACAAAGAGGAGAACATGATATTCATATTGGACACGCCCGCCTGTTTGCTTTAGAGATCTCACCCTTGACTCCTGTTGAGGTGTTAAACCCCCTTGTGTTGACCCCTTTAACAGCTTTTGTATATATGTCGCTTGCAAAGTGACCGTCCCAAAAGCCAAGACTTGTCTAATGCTTCTTTTTCTCGATTTGTATCACCTTTTTTCATTCCGGTACTGACTGACCAGGGCAAAAAAAGGGCTCATCATTTATAATTTTCTGTTCTTTGCTTTTCTTTTCAAAAGCACCTGCATGTGCTATCGATCCTATCCAAGGCCACCACCACCATCATCATGTATTTAGTCCACTTTGATCATCTTGAGCAGCAGCAACAACAACAACAACCCTATCGTACATCACCGCCGCCTATGGAACAAATTGTACATCCTACAGCAGCAGCAGCATCTCCAACACCAGCAGCTGCAACCACAACCGAAGAACAACAACAACCCCATAATCAATCACGACGACCTAGCTACGTTGACGTGAATGCATTATCGAGATACGCTGCAGCCACCGAAGAGACACCAAAGCCGATCCATTGTCATAAACGACAACAGCCTTCGATTGATGTCAACACCTGCCGACGAAAACTCAGTCTCTATGGTGACAACCAGAGTCAGGCACGTGCTCAAAAATTTTCCTTTTTTTGTACTTTTTACACGGCTTGGCGCTGACAATCTATGTACCACTCAAATTGCAGATCATCCCCTTTGAGAAGTCAGCCGAACAAGCAGCCTGCTATTATCATCCAGACACGGGTTGTATACAATCAAAATCACTGCTTGATATTCAACATGGCAACCTTGGTCTCCAAGAGCTATTAACAAAAGATCGCTATTGGATTGATATCATGTCACCATCGGTCTCGGAAATGAAGATGATAAGCCAGGTATGTTGTAGTAAGGAGCCTTCGTATAAAAAACACGAGCTGCTGGTGGTGATGGTGGTGAGGAGGATCCAAGACTAATCATTGTTGGGGGTTCATATAGATTTTTCGAATCCATCCATTGACGATTGAAGACATCCTATCACAAGAGACGCGAGAAAAGTGTGACGTATTTAGAGGATATCTCTTTGTATGCTATCGAGCATTTGTACAAGATGGCCAAGTGCTCAAACCTGTAAGCTTTTATAACATTGTGTTCAAAAAGAGCATTCTATCGGTAAGTGTACAACAACGTGTGTGTCACCTTGTGCTTCAATGGCGTCTAATTGTGCCGCTACGTCACTTGTAGTTTCATTTTAGTAGTATTCCCCAGCTGAATCGAGTATACCAACGCGTCGATCATTTACAAAATTACATGTCGGTGACATCTGATTGGATCAATTATGCCATCTTGGATGAAGTCACCGATCAATTTGCACCTTTAATGCATCAGCTTGAAGCTGATGTGGATAGTATTGATGACCCAGCCATGTTACTCAAGGTCAACCACGATGAGACGGAGATGGTGATGCGTATTGGAGCATGTCGTAAACGTGTCATGCAATTGTATCGGCTTTTAGCTTCCAAAGCGGATGTTGTCAAGGCGTTGATAAAACGATTACAAGAAAGCAGTGGCAATGGCAGCGACAACAAGGTAGGCGGCTTGGTGGATGCCCCTCCTACCAGCATGCCAGGAACAATGATGCAGCATCATTCCATGATGGGACATCGACGAGGAGGATCATCCTCCTCTTTTGGATTTATCAAGGATCACAAAGGAAGCAATACCACGAAACGACACAATACCACAAGTGAAGAGGAAAGGGGAAACAACACATTGCCGGATGTCAGTTTGTATCTTGGTGATGTGCAAGGCAAGTGCTTTGTCCTGTGATGCGTGGTGCGCTGCATGTTGTGCAACCTTGAGCGCCCACATTTATTACACAGATATGTTGCTGAACCTTGTTTACCTATTTCCTTAATAGATCATCTCATTACCATGCTACAAAACCTCAGCCATTATGAAACTGTGCTAGCACGAGCCCATTCAAACTACCTTGCACAAATATCAATCAAGCTATCTCAAACCTCCAACTCGACCAACGATGTCATTGGGCGGCTCACTGTATTTGCGACGATCCTGCTGCCAATGAATCTTGTCACTGGTCTCTGGGGAATGAACGTCAAGGTACCTGGGAAAGATTATGACGACCTGCTATACTTTTTTTGGATCGTGGCAAGTCTAGCTCTCTTTGCCATTGGAGCATTTACCCTTGCTAGACGGTTTCAGTTTTTCTGAATAAGAAAAAGAAAAAAAGGAGCTCACACGGGGTGGTTTTTGGTGTGTGTGTATGTGTATGTGGTCTATTGGAAATGATGTACACACCCTTCTTTGAGGGGAGATGACTCTTTGTTTGATTATTTAGAGAAGAAAACAATCTGCTGTTGATTTGCTCACAAGGCAGCATTGTGATTTCAACACTTTTACAGACATGAAATAATGCGGGCGGAGTACATTTGCCATTTCGGTCCGCTAGACCGCTACAATGCAAAGCCGATATTGGGGGTTAATGGGGGGAGAGAAAAGTGGGATGAAGAAGTGAGGGGGGATGTTAAAGCAATATGTAATACGTAGAGAAGAAGGGGTTCCGCTAATAATCGCGAGGGTGATTACGGTTCATGAGACAAAAGAACGAGCCAAGGAGGGAAGGATGAATTACTTTGGATGTCACTTGCATAGTAGAATGCTATACAAGTAAAGAGAGCCGTGCGCTGCACGCTAACAACCCTTTGCTTTCTTTTCTAGACGCACACCTACACACTCACACACACACTTAGTCCCCCCCCTTCCCTCTCTATCTATTCCCCCAAGTTGCTCACTTTTCAGCTCTTCCGCCCTATTCTTTCTTCTTGGTTCTTTCTTTTCGCTTTATTCTTCACATACACTCACACACATACACGTATCACTCTCACACCTTTTCCTTTCTCTCTCTCTCATATACACGATGCACATGGAAATAACTCAAGCCGCTGATTTTCTGGGTCGACTACTTCATTCCAAGTTGGACCAATCCATGCTTCAAGCATTTAAAGAGCAACTGGCCGATTTATTAAAGCAGCGTTTTGTCGACCATTGGGATCCACAGCAACCGTATCGAGGCAACGCATTCCGTGCCATCTCCAACTTTAATGGCCAATTGGATCCAGTTCTCGTTATGGGTAAGTCCATTGTCAAGTGGTTAGTCTATCGTTTGACCAAGGTGCTCATCTCGAGTTGATAGCTGCAGAGAAGGCTATGGTACCGCCTGCGTCGATCCACGCTCACTTGCCACGCGACTTTGTATTATGGATTGATCCATTCTCGGTTTCTTATCGGGTGGGTGACCATGGAAATATCATGACACTCTTTGAGGATCGATCGCGTGGTCGTATCACGCTTAAACCATTAGCGGCGTCTTATATCCAACCAAGAACATCCACTCCCATTCGTATCTCGCCACCAAGTAGTCCAGAAAATAGAAAGGTCAAGAACCATATTCATCAACCATCGCCATTGGCGAAAGATGTCTCTTCTGAGCAGGAACAGCAACAACAACAGCAGCAGACTCAACAACAGCAACAACATCAACAACAGCAGTTGGTCTTGGCAAATTGAATTCGTGCATTGTGTCCAAGCAACACAACATCATCATCCCTCTCTCTCTCTTCCTCTCTCTCTCTCTTTCTCTTTTTTTTACCCCCCTCTCCTCCTGCTCCTCTTTTGTGTTCTCCTCGTTTTTATATCATCCCACACTCTCTCACACATATCCATTCTCACACTAAACACCATTCACGCACGCACCATTATTCAATCACATTACACAAACATCTCACGCACATACTCAGTTTTGATTTCTTTCTCTCTCTCTTTTTTCCTTCCTGTCAGTTGTAAATGCATTTGCTTTTTTGTACTTTGTTTCCTTGATCAAAACAACAAAAATGATGATATTATGCAATCATGGTGATATATATTTCCAATAGATTAATGCAAAAGAAAGAAATAACATGGTTCTATTTACACAAGGGAGAGAAGGGGAAGGGGTTGATAAAAGATGTGAGCAAGTTTCCTTTTTTCTCTTGTCGTGATGGGGGAGTGGAAGGAAGGAGTGTGAGGGTTGTACAAACCATCTTGTCAAGAGAAAGAGAGAGAGTGTGTGGGGGAGGGATGTCAATACAAATATATACGATATATAAAAACAAGAGCGAGTGGGCGAGTAAGAGAGTGAGCGAGAGAGAGAAGGAACGAGGGTATTGGCCATAAGAATCAAAATGCAAGAAAATGTGTTCATCGGAAGAGGGATTGTGTGTGTTGTTGAATGCCTGCTGTAATGTGTTTGTTGCTTAGATGTTGACGAAAAGATTCAATGCAGAGTTGTTGCCACGATTCTCAAATGCCATTTGGACGTCGTCATCGGAATTGATAGTAATTAAATCACCATCCTCATCCTGGTATTTCAATCGTAACATGTCGCTTGGTTTGAGATTGGCCACAAGTCGGATTTTTCGTTCAACCTTTTCCATGAGCTCGGTAAAGGTCACTTGTTCAGCAACCATGATCACATAGATGCCATCATTGTAACTCAGCTTGATCTTCACAGTGCCAGGAGAATTGGGTACAGCTGCCACAACACGATCCACTTGTGCTTGTTGCTGTTGTTGTTGCAAAGAAGCCATCTCTGATAAACGAGGTGTGGATGATACATTGCGTACACCATTGCTCAAAGTAGGATCACGGTTGTAAAGCGTACGAGAATTGATAGGTACTTGTGGCATATCATCCCAATGGGTGATGTTGTGAGACTTGTGAATGTTGGGGCTACTTTGCGATCGAACACGTGTATGGCTTCTTGAAGGACCTGTAGGCATGGGTGGTGGCGATGAAGGATTGTACATATCAGCTGCTGCTGAATGTGAATGACTCCTTGCAGGAACCACTCCCAAGGGTCTGAATTCTTCCGAGTTGGGTGTCAAGACATCCGTAGCATTGAGGAACTTGGTTCCAATATCAACAAGGGGCGAATCATCACCACGACGATGCCATGATGAAGATGCACTGGATGAAGTACGAGTCGATGTTCCCGGTGACGATGGGCTGGAAGGTGGTGGGGATGCTGGGTATAAGCCATAGTCGTTGGGTGATGGTGATGTCGCACTTGGATAGCCACCTCCAGTGCTGCGAGGGATGGATGATAAGCTCATGCTAGGCATTGGCATAGGTGGTCTATTGCTGTTGTGCTTGTTGTTGATCATAAACATGGATGCGTCTTGGCTGTTGTTACGCATCATCTTGGGTCGCATACCAAGTGCTTGTTGTGCAGATACAGAATTGCTACGTGACCTGGCGGCGGTATGTAAATCTTCTTCATCTTCATCTTCATCATCGTCGTCATCATCATCATCCAAATAAAGTCCATCTCCTCGACCCTGGGAGCTGACAGGGGTCATTGGAATACCCATCGATACAAGATGTGTATTAGGCACATGAGACTTGTATGCCATCTTGACCTTGTTAAGCGTGTTCTCCCATAACTTGAGCAATTCCTCATTGCGAAACTTTAGAGAAAAACGTTCCACTTCTCGATCCTTGTACTCAATAACGAGCGTCCAGGTGCCTGGCAGCATAAATGTCAATAAACAAGATACAAAAGGAGATTGTAAATCACACACAATTATGCATACCAGGATGAGAGCGATTGTTTACATTGAGGATACGATTGGTGAAAATGCATCCTTTGTATTGAAGACTTGCACGACGCTTCTTTTTGATCGACAACGTGTTGGATTTGGTCAACTTGTTCTTGGCTGAATCCTTGTTCTCTTTGCAAATCACGAGAGCTTTTTGGAACAAGTACATTTGTAATTCACGTTCCTGATCATTGCTTTCCATAACAAGCTTGTTCTGGAGCAAGAGAGCACCATGACCATCCACAGCATCACGCTATAAAACATAAAAAGAATCAGCCTCATCATGCTACTTGGGTAAAATCACATGTTGTAATTACGTCTGATTCATCAACACGTCGTTTCAAATCTTGAACAGCTTGCATGTTCTCATGCTTGCGTTGTGTCTCGTTGACCTTTTCGGTTACTCGCTTGATGGCTTCCAAGCCTTCTTCCATCTCGGCATAATGGGGCCAATCGCTGCTGGTGGTCTTGATCAGCTGACTAAGAAGCAATGGATACTTGCAGATACGCTGTACAGGCTTGATCAACAAGGAAGGCAATTCATATGCTGGATTGAGAACGTGAGCCAATTTCTCCAGCTTGGGGGTTTCTTGCACCACGAGGTCTTGAGCAGAATAATAGTTGGCACAATAAGGCTCGTATACGGCAAATGGCTCCTCCAATTGTGAAAACAATAAGCAAAAGCGTTGCTCCTCAGGGGCATTCTCGGCCATGTTCTCCAATTGGATGAGGAAACGACGTTGAAAGTCGACGAGCGTATTGAGGTTGCCAAACAAATAATGGATGGTATCAGGAGCAACCACTTTTTGGATTTGCAATTCACGCATGTAATTCTATTGACATAAACAATAAATTAGCCATGTTTACGGTGATGGAATCTAATTAACTTGCCTGCAAGGTTTCAAGATCCTGAACGTATTTGCGCTCTGTTTCCAATAACTCAAGAACGACCTTGTCGCGAGTATCCTTGGGAGCATTGGGATCTGAGTTTCTGTTGGACGATCGAACGTTGATCACGCCATCTTTTTCCAAGAGTTGAATCAGCTTGTCAACAGTGTTTACGACCTAATAAAGTAAATTTAGTACGACCATACACATACATGCATCAACAACAACAACATCCGACGGGGCCCCATTGACAAGCAGTGTCATGTGACATATGCATGCACGTATCCAAGGAGACCAAGAGAACAATGAAATCATTTTTGCTTACCTTAACAAAGCCATTCGTATCATCTTGATACAAATCAGTGATTGTAAATAGTTGGTCTTCGGTGAACTCTAGCTGGTCTCTGCAGGCAACAATGAAATGATACACGCTTGCTTTGCAAATGTTGACTTGGTTGAGAGTGGGGTTTTGGTCCACTTTTAAAGGACTCTCAGTCTTCAAAGCATTGAACAATGTGCACAGGGGCGAACCACGACGACAAAGTGTCCATAGTTTGGAAAGTGGATCTCCACCAGTGGGTGTGGTTGGTTCTGGCGATGAGGGTGATGACGATGGTGGCATGTTCTCAGCATCGGCAAGGTATTGTTCCATGCCTTCAATGGCGGCTAGTTTGTCGAGTACAGAGCGGCAAGTGTGATAGAGGGAAGAGCCCTGTACAGCTGGCTTATTGGTGGCGGTGGGCAGTGTTGGTGTTGGTAAAGGATTGTCGATGACTGAAATGTTGGGAACGTGTGGAAGTGTTCCGAGCGAAGGCGTCCGTCGCTTTAGGGCTAAGGTAGCCATTGTATCTGCAATCAATGATGCGTTTGATCTGGGAAAGAAAAGAAGAAAAAGAGGGACGAGGAAAAGAGAACGGGACCTGAAGAAACCAAAGGTGGGATTTTATTGTCTCTGTGCAACGGATCTATCGTGTGCTGAATAGCAAATTCTTATTCTTCCCGACACGGCACTTGCTCACACACACGCACACACGCACACACACATCCCAAAGATATGCTCTCACACAAGAGATTTTAGCCCAAAAGTCCTTTCTATTATAATTATTATTATTATTGAATAAGCATCCTGTGGTATTATTTAATACGGATCGAAACTTCCAAATGCGTACATCTTATTTCAATGTTGGCCGCCAATCTTACATGGATCATCGTTTCATCGCAACCCCCTTTGATCCCCACATAAAAAAGGTTTGGCTTTGGCTCGTTCCCCTTTCCCCTTGCACATCCACAAGTGTAACTTTGCGGACTTTTTTTCATTGATGGATAGAGAGATCCACAAAAAGAGATCCCGTTGATTCATGATTAGAAAAGATGGCTGTGTTGTTGTTAAACAGGAATCGTTGATGGCTATTTCTCCGTGCATGCATGTTTCTTCCCATCACATTCCATCCGAGAGAGAATAATACGTCCTATGCTTATATTACTTCATGTGAAACAATCTTACGTCTATCCTCGACCCATATTTGGCCAGACCGTGAAATCAGGGAAATCACAGTCTCTTTTGATTAGCCGCTCTTTATCCAGCCACCCATTTGATTGGATAACACATATTGTGCCTGCCATGTGTACTTGAGTCTAAATGTGTAACGGCGCACAGGTATTTGGCGTGCCCTGCTTTTTTTACCATTTCCTCCCCCCTTCCGCTTTCACCCTTACAGGAGGTTTTCCATCCCTTGAATCCGTGAAACTAAGGATGCAATTATACTCAAATGTATACAACTTGATGTTAAATGTAACGATCGACATTGGCCTTAATGCATTGCCAAGCACTTTATCCGATACGGTCTATTTTCCTCTTTCCCCTGTTATCCAGTTAACGGTCACCATCCTAACCTTAAAGAGGGTACCATAGCAGGTTTTACATTGCCCTTTTAGGAATTCTGGAAAATCAGAGGGTTACGACGTAACAAGGTTTGAATCGCCCCAAGTCGATTGAGCCGTGCGCACCACTAAAAGACGATCTTCCAAAGGAGAGCGAAAGCGAGTGAATGAGATCCAGCCTAAGACAGATGGTATTAGATATACATACTTACACTCACACACATACATCACGCTCACACATACATTGATCACTTGATATGAGAAAGCCACGTTGCCATGATTATGAAAAATGCTATAATTCAATTTATTGGATTCGAACAATCTTCCTTCGTTTGTACCTGTATCATTGCCTATCGCATGACGATCACACAGAAACAGAGATTGGCAGAGCACCATAAACGTTCCTTTTTTTCCTTCCCCGGATATTCATATGATGAGCTATTACGCCCAGACCATATGTTCCACACGAGGCTGAAAAGGTAAGGATACAAGCTCTTGTGTGAGTGTACACAACACAAGAAGGCTTACACCACCCATTATTGCGCGCCCGTTCCCGCCATTTATCTATATCGCCAAATCTCGATCAACGACCCAAAGTACATTTTCACGCTCAGGAAATCTTGATACCCTCTCCGACAGCGGTGTTGCGTCAGCTTATAGCACGTAATGTGATCGCTTGTCCGATCGACAGCTTACCCCTTTAAGATTGAGACCTTTTAAAAACAGTACATGTAATCTTGCAAAGAACTCAAAACGTTAGTAGCATCCAAAATACGTGTGCAACACTGCATGTAAACAAAAAGGCAATACCTGCTTAACTTGAAAAAGCCTTTGAAGGGATTGAATCAGGGATGGTGTGCTTGTTGGGTGTTGTTGCGTATGGCGTCCGTTGTCTAAGCTATTCATGGGTTAACGCTAGTGGTGGATAATGCGCATAATAATGCATCCTCTGATGTTGCCAATGGATGGTGCTTTTGACCAAAGCCAGCAGAAATGGCCATAGTTGTGTAGTGCTGGTTCCACATTCGGTATGCGGGAAGAAATGGGGCTTGCGTTGTCATTCATCCATCACTCACAGCAGGCGAAGTGAATCATCATGCACATAAACAACGCGTGTAGATGCTCTTTGATCCAAGAGTTGACATCAAAATCCGAACATGTGCATATAATGTTAAACAAGTGCAGCTGCGAGGAGGCGTTGAATGGCTAGAAGGTCTTCTCTGCTATGGCGCCTTGTGTGCAAAGGAAGTATTCAATGTCCTTATGTTAACCTTAAAGAGGCTATTCCCGGCACGAATAACGTTCATGGATACATATGGGCTTTATTGTTGCTATGGCATCATTTAACATGTCTACAGGCACATCTTAACCACCACCTCCGAAAAAGGTCACGTGATTAACGATAATGCGAACAAAAAGATGTTATGATTGGAAGAGATGATGTTACAGCAAACGAAAATCCAAGGTATGTTGCATCCAAGCCATATAGCATTTTCTGATTGAGGCATGTTTGTGGTGGCGTGCATTAATGGAGCTGCTGGTGTCACCGTAAGTACATTTTCTTTTGCGTTTGACACACACCGCATACATACCCTTCCTCTTCTCTCTCTCTCCGATCGGCCATGTCAAGCGACAGCGAGGAATCACTCAGCGATCTCGTCGACAATCTAGCAAAACCAGCCAAAACAGAACCAGCGCCACACCGTCATTCGTATGATCAGCTTGAAGACGACACTGACGACCACGATGACGACTCAGATCTTGAATCCATTGCTCGATCCCCCCGAAAAAGGACAACCCATGAAAGCGAAGAGCAGCCACGGCAACGAAAACAGCAACAGCAACAGCAACAACAGCAACCACGAAAGAAGGCACGATCGTCATCGCCAAAGAGACAACCTTTTCGGGAGCCGTATTACTTTCCAGATAGCCATCAAACCTTTGCTCGTGAGATACAACATCGGATACAGGGACTCGTGATGCGTGGTGATTACGAGGATGCGTGGAAGCTTCTATGCAGCATAGTTGAAACAGACAAGATACCCATCATCTCATTCTTTGAGGTAAGATCAAAATGTGATAACGCTTGATGCATGTAACTGACAAGGATGATCGTGTCTTATAGCTTGCATTATGTCTGATAAGGAAACTCAAATTGGAAGATCCCGCTCTATTCTTACATCGTGCATTTATCAGTACCCGAGGAAAGAGAGTAAGTAAGACTTGGATCCATTATTCATACACGAGGATTGACGATCAAGTTATCACCAGGCGGTGGTCATTTTTCGTGCCCTGATCCGCGAGTATATCGACCAAAAGCAATTCGAACGAGCACGAGAAGAAATCGACCTGATGCAACACAAATATTACATTGAAGATGCAGAGATTCAACGACTATCAGCCATCGTCAATTATCAAATATGGTTGATGAATCAGGAGGATAGGGGCGCTATTAGCAATGCACGTACCGCCTTGACAACAGCATATCGATCATCACCTGAACACACTTCTATTGTTGCCATCTATCTCAAGGTATATGATCATCATATCCAATGTATATCAAAAGTACAGCTTGTCTCATTATCCCCATTAGTTTTTGAACACCCTGGATCCAAAGCAAGCGCAGGACGTAGCTAAAGAGGTGTTGGAAGAGGCTAGCAAGGAGAACAGCATACGAAGAATGAGGTTGGTTCATTGTCATACAACAAAGAGATCCCTTACTAACATGACTGTATCAGGATCGCTCTTCTATATTATCAACCACCATTGGATCAAGGGGAGCATTGGTTAGAGATCATGCTACCGCTTCATCGCATCGACCCAGCCACTGACCCTGACGTATTCGCGAAGCCATACTTGAAGGTGCTACGGCACATTTATCGTACGTAATAGAGGCAACATGGATCGATAAACTTCAATACTCATTCCATTTATAGAAAATCACCCTGAAAAGAAACAACTCAAGACCGCATCCTTTTACAATGTCGTATCTATGCTTTTGGATCGGATAGAAGCTGGTTGCGTGGATGAATGGACCATCAACAAACTCGAAAAGTATTGTGAACGAATGAGGTAAGGGGACATTTTTCCATCGTCTAGGATGCTGCTTATGCTAATCTTTTTTATGTATATACATAGACAAGATGATGATGCGCTAAGAGTTATGATGACTACAAGGAATGCTTTGAGGACCGTGAATCGTGTATTGGTGAAGAAAAAGGACCCACAGCACAGAGGGATTAGAAAAATGATATACCAGATAATAAAACCTTGATTACTAGCAATCTCGTTCTTCAGGCTCCAGCCAACGTAATCCTAGCATTTCAAAGGCATGACGTTCGCTTGCAACAGCCAATTTTCTTCCCGTGGTTTGTGAATAAAGACCGTGTGAGGACACCTTGATACTCATCACCTGCTTGGCGTATAATCGCACACTGCGTTCAAAATGAGATGATCCGGTCCAATTGAGAATTGATATGGGATAATCATTGTAAGGTACAACCACGAAATCGACTCGACGAAATACATTGTCGTCAGCATGCCGCCAAACACAATGGGCTTGATCAGGCTTTGTATGTGGCATATCAGGTTCTCTTAACTGGCAATGTGATCCCATCGATAAAACATCGACCACGTATTCTAATACATGGCGTGTGTGAGAGAGATAGGAAAACATGACATCCTTCATTTGTCCATTACCTTTTTGCTTCAAAATGTCAAGTAGCTTGACGAGCATCGAACCAGATACTGCTTGATCTTGATGAGTAATAACGAGGTCAACATCCCCCGACTCTAGCTTGCCACGTCTACAACGACATATAGTGAGCCTTAAATGATGAATGAAGAGGGATCAAGCAAATTGTTGTACCTGTAGCTACCACATATGGTCATGGTGGAACCTGGGAAATGCTTATCAAGTATGTCATTGACCATCTTTGCAATCGCTTCCACAGTGGCTCGCGGGATCCTGTTATTATAGGGTAAGGCTAAAACATCGACACACCTTTTGATGACATTGTCATTGATGGTAGCTTACTTTTTCCGAAAATCCTCATAGTACTTGAGGCCCATCTTTACATCTCGACAAAGCTGATCCCCTTCCTTTTCTCGAATATCATCCAGTGATCGATAACCCTTGGCGAGCCATTCCCTTGCAGTAGCAGCACCAACACCTTTCAACATCAAATTGAGTAAACAGAACCAGCAAATAGAATGTCAAGGAAGGCACGTACCATGGATGTGATAAAAAGTCTCGAGCACTTGAAAGTCTTTGTCATTCTTGAGCTCATCTAGTAGCGTGTCATCATTGGTATTGAGCCATCATCACTAAACACATGCCATTGTATGCTTACCGACATCTTCCACTTTACCATCACGTAGGTAATCAGCGATCTGTAAAGAGCATTTGTCATGAGATAATCATCAAAAACATGTTCCAATTGGTCTAGCTCTTACAATCCTTCCTGTCTTTTTGCCAATGCCCCTTAATTTTTGAACTTGTGCCGCTGACTTGATTTTCCTTGGGTATGCCTAAGAACTTCATGATTAGAAAGGGCATCCTATCTTCATGGTAGACTTGGATATGAACCTTGATGACCTATATGAGATCTTCAGTCAATATTGCAGCCATGCATAGTAGTGCAAGGAGTAAGTTTTACTTACAGAGGCCGCAATCCTGTAGCTTCGAGCATTCATCGTATCGCCTATATTGATGTTCGGATGTTAAATGACCCATCATCATGTCCCGCTTCTTCTTGTATCGTTTACCTTGTAGTTCTCTGGCATGTTCAAGAAACTCGAATAAAGCGATAATTTCACGATTGTACGGATTCCAGTTGGATGGTCGTTGACATGCATAACGCCCAAACGTTGTAAGATTATCTCCCTCCTCTTGATCCTCGTAAATGAATGGAAGATATCGAGGGTCATTTTCATCTTCATCTTCATCCGATGTCCCATCATCGGTGGTGAATTGGAAGGACGATGAGCGAAAATTGCTGGCATCAAACGAAGATTGGGATGTTGTCGTTTGGTAGCTTTCTTCTTTTCTACAATGCACACAGACACACAAATCAGCAAATCAGGTGATCACCCCCCCAACACCCATATCGCTTACTTGATTGATACGGTCTTTTTCCTTGAATAGCCCGACATGATCATACTCCTTTTCACGGGACCTTGACAACGTTGCGAATATAGATCCTTTATCTCATCCCACGACCGGATCTGCCTTGGAACGCTCGCCACCTTTTCTTCATCCTCGGAAGGTGGTGATTTCGACGCAACCTCCAATTTACGCCTTTTCGCCTCTGGTAATTGGATACAACAAGCATCAAGACATTCTTTGGCCATTCTATAACAAAAATGTTACCATGATTCCATCAATGCGGTAACCAAGATCATCATACCCATATTTCAAAACCCAGTCAATATGGCCAATCTTGCATTCCAGTTGCTATAGAAAAGGGTGGCATTATCAGCATCCAACGAACGCTATACACAGTGGACATCCCCATACCTCCGGCACATGTCTTGTAATGCGCTCGGCACTCTTCAACGCAGTGACGATCAGGTCCGCTTCATGAGGTGAATGCACCACTTGATCTCCATTGGCTTCGATCTGACCACAAATGTGATCGTGCTGTCCGTCCCTTAGCTTGACCGATAGCACATGGATCTTCATGAAGGGTCGAGGTGTTGTGAGTCAAGAACCAAAAGTTACTGCGCACCACCACCAGGTACCTTGTTGGCTAGGTATTAGTGTCAGGTCGCGGATCCCAAAAAACAAGTTCAATGCCTGCTGGCAACAAGATGCATAGAGGCACATTTCATAACCCGATGGCATCCTTATTATCCTTGATCAATAAAAAGAAAATGATGTCACTTGTCTATGTGTGTTGTTACAACCAAGATGGGGATGTATGTCGATCACATACCACCTAAAAGTAGTGAGTTCTTGATGCTATGAACAGGTATTGGCGTGACCTGGCCAGGCCCATTGATGAAGTAGTAGTATGTTGATTGTCAATGGTCGAGCTATTGTTGTCGTTACCATGGATACCATATTCTCAATCAAAACTTGCTATGAGGATTATATAACATGTGCAAGCAACCACCATTTGCCATTTCAAAAAGTTGTATAGCGATCTTGACATCATCCATTATTATATAGCAGGAAGCAACACCATTACACTTACAGCATAGGTATGTACATAATCCATCTATGTTGGGTGGTCGTGATAGGGGTAACACATGGTTGCTTGAGCTGAAGATAGCATTGCAAGATGATCTTTATTGAACCACTACATACTGCTACTGCTCCTATGCGTAAGTCTATTGACAGAGAATGGCATGTGGTATAGGATCACGTGAAACACACACCTATCAACTTGATGCAGCCTTTGCATGAACACCTCCCTGGCAACAACTTGATCCACATGACAATAGAGTTTGTTTGGTTGGTATGGAGACAGCGCCCGTTGAGTATATCCTTATTGCCTCATCCATTGTTGCCATGGTGATTGGTTCGTTGCTGCTTGTCAATAGTCTTCAATCGCTTCCACAAGTCATCGTACGCTAATACCTTCCCATTGTTCACTTGTGTCATTGGACGTGGATAGCAAGGCGAAAGTATCCATTGCTGCAGCATGAAGGAATAGCCGATATTAGTTAAGGACTTGGATTATGGCGTCGTTTGCTCATTGGTACCAAAAGTAAGAGACAAGGGAATCCCTGGCAACCATGATCCTTATACGTTTCAAACGAGATCCCCGATTAACATTACCCACTGCAACTTGTCCTTTGTTGATTATGTTTATTGCACGTTCAGCTAATGATAGATTTGATTTCTATTGCATAGTATCTATGTTATTCAATGTGGCACCTCGTCTTCCCGCTCAAAGCTCTTCTTGTTTTTGCTTTTGCTTTTCTGTTTGTGTTTGTGTTTGATATTGAAATGTGTTCTCTAATAAAGTCATCAAAGTTAGATATCGCTTAAATGTAATGCATTGATATACGTACGTGATCAAGCTCTCTGTAATTGCTGTATCATTGATTGAAGTCCAACTCCCTCGCCAGACTTGTTTTTCGCCTCGGGGTCTTACATGAAGTCCAACTCCTTCGCCAGACTCTTTTCGCCCTCAGGGTCTTACATGAAGCCCAACTCCTTCGCCAGACTCTTTTCGCCCTTGTACTTGAGGTCTTACGCATGCTTCCACCAAACTAGTCAGTGTGCCTATAGATAGCCATCATAAGTAAACACTCTTTCAACGATGCTTGCAACGATACAATAATTACATGACAATGATATTGTGGTCTGCTCCATTGAGAGAGCCTTTCTCTGTATGATTGAACTTGCTTTGTCGCAGGAAGATCGAGGACCGTTGTTCGTATGATATGGCTGCTGCCTTTTTTTGATATGTTTTTGCTGACGTGCTTTTTTTGTGATATTGCTATGGAACAAAAGCTGGTTAGTTTCATGTATATATACTACTTGATCACTCACATACCATTTGCTTTTGATTTTGTTGTATGATAGGATTGCGTTCTTGGCATGGTGGTGACCGATGTCAGGTGTAGCTTGATAGCTGCGATAATTGCTCGATGCTTGTGTTGATTGTTTCCAGCATAGAGCTCCTCCAATGATAATGCCTCTTCCAAAGTCGTGCCTCTCATTGCATTCGTTTGATTGCTTTGTATGATATTCCTTGGTAAGACCAATTGCCGCCAAATTGTGCTCATGCAAATTGCACCCAAGAATGGATTGATTCATGAATAGGTTCAAAAGGGAGGACCCAAGCCAAAATGATAGTCTTGTCATCCGCATCGATTCCACCACCAATGAATGAAGAGAGGACTTGGACCAAAGTGATAGTCTTGTCATCCGCATCGGCTTCACCACCAATAAATGAAGAAAGGATTTGATCCAAAATGATAGTCTTGTCATCCGCATCGATTCCACCACCAATAAGATGAAGAGAGGACTTGGGCCAAATTGATAATCTTGTCATCCGCCACCAATAGAATGAAGAGATGTCTCATGGCAATAGAGAGGCTTGTCCCCAATTGATAGTCCTTGTCATCCACATCGGCTGCACCACCGATAAAAAGAAAAGAGAACTCTACTCCCCAAAGAGAGCAGGAGCCCTCACTCTGGTTTCAGGAAGAACCCACAGCACCAGAAACAGAACGTGACATCCCAGTACACCAGTGCGTCTATAAAATGAAGGAATCAAACATGCAGGATTTACACCCTTCGAGAGAATCCTACACGCAACGCCTACCACTTCAAGAACGTTACCATGACGACCACGTACCATTCCAGGTCCCAAGTCCCAAACTACGATGCCCGTGCAAGTCGATGTCTTGATGTTTTTTGTTTTTTCCAAGTACCCACTTCAAAGATGATTACCGCTTGAGCCCAAACACCATCATCCAAAAAATGAAAGGGGGGTCAAACTATGTAGGGATGTATCACGGCATACACCATGACCCACCCCCACAAAAAAGACAAAAGATGATTAGCATAAATGATATCCAAGAAGCAGTGTCACTGATATCAACTTGCCTTTTCAAGTCCAATCCCATACCCCAGTGGGTAACATGATGATGATGAGTGAATCGCCCTTTGGCTCTTGATCCACGAGGAGAAGAAAGACACCGCAAATGCTTTGTGACTTAATCGTAGCAAGGGAACAAGGGATTCCTGGAACGATACGTAGTCGCCATGGCAACGCCCCTAAAGTGATAGACGTTGACGTGTAAGAAACTCCCGTCGGGATACCTTCATGCCGATCCTTCCGTATGTGCAAGCAACTGGCATAGCTGAAATGCACGCCTGAATCCGGGCTGGGGTTTTCCATCCACCAATCTCTCTCGCAATTCTTGCTGAGAATCTCTATGGGCACCTATATATAATATGCATGTGAGTGATTAAAGCCATAACACCTATTGTATGTAACTTACTATGCGTCTTCATCGAAGACTACTTCATCAAAGGGATCGATAAGATCGGTCCCCATGATCTCTGCAAGGATATCGTCTCCGCCCATGACTAAAGCATCAAAAGTTAGTATCATACAAAGTCATCCATCCCAATGTGCAAGTATACTTACATGAATCTGCTTGTGCAGCATCTTCAGACAAAATTGGTGATGGTGGTGCTAGCTCTGCTTCGGTAAAAAGCAATGTGGATGATGATGATGCCAATGGTAATATAGGTGATAATGATGATTCCATTGGCAGTATGGGTGATAATGATGATAATGATGGTATAGGCGATGATGGTGATGGTATAGGTGATGAGGTTGTTGTTGTTGTTGTTGTCTCTGGCCGTTGAAGCCGTCTTCTTGGGCATGCTATCGGCCTATACTCATATCCCCAGGATGAGGATGAGGATGAGGATGCGGGTGATGGTGGTGATGATGGTGGCGGTGATATTGATGGTGATGGTGGTGGCCTTGGTGGTGATGGTGGCGGTCTTGGAAGTGGAGGTGGTTGCCTCCTACTTGGTCTCTGCCATCGAAGGCGACTTCTAGGCCTTATGACGGGCCTTCGGAACTGTAACCGTGATCGGTTGTTGTTGTTGCTGCTACCTGTGCTGGATGCAACAGGTATTGCTGATGCCGCTGGTGCTGATGATGCTGCTGCGACTACTGCTGCTACTACTACTTCCGGTGTGGCCTCCGGATGAATGGTGATGGTTGGCTGTGGCATCACTTGGGTATACAAAATTGGTTGTTGCTGTGGCAGTGGTGATGGTGGTGGTGGTGGCAATGGCAATGGAAAGAATGGTGGCGATGGTAATGGAGATGCCATTGGGATGTCTGCAAGTTCTTGGACTTGTTGCTCCGAGGCATCTGTGCCTTCTATAAAAGTAAAAAGATCGAATTAATACGATATCACTTCATCTGGTAGTAATCCCAATATCCAATGCACTTACCATCCTCTGCGATTTCTCGCAACTCAGGAGTGTCAGGAATTGCATCTGGCACTTCCGTATCTTGGTCGTAGAGATCCAACATGTTGAGAGCTTCACCTATAAAGAAAAACCAGTCAGCATCAATGTATTGCTGAAGAGAAGATCCTTTCATATAGAATACTTACAAAGCTCGTCAATGGATGGTGATGATGATGATGTTGTTGTTGCTGCTGTAGTAGTAGTAGAACTTGGTGACGGTAAGCCGTACACATGCTGCATGGCTTTATGCATAGCCATTCCTCGAAGCAACTTTGGTGGTGACCGTGTGCTTGTAACTTGCTTGGATGGTTTGAAAAGATCCACAGATGATGATGGGTTGATAACAGCATCACCCTCCAAGGCCGACATGTTGCCATGATGACGGGGCACTTGTGCTACTGGTCGTGTAGAAAACAACATACCAGGATACTCGCAGGCTTGCGCCTTGCATGGAACCACTGGAGCTACCCAGGGTTGACGATTAGCCATGACAACAGGGCTAGTAGGCACCTGTGTCGAATCACTTACCTTTTCCCTGGCCGCCCGCAACGGCACGCCGGCCGAGCAGTCAGCATTGCTTGCAATCGGGACGTGAGTCAACCGATTGTTGGGACGCGAAAGCCCCCACCGAACCAAAGGAAAAACGACGCCAAAGAAGAAGCAGAAAGGCATTACCCACATCATGGGCACCTCTGGAATGAAGTGCCACTTGATGAAAGCAACGCAGAGCACAAGAGCACGGAAGGAAATGCAAGGTTGATCGTTAGAGATAGCCATTGCGGAAAGAGGAGGAACCATTGCCATGGAAACAAGGCCAACTTAAAACACCCCGCCCACAGAGCGCCATTCCACGCCCTCTCGATCTCACATTGCAAATGACGCGTTACCAAGTCAATTTAGGTGTAGAGTTGTGTGTAGATTAGAGTGAAATAGTTTATTTGAATAAAAAGCCTGATTGGGAAGGAAACAGACGCGTGAAGGTTTCATAGCAACTATAGTGCAGGTTGCCCGTCTTTCTTGATTCCTCTTGACACTTGACGTGTTATGGAGTCTTTTTACGTGTCGAATGGTGTATGCGTCTTGAAATGTACTTTATTATAATAAAGGAGGGCTGTTTGGATGCAAATGGGCGCGTCAAAGCTGTATAGCTACTACACTATAGAAAGCAAATCTGTAGAATTGATATATAAGACGCGACACGTTCCTAGAAGTTACTTTCAGATGCAGTGATTATATTTGTCCTCACAAAGGTGCTATAGTTGTCTATAAAAATTTCGAGTATTGATCCATCTTTCATGCACCAGTGTGCTGTTTTGGCCCGAATAGGAAGTACAACATGGCCTGTGCTCCACACTTTGCACCCCGACGTGTAGTAAACCCTTAAAAATGTCCTTCGTTATCGCCATCATTCATCACGAGCGAACAACGCTTTTGGTTTAGGTATCATCTCCATCACACACCGCTTGAGAAGAAATCATGAAACCGCTCATATCTTGAGGTCTGCATGATCAAGTGAAAGCCTGTATGAGAGAAAAAGAACGATCACAGCGTGCCTGAAAGTACTCATCGACAAAGGCTCAGCCAACAATAGTCAACAAGGAGCTATCAATGCATTATCAAATGTGGCCTTATGATAAGAAGCCGTCATAGACTCGGAACCAGCAGGGTTGACTCACAAACTCCCACTCTCCCAGCTTTGTTATACAAACAAATCCCTCTGCATCTTTGGTTCTAATGTAAGAGAGGCGATTGACAATGAACAAAGGTTACTTTCATATAGCATCACGCTTACAGCATATAAAACATCAAGGCACTTGTATCTCCAAACTTTACAACCAGACGTGGGGTCTTTAAGGGAACAAAGTTGCTCGTCGGGGTCGAAAGGATCATGTGGGGAAGTTTCGTGATCGAGGTGGCCAATCCCAGATTTCGCAAATGTCGCCACCAGCCAAGTTGGATCGGGAGGTGGACCTCTTGAATTTTTTTCGACGACGACGAAAAAATATTTTTGGCTGGTGGCCACATTGGGTGAATCTTGGAATGGCCACGATGAACTTCATACTTTGACACAAGATCGCTTTGACCCTGACGAGCAACACTGTTCTATCAAAGAACCCACGTTTGATTGTAAAGTTTAGAGATACAGGTACCTTTATGTTTTACATATGCTGTAAGCGTGATGCAATACAAAAGATGGTCTTTGTTCATTGTCAATCAACTAGACCCTGACAGAGCGGAGATGCAGAGGGACTTCTTTGTGTAACACCGCTCGTTGGGTGGTGCTGGAAAGGATCAATGCATGATAATACATACTATGATAATAGTTCATCAAATGCCAGCTAACAGCCCGTTCCTCCCGGTTCCATATTTTTTCAAATCCACTGCATGGGAATGATTCTCCTGCTCCAGCCCAACATTTCCATCATTCAACTTTCTTGATCCGAGCCGATTTGACTGAGCTACGCCCAAACAGCAAACATGAAAATAAATGAATCGCAGACCCTGCGAATGTCTCCGTCTTTCAAACTTTTGGACGCTCCCATTCCAAATTTTCAAATGAAGCGTGAGGTTTTTATTAGAAAAAAGTTGTTCAGCATGCTCGGAGCACCATTCTGACCAATTTTCTAGTTGGAGGTGGGCAACTTCGGGGCGGTAGGCCGTCCGCTCTTTTGTTCGTGTCATCCACCATTTGGACCGCCCCCGCATTTTAAATCTCACAATGAAGCCTCCGGTTTTTAATTGAATGAAGGTGATCAGCATGTTCCAGCGAACCTTCTGACAAAGTTTCAAGTTCGAAATGGGGAATCCCAAGGTAATACATACTATGTCGATAAATCATGAATCGGCGCTGTCCTCCATTTCCGATTTACATAGTAAACCCACACTGCACCCTCCCATTCCAAATTTTCAATTGAAACATGAGATCTTTTTTAGAACAACGTAATCAGCGTGTCCGAGAGCACTTTGTGTGAAAGTTTCACGTTCAAGATGGGCAATCTCAAGGTCATGGATCAATTACAGTGTTCATGGATTTATACAAGAGGTGTCCAACAGCTCAGCCTACTTTAATTTCCACTTCTTCCACTTCTACTTTATTTCCTCTTCCTCCCATTCCCAACTGTTGGTGCATTCAAGTATACAACTACCACCTGCAAACGATTGTCCTGCTTCAGCCCATCATGTCAATCCTGTAACTCTCTTGATCCGATTGCCTTTGACTGAATGGCAAGTCCATGGCGTGTTCACTGCACTACAACAACACCCGCGCTTCGTGACACTTCACCTTCTCTTGTACAATCCTCAACCACAACCAAACGTAACAGCATCCATTGCAGCAAGTGCTTTTAGTGATGCCTTTACTCCATTGTCTCAAACAGCGTTCACAATCTTGTCACTCTACTACTACAACACACGCTCTTGCATAATCCTCTTCCACGACCCAACGTAGCAGCTGTTGCTATTACGAAGGTCTTTGCTTCATTGTCTCAAGTTACTTTGCAGCAACATGTCTTGCAGCCGTTTTTTACACGAACAGCAGATAGCCATTGTATAGCAGCAGCTTTATTTACGTGTAGCAACGTGTTTCAATACATACGACTTCTTATGGATGTGGATAAGGACATGGATCTGAATACGGCTTTGCTTTGGTGGATGGGATGGAAGAAATGGATGTATTGACCGGTTTGGTTCCCTTGACCCATATACAACGAGATGTCTACTTTGGATGACGCCTTATCAGCCATCAACTACGCCGCAATGCAAGCAATCTTCACCTGATTGAGCTGCGATGGAAAAGGAAGATATCAGCAGCAATCTCTGGTGCTTCTTTCTACGAACGTATAGGATTTACGATGGTGATGGTGTATGGATTCAATCAATGCAGTAATGAGAATCATGGTGATTACTTGTCGCGTTGTCAGCAGGAACGATGAATCATGTATTACGTGGATACGGCTGAGGTTGATGATGGATGGGATGAAATCAACGAAAGGTTTGTGATACTTGAGTCATCGCTTGCAGGAGCTATTTTCCAATCATCGATGAAGGATGTTTATGACGGCATCAACCACGAAGTCGATAATACTATATACTTGATGTCTCTATGTGATTCACCCGTATCTATTCAATTTGCAACGCTATTCCTTCATTTACCTACTTGATAAACACCCGCACTAGTACCATGTCATAGTCTTCCACTTCTATATAGTAAACATTGGATGCAATATATACTCAGAGTCTCCTACTATCAATCATATATATGAAAGATGTGGACTACTTGATTAGTTTCTGGATTGCAAGGGGGAAGAGAAAGTCGAAGGCTGTAAAGCGAGATTGGATCATGTACATTATCGTCGTGTCTAAGACGTTTTTTTTTGGTTCCCTTCTCCATCTTACATTCATGGTTAAGATTCCTCATTAACAGGCTGATATATATAAGCTGCATGCATCTCTAAGCTTACAATCTCATGATTGTGTAAAGATTTGCATGATAGCTCGTGATGACATATGTACTATCCATTCTAGAGCGACATCACTATTCAATTATTGTGTCAACTAACGGGCAGTTGCAGATTTCAAGAATCAGGATCCAATCCGCAAACACCGCAAAGTGACACAAAGTAATGCGCGCCACGATAAATGTCAAATGTGAGGGGACGCGTCAAGTGATAGTTCTTCTTTACCGAACCCGAAATCATCATGGTACGTATCCGCTGTTTGGATGAGGCAATGGATGGATTGAACTATCGGTGGATTAATCGATGGATGGGTTGATTATAGGATGGATGATTGGTATGCTGTTGGATTAGATGTGCCGGTCGTGGTCATTAACCTAAGCAATGGAGGCCATACAGCCAATGGCAGGAGGTAGTTATGATGCTCAACACCTTCCGGATAGTAGTAGTTATTGTCTGGATAGGAGGTTATCATCATGAACAACCTCTTGTAGTTGCCTTACTGCAAGGGTGGTAAGTTCTCTATTGTAAGTATCCATTTTCCTTTCCTTTTGTATACTGCTGCCATCCCGTGATGAATATGAAATTCAACCTTATCTACATTGTCTGATACTCTGTGAGGTATATCTACTATTCTGATGATGGCAAATCATGATCTCTATCGACCTTGTTGCTTACCCAAGCATCAGCTCTTTTTAAATAGATACCATACGTTTTGCATACAGCCGTAGAAAACAGTAAGTAATCCCCACTACAGCGAGTGACATGCGTGTATTCCCATTGCTTGTGAAATGATGAATCTCCAAAAACACCTTATCTACATTGTCTGAAGCGATGTGAAGACAACCTATATTCTGAATCAGGCAATTTTGGGAATACCCATTGTCATGCTCAGGTTGATGAATTCTTTTTCTTACCTTATTTTCATCATAGGACTTTCGAATTATGCAAATAAATCAGTGTTCTCTCGCACTATTGGATGACTACCTGGTTTCAAGTATTGGAAGGAACCTGACAACGCACAACAGCATGGCTTGCTACATGATGAACCCCAAAATTTTCCTTATCTACATTGTCTGAATGTTTTTGAAGACACATTACTGTTCTGAAGCAAGCCAAGCATATCCCTTGGATATTAATTTCTTCATAAGCGTACAAAGAGATAGAGTCATTGATACTATGATATGCAATAAAACGGGAAAAGAATTGACTTGGCATTGTTACGCCACTCATTGTTGAGGTGAATGCGAATGGCTATGTGTAGTAAAAGACGAGGTTACAGCAAGTGGTATTGTTTTATTCTGAAGAAGAACAAGGAAACTAAGATTGGGTAGTAACCAAGGATATAACCATACACAAGCCTGAGTCTGGATGATGGGTACACGTGATCGCAGTATTCAAGGACACGAAAATTGTAACATAGAATACACACAGTGGATGTAAGTATTACTCCAAAGATAGTGGTAAGCCATTCAACGAAAAAGCGACGTTTACGAGCGAAGTGGGCATCCGGGCCCTAAGTTTTATAATAAAAAGAATGGATTGTCTAATCATGTTCGATTGCATGTCCGCGTCGTGATGCATTGTGCCATGAATAACGAGGTGTTTGAGCGTGTGTTGTGTTTTATCTCCATGGGAAACGATGCAAGACAAAGAAACGGTCATTGTTGGTAGATTGGATGGTGAAGGGAACAAAGAACTTGAAAGCTGTATAGATCCATGTGTCATTTTTGAGTGTAAGCGCTATAAGGGTGATGGGATGGGATATGATTTGCGTCTGCGCCACGTGATCGACATCAGCAGAGTGTGTGTTTTTTTCTCTCTCCTCAGCCAGCAGAATAAATTTCTAAGTGCGTGTTGGTTGCCAGTGCAGCTAGCTTTCAATTCCTAATACACGTTTCTTCCCTCTCCCATGTTCAACACAACACAACCCTCAACCGGTGGGTTCTCATTTGGAGCATCCAGCGCCTCTAAACCTGCCACATCGACCGGATTCTCCTTCGCAACTCCCACATCCACTGCCACATCCACCAATCCAACAGGTTCACTATTCGGAGGAAACGCGACATTGAATACAACAGCACCTTCAACTACCCCATTTGGTGGGTTCTCTTCACAACCTGCAGCTGGATCTACCACAACAACATCGAAATTCGGCTTTCCAAGCGCGTCCAATCAAGCAACAGGTCTATCAACCAACACTGGGTTTGGTCTCGGTGGTACAACTACCAGTTTGTTTTCAGGTAAAGAAGCATAGGCCTTGACGTGCCTGTATACTAGGTATTCACTCTTCTTCTTTATAGGTGCTGGTAACATCAATCAACAAAATCGTGATAAGCAAGTCTATCAACTACTCCTTCAAGCGGATGAAGAGGCACGGCGGCAGCAAGCGCTTGTGTTGACCAGTGAAGAGCAATACAAACCACAAAATGTATGGCAGGCATTAGCACTATTACGTTCCTGGTGGGATCCATCATCACCGTATTGCAAGTTCAAGTGCTACTTTTACAACCTCGTTCCTCCACAAGAAGTCCACTTGTATCAGAAACCCCAGAATCATGATAAAAAGGCATGGGATGAGGCACAAAAGAAAAATCCAGATCCATCAAGGTAAAAAAATCATGGGAAAAGATGATGGGCATGGGCTGATTGTTTGTTATTATGGAAGATTGGTACCTGCTCTTGCGGTTGGTTTTGATGATGTGAAGAAACGAATGGAGGCTCAGGAACGACAAGCAGGGGCACATTTAGCGACATTGAAGGTATGCTGAGACATATAAATGTGGTCAAGATGTTGGTGCTAATGGATCGAATATAGGAAATCCAAGACAAGATCAAAAAGTTAAAGGGTGCAGATGCACAATCGACTGCAAACAAGTTGGATGAGTACAAGCGGCGGCAAATGGATTTGACACAACGAGTAATAAAGGTATGTATATCTAAGGGTAGTGTAATCGATGATGACTCACTTATTGTGTAGATCCTGAAATATGCTCAAGTACTTCGCAACAAGGGTCTACCATTAACATCAGAAGAAGAAGCCATGCGGACATTGTTGGAAAATGTACAAGATCAGCTACTTCGATCAGAGCAGTTCCGTGGAAAATTATCGCAGCTATGGGCACAATTACAATTAATCAAGGAATCGGGTCGTAAATATGATACATCGGAGGACGCTAGGATGTGGAGTGGCATGAGTGAACAAGACATGGGTACCATTACCAAGGTCAGTGAATATAGGGTATAGGATGACAAGTGCTTGTATCTCATCGTTTCGTTATGACCCATTTTAGATTCTCGGCGAACAAACACACGGCATTGAACATACCATTGATATCCTGGAGCATGACCAAATGGATGTGGATAATATGCTCGCTCGTTACCGGGAAAAGCATTGAAGGATGGTAGCAGAGGTGTGATATCTACAGAATAAAAAAAGATGATGGCATACATTTGTTCCATGTTACCAGTTGCGAATAACGTATGATGGATGCTACGTAACCATCTTTTGCTTAATTGTCAAATGAACTTCTTGTCTGTGTGAACGTGGTACTTCAGTGAATTGTCGTCAACATTTTTTTCAACTCTTCTTTTTCAAAGGAACGCTCATAAGCATAATCGAACAATGTCTTATTTCGTGGAATTTGAGTAAAGCAAGTGATTCGTGATGATATGAAGCAGATGGGTGGCATTGTTTGATGATCATCGATACGTATTACGATCTTGTTTATCACAAATCGTGGTTCATGCAACAACGACAATCAATCATACCAAGGCACTTTGTGAAGGTGTCGCATCAATCTACCAGCTCATCACCATTCCCATTACTCTTTGGATATTGTTTGTGGTCACAGAAATACTCACACCCACGCATGCACATATAAATCATGGACGTTGTCGCCTACTACCATGCTCCCATACACCTCTTCTTTTTCTTCCATTATACCATTCTCTTTATTGCAAACATCTTCAAAACCCAAGTCGATGTGAGTATCATGATGGTCGATGGTTTTATTTTGTGAGCGATCCATGGACTCATTTGTGATAACCTTCAGCCTTTCATTGTTATCCTATTTTCATTATCATTGCTGTCATTGTGATATTTAGCTCTCTTATTAAAGTAAAGCCTGATCATCTTGATTAATGATGCACGTACTCACATTCCCTTTGATATAGCTCCCTACCATGATGCATGTGCAAAGCTGGATTAGGCGGCGTACCACAGCCCGCATGGCGTTGATATAACGGCTTCCGTGGTCATGGACTTGAACAGGTCGATTTTCAGCCTAGTTGACCAATCGCCTTCATACGGTCGGAAATTTGGTTGACCTTGAAGCATGGTGCTGGCAAGAAGCGCGTAGAAGTATCCTCAAACGAGTGGAAGCGTACAGGAGCTAGCTAAAGATCAAGATAAGACAAGAATGCAAGAACCTTCGAACAAATGCATGCATCCATTAGAAGCTCAATTGTACGTGCAAAGCAAATTTAAAGAAGTCTTTATTGACAATGTTGGATACTTGTATATGATAAAGAAGGGAAAGCAGCAGCACATTATAACAAAGGTGGTATTTACGCTGGTCTTACCTCACCACGTCCACACCTTGAGCACTCTCAAACGCACGCTGGATACCATGTTTAAAAATGAAGGTATGTATGATGAAGGAATCAAAGTTCAGCGAACTCATTCTTTTCCCTTTAATTAGAGCTCCTTCAAGAACATGGTAAAGGAAATTGATGCAGCCAAGTTCGAGACCCACGTTCGACGATCCTTGCCCACGCTTGAACATACAGAGCCACCCAGTGTAGAGCCATCGACCGCCGACTCATGTTGTTATCGCAGCCATAGTATGATTTTTTGAAAGGCCATATCCAAACAATGATGTATGTAGCCTCTGCCATTGTTCTCATCCTTTCATCCTATATGCCTATGATCATCCTTTTATATGCCTCTTTACATTTTGCACTTGTATGTATCAACTTTTATGATCAATACATGTAACAAAGTAATGGACAACAAAAGCGAACAAAAGCATTGATTCGAGTGAATAGATGATAGCTGATTGCCCAGCTGTACACTACCAACAATGGCCTCCACTACTACACTCGCCCCAACTTGCCGCATTCGATCCAGCATTGCCACAAGTTGTCACATGACCCTAATGCCGTTGCCTTAATCACTTTTATGGTCCCAAAGATGTTCCTTTATACATGATGTTGTGCATGGTACATCATCCCATCATTTACCATTCCCCTGGATATCCACGTCCCTCTCCAAGCCCACATGTGATCTTCAATGGAACCCACTCTATATTGATGATGTAAAATGTATCTTGGATGACTAGCGTCTATTTGCCCAATCTCTTTCTCAAAGCTCTTGTCCTCTTCCTCAGCTTCTTGTGCTTGTGCTTGTTCATTTTCAAACGTCTCTTTCTCAATATACTGGTCATTTGGAAGCCTTCTTCTACAGAGGGAGCGGGAGGTGCTGAAAATGGGCGCAAGTTTGACATGTATGCCGTGACCGAGTGAGAAGCGTGAACCTGAGGCACTGTAAATCATAAATAAATGCATATCAATATCATTCTCTCTACTCGTATCGTTGCGATAGCGTTGTTTACATACTGCGGGTGGTGAACATGAATGGCAAGCTGGGCTCCATGGGGATAGCGCTGTCAGCAGCAGTGGAGACGGTGGAGGCGTTACGTTTGACACATTGAACAGCTGTGCGTCGCATAATGGTGGAGGCGTTGGCCATGCATTGTAAGAATCCTCGAGCCGCCAACATGGTTGTACGTGTGTGGTCAGTTGTGTATAGGTGTGGGCGGGGAGAGAGAGTGGTGCTCAAACGATTGTTGTGCAGGCTTGAAAAAGAGTGACTGTGGCTGCTGCTGCTGACCTTTTGACACAAACACACGACTTTGACAGGTGGAATGATCCCAGGCACTAGTTTACATCCAAAGACAATTTATCTTCATCAGTGAACTTACCTAGTGAATTCAATTGATATAAATGCATTAAAGGATCATCCAATGTTGACCACGATGGGTATGTCACGTGATAATGTCCTTCCACAATATCCACTTCAACAACATCTACCTTCCTTTCACATGATCGATACCTTTTATTTCACAAGAGTCATAAAGAAGATTATATTACTAGTAAGTAACAATGGACCTTAGGGTAGTAAACACTTGGAATCCATGGAAACCATTGTTGTGTAGGATTCTCATTAACACCGCAGCCACAAAAATGTGGTTGGCTGGGAAAGGAACTTGATTGTTCAGGGCTCCCTCTGTTACTTTGCATACAACATACACACACCGACATGACCAACGGCTTCGATCGCGAGAGAATGTACACACAATCCAAGGGTTACGGCTTTTCGCCAGCCTTGCAACGTACTCGTCAACCTTTTAGAGCACGCAACATGCTCACTTTGCTTGGTCTTTTAACCTTCACTGGTGGTGTCTGTAAGTTCAACTATCCACCCATCGATGCGATCGTCAATGAGAAAACTCACCTTATTTCCTTATCAAAGACGCTTATTCCATGTTGGCTGTGAAGCAGGATGATTTCAGTGATGTACCCATGCCAAGTACTCTCCCTGGCGTTCATGATGTGACCCACGAGAACAAGGACAAGCAGTAAAATCATACCATAATGCAATCCAATCCTACGAGACTTTTATTCTGTAAATACAATTGCCTAGCTGATGGGCACTGCCAATGATATACATGAGAGCGATTGGGATTTGGTATCTGTGGATGGTTGGAATATGGCTCTTTTCTATGGAACAAAGATCACCTGAGCGGATTGAGAAATGCAATGAGCATGTTCTACAGCGTGATCGTAAGAAGGGGATGAGTCATTGTGTTTTCATACAAAGCCCAGTGTTCATTGCTTATAATGGTGGTTAAAAGAAGGTATTGGAAGATCTCTTGTGATAGTGTGCAACATTTGCCATGTGTGCTGGTGCTTTTGAGAACCCATCCGTCATTTCTTCTTCCACGTAGACAATCACGTTCATATCATACCACAAGCTACTTGCTCTTTATTTACTATTTATGCCATAACTTTATGACCCAATAGTGATGGATAAAAATATGGTATACGGATAGCTTTGATTTAAGGATGATCCACTCTGCTCCACCATTGAGGCTGTGCTGCTGCTGGAGGACGTGCCAATGCCGGTGGTCTTACATTTGACCTTTTGCGAAGACTTGATGGCTTCATGGGTCGTGTTTTTGTGGGCTATGTATATACATACGCATAAGCTAAGCGGGCATTTGAATGACTTTAGTCGACCACTTACATGATTTAAAGGAGGAGAACTGGTAGCTGCACGCTCGTCAAAAGCGTGATGATTTGAAGAAGACGTATGTAAACCCTGCCTCTTTTCAAACCATGGAGCAGGAGGAGAAGGCTTGTTACTACTACTACTACTACTACTACTACTACTACTCAACTGGGTGGTTATGTTGGCCCTAAAGGATAAACGACTGGAGACCGAATTTTGAAGCGCATTGATCCAAGTCTTGTTGTTGTATCTCCGAATGGTATTATTAGCCGAGGACGACGACGACGATGATGCTGATGATGATGAAGATAAAGATTCGGATGTGGATGGCAAAGGGGCGACTGGACTCTTGTACGTGGATGATGGAACAAAGCGGTCATCAAGGGATCGTGTAGGTTCAGGTACAATGCGTCGAGTCGTCGTCGTCGTCGTATGATCTGTTGGCGATGTCAATGATGTTTCTCCCAAAGATGAACGATCGATCATTTCCTTGTTGAATGATTCCCAAAACCCACGTGTGCCACTATGGCCACTTCTCGACTCACCATGAGCACTGGTATTATTACTCTTCTTATGAGCACCGTTACGAATAGCATTTCTCAATCGATCTCTTTGATGCTGTTGCTGCCATCTTGATAATATATGTGCTGAAGAAGAGGCTCCCGCATTTAATCTCGGAGAGGTGTGCTTGGGTGATATTGGGCTGTCATCGTCATCATCCGTATAGGGCGAAGGTGGTGGGATATCAACAACGATGGAGGAAAATGAGACCCGTTTCCTAGCTTTACTTTCAGCTGTTTCAAGGCTGCTGGTATCTTCTTCTTCATCATCATCTCGAGAAAGAGGAGAGGCTTTCCGCGTCAATTGTGGCTCGTAAACAGGAAGCGGGTTGGGATACGGCAATGTTGTACTTGGACAAGATGATGATGATGACGCATCCTTTGGAATAGGTGGCATAGCTTTGCGTGCAATTCGATTATGCTCAGCTCTCCTTGTTGAACATTTCCATTGGTGTGATGAAGGCGTATTATTCTCATTGTTGGAAACGGTAATACGCTGCTGCTGTTGTTGTTGAATAGGGACCTATGTAAGCACTTAGTTTGTAGGACAATAATATAAATCATCAAAGACTAACCTTAGCTCGAGTGATTTGTGGTAATGGCTTTGGTTCACGCTGAGCAGCAGTGTCCCTGAACCGAGGATTTGGAGAAGAAGGTTGCTGTTGTTGTTGTTGTTCTTTTGGCGTAGGTGGCGAAAACAATTGAGAAAGAGCGCTGCTGCCTTTGGTCAATGATGTCTTTCGTTCTCGAGATACACTTAATGATGCCTCTGATAAAGGTGCTGTTGTAAAAGTGCGTGTTTTGTTGGGTGAGCTCAATCCAGTAGCTGTGTCGAATTTCCTCGTCAAGCCTTTGACACCAATAAATGCCTCACTCAAGGCTCTCGGCTTTGATTTTGTTGTACCCGAAATACTATTTGCGGATGTATTGGTTGACCAAGATGTCTGTATATGCGAAAGTGACACCCGTTTGCTCGGCTTGGATTCAGGTAACGTGTTCTGCGTATTACTGAGAGTGGCACTTTTACTTGCGGATGGATTTGGTGGAGATGGCGTGGATCGTAAGCCGCGGCGTATCTCTGAATAAAGAGGGTTTTCATTGTCGGTTTGTCTCTATTACAGGATATTAGCCATCTACAGCTATTCTTCCGTTTCAATGCTTCTTACCATATTCTCCATCTTGGTAAACTTAGTATCAATACGAAGAGGCTTTGGACCTTCTTGTTTGCGAGGACGAACGTCTTTTCTCTAGTGCATAGGAAATACTGACGTGGATCAATCTCACATGATCGCTTTCTAGTAAATGAAGAGTATCATACCTTAATGGGCGAATCTTTCATAATAGACTTGTCGGTGCTGCCGAGCTTTGCTGAATCTTCGTTTGTGTCACAATCATCAATTTCTGGTAAACGGCTCTCAATCATCGCATCCTCGCGAGTTCTTTGATTCTCATTGTGTTCTGGATCGATCTTTTGTTGTTGCGAATCGACTTGAATGCTGCTGTTACATGGCGTACAAGGATCCTCTTGATTGATGATATCGCTCTTAGTAAGCTGTTCCTGTGTCACCTGGATACGATCGGATGCAATTGAATCAGTGGTGGACCTGATATCGACTCCATTGTCGCCATGTTCTTTTTGTGGTTCACAATCAATTGGATCGGTGCAAGTTGAAGAACCAGATGATTCCTAAAAGATGGGATTTAGCAGCCTATCTCCATGCAAATAGAACCCATCACCACGTGCACGTCGCTAGGCAACTTACTTCTTGAATTGGGGATATTGTACTAATATCATCAGATTCAGTGGAACAATCAGAAAAGGATGTTTCAGGATGAGTAGTGGTGATGTTGGATGTGGTTGCACCAGCAAAAGACCTCCTCCGGTTCCTGGTCGGCTTTGGTACCACAACAGGCTGTTGCATTGCTGAGCTGGATGTCATCGTGGATACCCGACGTGCCTCGCGTGCTTTCTTTAGTTCATCCAATTCCTATCATCCGCATAATACCACGGCCGTGTTAGCAATTCCCCCCAAGATACACGGTTCTCTACTTGTCATCTTGCCTTTTCAAGTATCCGTAACGCGGCAACATCCATGTAGTTTTGAATAGCTGCTTTATCCCAACTTGTGTCTATAAAGAAGAACGTTTAGCCTGTTACTCTCGAGATAACGAGATCTGTATGTTGTAAACACCTTTGGGGGATGCTGGGTTGTGTAATGCAGGGCGCTGTTGCATGTCAATGCTGGCCATGCTGAATTGTCACTGGTAATGGGAAGTTTTGAGTACACTACAAGGCATGTCGTCAACCACAGCGAACTTACCTTGTAAAATGCGCTGTATGTGAGAGATAGTTGAAAGCAACAAGTACAATAACAATGCAAGTCGTTTTGGAGTGTTGGTTGGAGCATGGAAAAACAATGACCATAAATGGATTGTGCATGTGATCCCCTTGAAATTCTGGAAGCCATTCATGACACGTCGTCCTCTCCTTTTGCTTTGCAGTAGTATGATCAATTGGATGCATATCCATATAGAAGGTATCCAATACGCAAGGGTGTCAATGATATCGATCAATGGGGTATCACCATAACAACAACTCAAGAAGAAGTTTCGGAGTAACAACCAGCTCATCGAAATCTTGCATGAATCAATGACAAACGACGTACACGTGATTATAGAAGAGATTTCAATTGAATGAAGAAAGCATCTTGTATATACAAATGATGCCTCAATCACCCGTATGCAAGGGAATCATCAATAACTTGAAAACGCCCTTCATCATTGCAAGTTACTAGCTTCACGAGCGATGTGGATCGATGGCGATTTTGCGAGCTCACTCACCCTTTACTTTCTACCATATATCATGTTATCCCTACACACTCACATGCCATCTTGAAATACTCGATCTATTCGATCCATTGAACAAAGATGCATAGCGCGGTCCAGCCATCAAGTATCATAGAATGTAAATTCTCAGCTTCAAATTATACCTCAAATGTGCACATCAAATGATGTCTCCGAATGAACCATTGTATGCCAGAAGGCACCGATCCCACACCTCGTAAAACCAAGTGGTTACCCAAAGGCATATTTACACCTGGGAAGCTGTAAAAATAAACCCAATTGCGTCATATAGCTATAATCATGCTTCGCGTTTCATTAAAAGTATAGCCTGAGTTGACTACAAACAATGAGCATGAGCGGATTAAGGTTTTATTTTTTGTACATGTGGAAGAACAACATCATCGTTTATCGGTGTTCGTGTGCGTTATCTACTTCATGACTATTAGGGTTGTGGTTTCATAAGGTAAGCACTCGAATTGCATGATGGATGGCATGTACAACGCTATTCAGGTTCGTATGACCACGTGCCGCTGTCCATGGATCGGTTCCTGGTTAACAAACAATTACTATTCAGAAGGTCTTTCCTTGTATGTTCACGACAAAGAGACGCGTTTTACCTTTACCAAGACCTATTGGGTTGCCAGCAAGGCGTCAAGTAAAGTTTGACTATATTCGTTGTGGTTTGCCGTAATGGGTCTAGTTATCTTTGTCGATGAACAATCGCGTGATAATCCAAGGACGTCGCCTCCTCGTTGTTGGGTACTATCATAAGGTTTGATGCTGAAAACAAAAATGCATTATGTACGTGCTTGACAGATGGTATCTTTCACATCCTAATCTCTCGTGGCCAACCCTTATGACCAATGTGATTTGAAACTATCAGGTACTTACTGTTGAGAAAGTTTTATTATTAGCATGGATGAAGATCGTAGTGGCTGCCAATTGTACAATGATGGGACACCGATACCTTTATTCACAGCGTCGGCATTATTTAATGATCTATATTTAACATCGGGTTCGTTGACCGGGAACAAACAAAGTTGCACCAACAAGGTAATACAAAAAGTTTTCATACAACAGGAATCGGTGTGCCAAGAAGTGTATTTTGTCATCTTGGAACCTGACGTGGCTCAGAGTAGCAGCATCGTCACATCCGAGAAGTATCTTTACGAATCACCTGTCTCCGACAACAACAACAAATGCAGCAGCAGAATCATTGTGTATATAAGGGGTCGATGCTGGTGCTGGTGGATGGACAATCAATCAATCAATCAATCAACCGGTGATCTATAACAAACACAACAACAACAAGCAAGAAAATGAAGTCTGCCTTTTCCATTGTCCTCTTTTCTTTGGTCATCCTCGCCCTTGGTCTTGTGCAGCAGGCCGCTGCTTATCCCCCTGGTCGTGATTTCTGTAACTGCCACTGTTACCTCGGCAAGCAAGAAGGCCTTAGACGTTGTCAACAATACAACAGCCCCGAAATTTGTGACAAGCGATTCCAACACATCCCTCAGGAATGCGGCAGCAACTGCAGTGATGAAACTTGTGGCATTGATAACTTTGGAGGCTATAACCGCTATCATGATTGAAATGAGGCAGGTGGTAACCACCATGTTGCCACCAGTTTTAGTGTAGCTTTTATCGCCTTGTGCGGTATTTATTTAGCAATGTATTAGCCAGCATATCCAATTTGATTCAATACCATGGGCTACATTAGCATCTTGTATACAATAGATCCCACGTATAAAAGTGTTTGAGAGTAAACCTTGTTTATTTCAAAAGTGATGAGGACAACGTTGTAGAAGAGAATCACATGCAATGAGATTCTGAAGGCATCCAGTAATCTTATATAAAGTAGAAAGGAGGGGATCTACATATATGCAAACCGGATGTGATACCGAGGATTAACCCCTTGCATGTAAACTAGTGTGGATCCTGATTCATTCCAACCAATTGGTTGGTGCCAATTGACTCAGTTTGCACAACCCAAATGCAAGTTCTCGGCCTGTCTAATCAAATCCCGTCCTCTTTATTCCTCCTCTCTCGTCTCCCTTTCAACCCCACGTATCTATATTTATATCTTGGAAGCGTATACATGAATCCCAAGCATGACCTTGTTGGCAGATTGGTATAATCTGCTACGTCAACACTGGCTAATCGTCCGAGATGACTCGAGCGTCCAGACATTGAAAACGATCGTGGCGGGAGTTGCTGGTGCACTTTATGCGTCCTTGTTGGTGGCAAATGGTTATTACTTTCCTCTCTTTATCGTCCTCGGCTTTGCATTAGGTGCCGTCTTCTTCTCCAATCAACAACAAGAACGCTTCAACAACTTGACTTTTGAAACACGTCCCCTCATAGGCAAGGTACAGTCATTTTAATGGGTAGCTTTTGACAAAAAACAACATGTATCACTTATGCAGCGTTTTAGGATGGGGAACAAGCTATAACAACAACAACAAACGACAACGACACGTTACGATTGTTTTATCCACCCTTGACAACTGCCGTGGACAAGTTGATCACGTACTTTTGCCGCGACTTTGTATTAACGTGGTGGACACCATTGAATCCACAGCATGATCCAGAGTTTGAGCGATCCGTCAAATCAACATTGAATGGTGCTGTGCAAAGGGTTGAAAAGCTACTTCTCAAGCAAGAAAGGAATGACATTGTCATGGCAACGCTCTATGGAATAGCCAATGTTCTCATTATTCATATGGTAAGGTTGGAAATTGGTGGATGAGAAATAAGGAACATGTGTAACTCACACGCCGTATGTCTGTGGAACCAATTAGCGTGAATGCAGGAACCTTGAAAGCTCGGGCATGTCGCTTGAAGGATATACGGCGTTGAATTCGCAATCACCTTTTGCACAATTACTCTCTCATCATGAACAACATCAACAAATGCGTGGATTGAGTACGACCATGTTGAAACGCATGCTGCCGACCAACGACACTGATTCGGTTGTACTCATGAGTCTATTTCGTGAACTACTGGCCAGCCACTTATTCGACAATATCCTCGACACCTTGAGCGATCCAGATTTCATCAATTATTACATTGTCGATTATCTTTCTGGTGATCGTGGTAATGATGCAGCAGGTCAATCTGAAGCGGATGAGAATGGAGAAGGTATTCGTAGTGTGGTGGAACGTGCTGCTGAAAGCTTGATGGCTGCTGGATTGGATCATGAAGAAGGATCTCGAGAACAACCTACCACCACCAATAATGGTACCATTCATCAAGAAGAGTCACCCATGGTCGATAGCCCAAGGACCTCCATGACATTATCACAACCTCGCTCATCATCCGAGATTCATCCATCTGCATCCGCTCCCGATTTGTCTGTGCCACCACCACAATCTCAAACAACCAATGACACTTTGCCATCCATTCCAGAAGATTCTTCTCGTAATCATCATCCTACTGCAATCAACAACAACAACGCGTCGAAAAAGAAGACATCATCTCCACGACCTTCTTATGATGCTGCACCCATGATTTATGAACCAGGCACAGTCCATTTCAGCGTCATGGATATTTCAACACCTAGTGGAAATGAGCCAACACCTGATAAGAACAAGCTCATGTTTATTGTACAAATTGAACGACCTGCCACAGCAGAAGATCATCAAGCTGGATCAGAAGGAGGTGGCTATGTGATTACTCGTACCTATGCCGACTTTGAAGTATTCCATGCAATCATCAGTGCTCGACATACCAAACGTGTGGCACGGGCCAATTTACGTCTTCCGTTGGATCCCATTTATCGATCATGGCTCAAGTTGGGTGCAAATGGCAATGGTGGAGGAAACAATGGAGGCCCCACAATGCATGATCCTGATAGTATAAGCCGAGCCTTGGAAGCTTATTTGCACACGGTGGTACAAGACAATGAAATGGGACGTGACAATATCATCCTCGCCTTTTTGAGAAAAGAACGTAGACAAGGTCCTGATGGTGGTGATCCTGCAGTCGACATTTCTTTTGCGGATGAATATATGGACGAGATTGGATCGTATGCAGCGTTATCAGCAGCAGCTGGACAACCACCAGGTGCAACAACAACAACCAATACCCTGAATGGCGCTCAAAGCAGTGTAGGCAAGGCCTTTTCAATGTTGGCACGTGCACCATCCTTGGCTGTGAAAAGTGTTAGCCGTACCATGAGTGAGACATGGGACGAAACTGGAATGACAACAGCATCCTCTTCACCAGGACCAGAGCCATCAAGACGTTGGTTTGGAAGAAAAACAGCACGTGAAGGATCCATTTGCAGTACTGTAAGCTCCATTGAGGATGAATCTCTTACATCACCACGTCAACAACAACAACAACATACCAGCATTACACCACCATCAAGTTTTTCTGAAAAGGAAGAGGATGAGTACATTATTGAAGAAGGAGAAGAAGAATTGGATGAGGATGAACAAAGACGAAGGCGGAGGCTACAGGTTGTGGATGAACAAGAGAATCCTCCACCTCCACCCAAGGATGAGCCGCATCAAATCAAGAGCAAGCCGTTATCACCTATGGAGATTGAGCTATTGATTGAGACGACGTTTGCATTGGTGGTTGAAATCTTTGACTTGACTACGGCCAACAATCGAGCTTGGATGCGAAGGACGCTATTGAATGTCTTGCGAGAAATTGTACGACGATCTTATACGGAGATCATTGCTCAACATTATACCACGTATATGCAAGATTACATGTCGCCTGAAGCACTGGTTCATCTATGTGAGAAGGTGATGGAAAAGTTTTGGCCTAATGGACGTTATGGAGATCCTAGTCCACCACGTACGGAGGAGCAAAAGGAAGCAAGCCGTCAAGAAGCACGTACCTTGCTGATGACAGCGGCTGTCCCTTCAGGTGTGCGTCAGCTCATTGGTGATCAAAACTGCAGCGCAGCCATGGATCGGTTATGGAAACGATGCCAAAATCAGGAACTCAATCGTGTACTCATGCTTCAGTTATTGGAGCGTTTGATGCGTCCCATTTTCGGTTGATCCATTAGATAAGAAAAAAATGCATTCTCCCCGTTTCTCTCTCTTCCCTCTCACACACACACGCACATCCACCCATCGACACATACATACACGCTCATTACTATATATACATAGCTACTCTTGTTCTGACTTCTTAATGTATAAAAGATTCATTACCTTTTGATTTCTCGTTGAATGGCTTACCATTACCTTGGTGTGTTTTTGGATATTGGGTGACAATGATATTGACGACTGCTGACGGATACGAGTACGAATGATGCCTGGAGGACGACGACAAGGATGGTGACAATGTAGCAAGATGAAATAAAGCATTGTTTATTTATAACACGCTTGGACTTTGCTAGCTTGTGTATTATTACTACATTACTATTGCTTCGAAGATGGAATAATAAAGGTGGTCCGGTTATCGGTCATGCAAGAAGTATATGACTTTTGTGATAACATACAATAAGGAGGTGTGGGATGACCTTGATAAGAGAAAAAGAGAAGTGATCCCTCAGGATGAGTGATCTTTCATTGAATTGATTACTGGGTTTACATATACAAATTGGTTTACGTATGTAGCTCGTCCTTCTCCTACATCCAAATGTGATATACACATACCTTGACACACCTTAATGATTGGATGTTGTTTTACTTACGTACCTTCACAAAAGGCAATCATCATCATCATCCATTTGTGCAGCAACCTGTCAAGGATGTGTTTGTGTAACCACCACATGCCGTTTCACTCAGCTCTTCATCTTCCCGTTAATGCAGTCGACACCATCCACTAGGAGAAAGCAACTCCACCACGCTTACAGCATATGCAAAACATAATGGCACTTGTATCTCTAAACTTTCCAATGAAACGGGGGGGGGTTTTTATTAGAGCAATGTGCTCGACTTGGCCAACAGCACCTTGTGTGAAAGTTTCACGATCAAGCTTGCCAATCCCAGATTTCGCAATGTCGCTACCAGCCAAACTGGATCTGGGGGTCGACCTCTTCGACGACGACGACGACCAAAAAATATTTTTTGGGCTGTTTGCGACATTGAACGCGAAACTTTCACACAAGGTGCTGTTGGCCAAGCCGAGCACATTGCTCTATTAAAAACCCCATATTTGATTGTGAAATCTTGAGATATGGATGTCTTTATGCTGTGTACGTGGTGACTATATATGACAAGTGGTCTTTGTTCATTGTCGAGTAGTATGATTACAATAGAGCCAAAGATGCAGAGGGGCGTGTTTGTGTAACACAGCTGTTTTGCATGATTGGAAGGGGCATTGTGATACTTCATACACTATTCGTAAGAGATCATCATTGGCAGCTAATAGCACATTCCTCCCATTCACCTTTGTTGACCAATCCAATGCATACGAACGATTGTGCTGCTCCAGCCTAGCGTGCCCATCATTGAACTTTCTTGATCCGAGCTGATTTGACTGAACAACGCTCAAACACAGAAGTATCATCCAATATCAGAAGAATCATTTTAATTTCCACCTCTTCCACACCCAGCGTCTTCCCTCTTCCTCCCATTCACTATTGTTGGCCCATTCAAGTGCAATTACCATCTGCGAACGATTGTCCTGCTTCAACCCATCATGTCAAGCTTACGATTGTGTCGATCCGAAAGACTTTGACTGAATGGCAAGTCCATGGCGTGGACACAGCCTTTTTTACACTCTTCGACAACACGTGCCTTTCCTGATACAACACACGCTCTTGTACACTCCTCGACCACAATCAAACGTAACAGCATTCTTTACAGCTGTTGCCATTAGCAAGGTCTTTACTCATTGTCTCAAGTTACTTGCAGCGACTTGCATTGCAGCCTTTTTTACGTGTACAGCAGGTAGCCTTTGTACAGTAGCAGCTTTATTTACGCGTAACAACTTGCTTCAACGTATACGACTTCGTGTGGATATGGATATTGGTTTGGTACATGGGATGGAAGGGGATTTGGATATACACAACGCGTGGAGAGAAGTGTATCGATTATCGACTTGACCATTATGCTTCATGCTATCATCCTCAACGATTGGTGCATGCAACTATCATACTTTACACGCGATTCCTTGCCCGCTACTATCTTCATCCTTCGCGCAACCTATCAACCATGCACAGCCATCATCTCCATGAAACTGCATTTTTGAGACCCCATGGCTATACATCAACCCCACGTATCAAGAGTCACCTCAGGTTCATCCATTCACCTTTGCACAATGCACACCCAAAGGATAGAAACTTCCAATATCGATGTATCCCCCCCATTGGAGCAATTTGTAGCACCTCTCAATCTATTCCTTGCGAATGATTTTTGGATTAAAGGATTACTTTAGTGAATACTGTACAACATTGGGTTGGCCAATCATTCCTACTAATTTCTTTTGTGAAGAGACATCCCCTCTTCCTGAGTTGGATCTCGTTGTGTATTATAAAAAGGGTTATGCAGGATTGCAGAAGCACATCCACTTGTAAATGCTGTGATAAAGAAAAAAGAGAGGAAGAGAAAGGTTCTGATTGATTTATGGTGTCTTGAACAAGGGCTGTGTTCGATAGTACACCTCATCCCCTTCCTTAACTTATGATTAGATCTTGTCAAAAACATCGTGTGCACATGTCCCTTTTATATGTTTCAGGTCTTGTATGTAAGGTAGTTACTTTATTAATGTACGGCGGGAGATTGAAGTTGCATCGCTGCATTATCTACAATTAATGTTGCACTTGTATTGATCGAGGAAGCTTGAAAGGATGCGCTTCGGTATTGAATACATAATCATTCATCGAAATGCACTCCTTATCCACAAATGTCAGGTAAAGGTATTTGAGTGTCTCTGCAAAAAAGTAGCTATTTATGTACGTCTGTTAGATGCATGAACAAAGTTTTCGTTGCCATGGATACGTGCCTCTCTTGGAAATCATCTTGCTCAGGATCAAGCGTATCAACGTTGAATATACGTGTGAATCCTGAAGGCGTACGTGTGTACTTGTTGATGGCTTCAAACATGGACCATGCTATATCCTGATACTTTGTGTCTCCTGTCAAGCGGTAAAAATAAAAGATGCTTTCAATGGTTTCTATATCAATGCATGATTAGATAGCAGGTTTCCCTTTTTCCTTGCGTCGTTGTAGTACTACCTGGCCGTAAATCGTAAAGCCCATTATCGATGGTAAAAGAACGAATCATTGATTGTTGTCGTTTCCTTGTAGGTGGTTCACCACGATTGGTGTTAACGGACCAAGACCAGCTTTCAGGAGCAATACCAGTGGCAGTCTTTTCCCATACCGCTTGGCATGCATCCATAAAGTCATTGGCAAATTGCCAGTATCTTTGTCGACTCCGATCATCAGGAACTTGACTTGCTCCTAATGCAATGTTGCCCGGCCAAAAGCAAATCTGCACAAACAAACGAAGCTTATTATACCTCACAAAGTCCTCTTCCCTTATCCTCCTAACTTACCAGTTCTTGAGAAGTATACTGCAACCGATTGGCATTATCATTCGTGGCCGATGCAACAAACATGCGGCTCACAGGCCCTTGAGATGGTGCGGCAAGATGTCTCTCAATACTTTCGACTGCCGTTGTCCATGCATTCAATAAACGATCCCTTTCATCAGTGGGTGTATCCAGCTGCAGCAAATAATTCTTGATCAAGTACTCATAAAAGCTGTCAGCACCGCCTCCAATGGTGGTGATACCTGATTTAAAAGACCACCATTAGAGAAAAAGAAGCAGCAAAGGGAATTGTTGACATAAGATACTCACTTGAATTCACGGGTTGAAAAGTGTGAGCATCCCATGTTGTGGGAAATAGGCCTGGAATGGCGGTAGGTTCCATTAAGGCTCGATCAACCACGCTATTGGCGTAGGCTGCATACTTTGGGTCTCCAAGGATTTGTGATAATCGTGTAAACTCGAGACTATACGTGCCAAACTCTGCTAGGTTGATAGTGTCAGCCATCACAGCTTCCTTGCTACATGTACATAATAGGTTGTCGTGTGAGTAGGTGGTGATGTTGTAGACAACATGACAATACTCACGTTTTCAAATCCATATACGTCAATGGTGCCTTTGAGGGCGATTGATCAAACAACGGCAAGAGGACATTGTCGGTAAGTTCTACAGCCTTTTGGACCAGCAAGGGATTAGGTGCCAAATCATTGGCTGCCAATAGTCCTCCCAAGTATCGTATGCCAGTTTCAAATCCTTTCACAGGCGTATCCGATTGAGTAAAATCGATCTCGGCAATGTATTCAAGCGCTTCGTTGTACTCGTCCTCCAAGCCCATGATAAGCATGGTGTCAAGGCCATCCACAATACTGGCTGTTGGTCGTAGTAGATGCATCAGTGATCGTAAATCACTATTACAAAAAGATCCCTATTTTATCTTACCTCCCCAACCATTCCTACAGATACATTGGTAAGCGTTTGGATGCAACGCAACTAAAAAAGTTCATGATTACCTTGAGTTTGATGATCCATTTGACTTTGGCAACAATTCATCTGAGCCCCAAGCATGAAGCCTATAGCCGTTATATGCATGTTGAAATGCTTCCTTGATTGCCATGGCACGAGAATCATTGTTTGCAGTACAAGCGGCAGTGATGGAAGGTAATGGCTTGTTGGCAGCATGGGTGGGTGCTGTTCGTACAATGACAGCAAGTAAGCATAGGCCTGCAACAAGGAGAATCAATTGGATGCTGATGGACATAATCTTTTGAATCCTTTTCTTTCGTTTTGTCATGGCAATATTGGTAGTAGCTTTATATGTGATGCGAAGATGAGTGAGCGAAAGAGGGTATGATGTTGTACATGGGTAGATTTACAAATACGATGGTCATCATGGCCCTTTACGTATCAACCAGTTGCCACATCTTAGTTCTCTATAGGAGCCATTTGTGTCATCGAGGTTGCCACCGAGAAAAAGGGGTTGATATTTAAACCGACGACAATGGGACACTCTTGTTACTACCGGTCATAGAAATTTTATGCCGAGGAGCAGAATGAATCACCTCTCCTTTTCAACGTGTGATTGATTTCTACCAAACGCATCAAGAAGCCTTGCTAGCGGTTGTAAGGTTATGCAGAAAAAGTAACTTGTGCACTTGTAATTTTGCACCATAAGCTTACAGGCATCTTTTATTCCCGGAATCCTTATAGCTGCAAGATGATCTGTCTCATTGATTTCTATACCCCCTTAATCACATGTTGACATACATCTAATATGCAACGGCACTCCCCCGGTTTCGTCGTCTTTGAAACTGCTTTGAAAGCCTGCAATAGCCCATTGCATGTTAATGATGAATGGCTTTCGACTTTCTCCTTTCATAATGAACGCTTGTACCAGTAGTACAGTAGGCACACGTGCATTTTGAAACCTATGGTGAGTGTTTTACACAGGCCCTTTTTTGTGTTTTTAGCACATCAGCGGCTGTATATCTCCCTTGGCATCACCTTCAAAGGTAATAATGGTCATACCCATTGCTCTTGGCAACCTGGGAGTTGTATCTTTTGAATACGTATGTATCCCCTGTTGTATCATACATAATTAATGAAATGCAATGCATGGCAGGGATGAGATGATGGTCCGTGAACCGCATAATGCAGCAAAAGATGCCAGTGACGGGTTTGACAGGAAGTGAATATCTAGCATCATGCATGAGATCTATATGCAACTACGCTGCTGCTATGGTATATGATGTGTATTACTGCTATGAACATGACAATGGATTTCTCGTTATAAAATGAATAGAGCCTCCATGTTCATGATAACTTGTGAAAATATGGTTGTTATAAAGAAGTTGGATGAGGGGTTTATAGCACAATAGGAGTGTATGATATTAAAAACAGGTTGGGTGCACGCTACAATATTCTCCATGGACACGACAGGGACCTTCCATTCACGCTCATGTTGCAACAACAGCTGATCGTATCTCCATAACATGCCACCTCGTATCAGGAACCAGGATAGCTTTTTGACCCAATGCATGGTACATGTCACCATTCGATGTCACATCGATCGCATTTACCTTGATGATGATACTCACATGAATCAACCTTACATACAACATGCATTGTATGTTCTGAAGCACTTGCTGACTTGGTATCCTTCAAATCAAATTCCAACTTGGGACCATAAACCATCACATCCTAGATACAGTATCAAGCGACTTGCATCCCATCTTGAAAGAGCGCCAATCAAAATTACTTCTCCATCCACCATCTTTAATCCAACCACCCACCAACATTCTCTCGTCACCCTCCAAAATAAAAATACTTGTTCACCAAAATTGCTTTGCCAACGTCCAACAATAAACCTTTTAGTCACCAAAATTCTCTTTTCATGTTCAACTTTCACTGCTATCTATACAGACAAATCATCAGCTCACAGAACTTGATAAAATGCGGGCACTCGTCCCATGAGCAGGGGACAGTTGCTGAGCGCAGCTGAATAACATGCCATTTGTGATCCGACCCGAGAGTTGTCTTGAGCAAAGTGGTCTGATTTCGAATGCATTGTATACCGTAGACAGCACGTTGGTAGGCCGTGGTGGCTGAGACTTGCGCCATTTCCTGTAGTTCCATTTTGAGCGTGGAGGCCATCTCGTCCACTAACTTGTAGGTATCATCCAGACTATGCGTGATATCCTCTTCAATGTATGCTGATGAAGACTCCATTATGATAGTTTCTCTGTTGTTGATCCTTCCCACTCCATCCGCGTAAACGATGTGGGTGTCGTTCTTCCAGACGCCAGGAATGCGTTGGCTATGTTGGTGAGCGACGATCCGATCCTCACACCTATTATCCAATGGAATGAGAAAGAGTGCCTTCAAACTACATTCATCATAACAGACTTACCATGAGAATACAATGAGAATACAACATTGGTAGTCGTATCCAAGTATTTGAAAAATGGTACTATGCGCTCAACCCAAAATGTGCGTTCATGATGGTTCACCCTGAATGTTGATCGATAACACATGGCCAAGTAATCGGTGAGACAAAGGCAGATGAGCCTAAGGACCTCGTGCTCATTGTTGTTGTCGTTTGTTTTTCCCCGCATTGACTTCTCCATCTCCCAGATTTTGCTTGCAAAATCGTTATCAATGTCATCATTGTCGGTGGCGAGCAAATCTTTGATCTCTCCATGGCCACGGAAGCCGCTATTATATCAACCTCATGAGGGCTGTGGTACGCCACCTATCCCAGCCTTGGATATGCATCTCGGGAGGTAGCTTGTATATCCAAAGGAACATGAGTTCGTGCATCATCAAGCAAGATGGTCAGGATTTACCTTAATAAAAGAGCCATGTATATCACAATGACAATGAAAGTAGGATAACAATGAAAGGCTAAAGGTCATCACAAAATGAGTCCATGGATCGCTCACAAAACAAGACCAACAATCATCATGATACTCACATTAACTTAGGCTTCGAAGGTGTCAGCAATCAAAGAGTGATACGAAAGAAAGAGATGGGTGGAAGCGAAAAAGGGCGACAACATGCTTGTTTATATGTGGATGGTGGGCGTGGGTATTTCTGTTGACCACAAAGAGTGATAAATTGATTGCTGGGGGATGATGCATGAATTGATAAAGTGGTGCATGTGCTGATAAATGACGGGGTTCATCCTCCAAGAGTGGTACTTTTTCACGCACACACACGCTCCACCCTGCCAAAATGCAAGTACTACCACAAATCTCAATACAACCTGATTGGCATGAAGCTGTACGCGATGTCGTCGGTCAAGACACTACTGAAGAATCATTCTGGGCATCCTGCTATAAAAAAGGTAGAGCCGATCTTGCTGCAAAAGGACTTCCTATGGCTGATTGGTTTCCATTGTAGGTGGCGAGTCAATTCACGGTTCAGTGACCATTGGGAAGGGTTCTCAACCACGTTCAGTCGCATTGCAAGGTAGTGAGGGTATTACAGCCGAGTATATCAATTCTGTAAGTAAATGGGTTCTTCTCTTTGTACGCGTGTATATGCAGACCCATTGATTCGTTCATCTCTTGTAGCGCTCTTTCAAGATGGGATGCAAGTCGCTTGATATCTCGGATGTGATGGTTTATGGTCCCAAGTTGGAATTTGATTTGAAGGATACCAAATCGGTAAGTGCTTCAGGGTGCGCAATGCATGGCATGTAAGGATGACTCATGTGAGTATCATCATCAAGGTAAATGCGATCGATGTGACATCGAATGGCGACATGTATGCATTGGGTCAAGCCGATCGTATCATCATTGGCAATTTGAGTGATGGCAAGGAAGAGGTAACTATGGGGCTTTCTAAATGGATGTGCCAAAAGCTGACAAAAGATCACCTTGGTATGTAGAGAGTGATGCAAGGGCACCTTGACGATGTCACCACGGTTCAATTCTTCCCGAGTGATCAAGTCATCTTATCCGGTGGTGCTGATTTCCAAATCAAGATCTGGTCTGCCATTGATGGAAGTAACCCAGTTACTTTGGTTGGTCATACAAGTGGTATTTATTCATTCGCGATAGTGGCAACATGAACATCCTGCTCACGTGGTTTTCTATTTAGTCATCACGGATACAGCCATCATTGATCGGGGACGGAATGTACTTTGTATGTTGAAGGGATATCATTAGGAGATGAGTATACTAATGTATGCATTGCTAGCATCATCAAGGGATGGCACGATACGTTTATGGCATTGTGGTAAGTTTTGAGAATCAATCCAACGGCGCGTTTGGTTTAACAACTTTGTAACTAGGCACCGGAACAACCATCTCCATTGTTGCCCAATACAGCGTACCAGTATCCAAGATCCTATTATGCCCACTACCATCGCAATACACTGCCACAACGCCCGATCAATTAGGTGGGTATTTGTCTTTATTGGTGATGAAGGGGAGGAACCAGTATATTAATGGGGAGGGATTGAATAGATGAGCGTGAAGTTGAAACAGGCGACAAGATGGTCCTTGCAGCTCTTGGAGATGGTCGTGTTGTTGGCATACACCTTGGTACAAAAAAAGAGGTACATAATGGCGTGATGGATGATTATGCATAATATTGATCCTATTACTGTATAGCTTTTCCGCACCGAGAAACAAGAATCTCCCTTGGCTGCTCTCGCATACCATGGCGAATCAGGGGTATTTGTCACCGGTGATATCCATGGCAAGCTGTCTGCATACAATCAAAATGAGCAAAGTCCCTGTTTACAATGGCAACGTTCGGAGCATGCAGTAACTGATTTGGTGATCAAACTCAATGAGGATGGCGAATTGGCGGTTTTTGTGGCTAACGGTAAGCACGTGTTGTCCTGAGGCACCCATTTACAATATGCTAAACTTCCTATGGTAGCCGATGGTAGCTTATACCAAACGAGTCCCATTTTACTTGCAATGAAGCAACCCGAGAGCTTACGTCTAGCTGGTGAATATTCTGGAAACGAGCTAGAATCAATCCATTGTTTAAAGGCGATCGCAACCAAGGAAGCGAATGGACACGAGAGATTAATATGTGGCAATCGTGCAGGACATGTAATGATTTATTGATGCAATAGTAAACAATGATTATTATTATTTGCGATGGAATTGGTATGCAGCTTTGCCTATCCGTTTGTTCTTTTTACTTGCGCTGAGCATGGCGTCTTTTCGTGGAATTGATTTCCTGTGCATTAATCGGTCTCTAAAGTTGAGGATCTTGGTATCGGTTGGTGCAGGTCGAGGTCGATTGTTAAGGACTTTGACTGTATATTCGCCTACACGCCGTTCATTGGCTTGGATGCGTCTCTTTTTTGCCTTCTTTTCAGCTTCCTCCTCTTCAGCTTCCATGCGTTCAAAATCGGCTGCCGTTAAATGAGATCGTTTGTGCTGTTTGGCATCCTCAGCTGCTGCTTGTGCTAAAAGTTCGGCAGGCAATAATCGATTATCGTCGTCCTCGTTCTCCTCCTCATCTTCCTCTTCCTCTTCCTCTTCACTCTCTTCTTCTTGGACCACTTCCTTCTTCTTGTTGCGTTTGCTGGCCTCCTTTTGTAACTTGAGTTGTTGATCGCGTTGGCGCCTTCGTTCCTTTTCTTTTTCAGCAGCCCTAAAACATGATAAGATACTCGAACTCTAAATAAAGGATGCTTGTGTTCCTACCGTTTTACCGAATCACGTTGTGCTTTAGCTTCTTCCAATGCACTTGATTTGGCGGTTGTTGTGGACACTGCTTCAGGTGCTTCATCGTCTGAATCCGATTCCACTACTGGTTCTTCAATTACAGGCTTCTCCTCGAGTACAAGATCATCGTCTCCACCGATAACGTTGCCGTCGTCGTCAAAAGTCTTTTTCGGCATAGCTGGTCTATGTGTGTATATATAAGAGGTGAAATAAGGAAAGCAGTAGCGAGTGTCTCATGCCATTGAAATAATGAAAATGTGGCTTTGTTCACATGATCCAGCTGTCAATTGTACCATTCAAACCCAGATACCTTCCCCTTGAAAATCTCTAGGTAGCTACTTGTACAATAAACCATTATGCAACTTGCTTATTCGACAATGTTATGCATTTCATCATGAAGATGAGGGCTTTCTGTTCATTGCAATTGATATAGAAAACACATGCTATCCCATTTTCTTTCATATCAAATGGCCCTGTATCATAGGGGGTTGTGCTTTACAAGTAGTAGTAGGCAAGCAAAGGACACTTGTATTCAATGGTATATACTTTATGACAACTATTATTACTTATTTGGAAGGTTTTTGCTCTGCATACAACTTTTCTGTTTCTACAAATTTGCGCCTTCGAAGATAACTACATCCATTATGTTAGACGCATATCCTTAATCCGGTTGTTCAAAGCAGCTTACCTTTTTGGTCGGGGGCGGCATAAGACTTGAGCCATGTTCAGGACCGGGTTTCCTCTATTGTAAGGATTGGCGCTAGGATACTTTGTATTCATGATCGATGCTCGTAGCTGAATAAATCCATTGTTGTCAGTACATCAAAGATACCATCGTTGACGTTGTCGATTTTACCTGTTCATGAGTGGTGATGCCTCGTAGGATGAGTGAGCAATGGTATAAGGTTAGGCCACCGACCATGAGCAAGAGCACAAAGCAAACGATGGCTAATACGAAGCTGACCGGAGCTGCATTAAAGACGGCACTGAAGGAGGTATCATCTTGTGAATCGCGATAAATCAGGATCAAATGAACGGCAGAGAAGGCAATAACGAAAAGACAAAGCAATGTTGCGGTAGTGATGAATACAAAAAAGGGTCGATAGTTGCGCTTGCCGATACAATTGTTGAGCCAAATACAATGATGATCCTCGGTTTCTTTGTTGCTGTTGTGTTAGAAATGATATCCAAAAGGAATGTAATCCTATCCAAGTAACTTACCGACACAATTGTCGCATTGACGACAATGACTAGCACGAGGGGGGCGATATATCCTGCATGTTTCACAATAGCGTAATGTCCAAGTATTATCCTTGATTTGTACTTGCTTCTGTGTGGGGAATCCTTGGTGCCACATAGAGCCATAAGCGGAGCCATGATCATCATAGGGCTGGTCCATGGCTGGAAAAGGATCAAGGTCACGGGGGATGATCTGCAAAAGACCTTATCAATAAAACAATGACACACTCCTTGATTGTAAATATCCCCACTTACACCAGGATCCGTCCAAGATGTCTTGATCATTGAAGCCAACGAAAGAAGAAAGAGATAAGCAAATACAATTGGAATGGCAGGATGAATATGCTCCCAAATAAAAGGACATCTAAATAAAAACAGAGTCAATCACCTTGACAACAACTCTTTATAAGCCCTCAAACAACTTACGTGAAGATACCAAACAATACGGATGGTCCAATCAATAAAACCAATGCCAATAGGAATGCCCAATATTCTCTGCTCGTCATGAGGCGACCACCACAAAAAAACTTGTTGCGACCTGGAAACATTTGATAATTCCTCACAGTTGACTTTTTGGCGAGATCCACAGTCTTCCCTCTTGTCAACGTATCCATTGGAATCATTGAATTGGAAGGGCCTGGTCCATCAGTAGAAGGTCTTGTATTGTGGTGGGGTGATGGAGATGGTGATGGTGATGGTGATGATGATGGCGGTGGTGGTGATAAAGGAGGGTTGGATGGCCTATTCAAACTTTGTCTTGTAGCATTGAATCGAGCGTCTCTTGAAGCATCAGCAGGTAATGCAGGAGGATGATGAGGATGAGGAGGATGCGTTGCTACTGATACTGATGGAGGATGATATGTATTACTGCGACCTTGTCCAATCAATGTTGTACTGTCATCGCTTGTCATATTTGAAAGCGTCGTCATACCAGAAGAATGAGGAATTTCATGCGAGGATGATGGCTGATTCATGGATGTTTGGATGCTGCTACTTTCGTCTGTTAGAGTGCGTTGTCGTAATTGTTCTCTAGTGTGTTGTTGTTGGTGGTCGTGGTGGTGATGGTTGGGTATTGCCTTTGTGGTTTCAGAGGAGGGGATAGCGTTAAAGTCAAAGGTTTCTAAGGAATCGGGTTGATAGGACAAATCGCTAGCTGCGAAACGAATGATGGAAGAAGAAGGATGTGGAAATGGTGCAGGTGTCAACAGATGTCCTTGTTGGTGGTGGTGGTGTTGTCCTAATGTTGCAAAGTTGTGTTGTTCGGTTGCAGGGTGTTCTGATAGAGGTACGCCAATGGAGCTAAATGTGGCAGCTTTGTACTTCACCTCCCCATGGTCATCAGACAAAGAGGTTGCATGCATGGGTTGCCGTTCATTTTGCTCCATGTGCAAGTAGAAGGTATTAATAAAGGTGGAAAGAGTAAAAGTACAAAATGAAAAAACGAGTTTGGTCAAGTCGGGCCTAACAAACCATATCGAGTAGCAGTGCACGCTATGTAATCATTCATCTCCTTTTACTTGCTCACTACCGATATCATGGTTACTATTGCTACCGTTGCTACCACTACTACTATCATCTAATCGAGGTATCCACATCGATTCCGGGATTGCTTTGGCCCACTCTATTCCATTGATCTCGCGTGGTCAATGCATAAATTCCTTGTCACAACAACATCATCCCATCTTTTTAAGCTTACCAGGCACTGCTTGATCTGATAACTGGATCTTGCTCATGATTGATTTAATAGTGTTGGCTGTATCTAAATATGCAGGACAATATGAATTGTATGTAAGCATGCATGGTTGCTGTGCAGCAGGTTCAATTAACATACCTTCCGAGACTTCTTCGGATTTTTCTAATGGTGATAACGTCGGTGGTCCTTGTGGAAGATCAATCACTGGTTCCCTATCATCCTCATCCTCATCGGTCAAAGATACCCCTTCATCCTCTTCTTGGGCCAATTGTTCATATCCAAAGGGAATCTCGTTGTCGCTTTCACTCTCACTCTCACTGCCTTGTTGGTGCGTTGTTTGATGAACAGGTGTAATAGAGCACACTTTTGAAGAAAGAACTGCTGGTCAGCAACCAACTATTCAACCAACAATCTGAAACCTATACCTTGCTCTAATTGCCGTGCAAAGTCTTCAACGACGTCTTCAGAAGGTGAATCTGGTACGAGTCATTAGTGCGATGTAGGTAGATTGGGCCAAATGCTTACCATTCATCGGAGAGGAAACGAGAGACGCAGCTCCAAAAACCCACAAGCAACGCAACCCATCTTTATAAAGACATCAACCCATCCACATCCATTATCCTATATCTATACAACCATACCTTTGGCTTATAATAAACCAAGAATTGACAACAATTAGCCTGCTGCGATTTTGATATTGTGATAGCTTATGCTTGTACCTGTGTACCCTTCTCAAGTCGATCACTTGAACCACGCTTACCCATCATCCACTAACTTGCTCCATACATAGTATGCCTCCCACTATGTATGATCTAAATAACATCAATCATCCCTTTCAAATCCCTTGTCGGAAACGGTCGAATTCTCGGTCCGGCATGCATGATGATATAACAGCATGCCGTCCAATGCTGTGATCTTGCGACATTCCATCATCAATGATAAGAACAACACACACAATTCATGCGAGGGGTCTATGTATTCTTTAACGGATAATATCAAACGAGATGATGTGCGCGTGTGTGTGTGTGTTTGTGTACACATCACCAATCCAATGCCGATCCCAAAACCCGTATGACGCATACGGCATTTTCCCGACAAGCGCGGGAATAAAAAAAGTCATACCACGAAAGGGTATAAAAAGGGTGTGTGCATGAATCCACACAAACATAAACACGCTCACGCTCTCTCTCACACATACTCAAACAATGTCTACTGCTCTCGCCAACATTCGTCCTATCGCCATCACAGCTAACGGCATCTTTGCTGGTCTTGGTCTTACAATCTCATTTGCTGCTGTCCCTGCTCTTCGTGCAGCTGGTTATTCACCTCGTGCTTGGCAAGCCCTTTATCGCCGTGGTGCTGTTATCGGCATTAGCAGCATCCTCGTGTCCTCAGCAGCTCATTTCACCACCTATTACTTGACGCTTGACAAACGCGCCCTGTGGTGTGGTATCATTTCCTTCATCAGTGCACCTTATACCATGATCTTTATGAAGCCCACCAATGATCGTTTGAACCTGCTGGCAGACACGAACAGCAAGGAAGACGCGTCCCAACTTGTTGAAAAATGGGCTACACTTCAATCTTTTCGAACGTTGGCAGGCCCACTTGCCTTTTTGCTTGCTGTATTCTAAATAAATCTCCAAGCTGAATAAAGCATGTCTTGCTGAAACAAGTATTTATTTGTTGTTGTCGCTGAAATCAAATCAAATGCTTTTTTTGTTGTCTAAAGAGGAGTAGTTCTAGTAATACATGTACAAATTACATCTTTGCACCCATGAAAGCAGCCACCTTGGTTGCTTGACGCACACCCAAATCAAGCATGATCTCTTCTGAACCACCTATAAACCCAAATTGTTGTTAACATGGAAGCTTAAAGGAAAAGGAAATGATGATAGTAACACATGCCTGGAACAGCGTAAGCCCTGCTTTCTCTTTGAAGTCTTTCAATACGCTCTCCTTGACCACCACGTGAATAAGACAATCCACCAAAGATTTGGGCAGCTTCACGTGTACAGAATTCCATGGTACGGGTAGCTTGAGCCTTGCATAGAGCAATGGGACCACCCAATCGGATGGGTTGTAATTCTGCAGGCATCTGGGTCACTTGGTATGTCAATGCTTCAAGCCAAGCGTGCGTCGCTTCACATTTTCGGATCATGTGCGCAAGCTTGTTTCGAATGACTGGATGATCGATCAATCGCTTGCCGAATGTTTTGCGCTTGTGTGCATACTATTATTGCTTTATCTATGAGAATCCCATGATGCTTAAAGTAGCAAAGCAAATTACCTTGAGCGAGTCTTCAATGCACACACGAGCGAATCGATTGGCTTGGATGATGATACCAATACGCTCACTATTAAAGTTGCTATTGAAAAGACGCATTAGCAACATGTACATGCGTACACCTTAACCTGAAAAGCTCGCATACATACTACATGATGTATTTGAATCCTCGGTTTTCCTTGCCAATCAAGTTTTGCTTGGGCACCTTGACATCTTCAAATGTGACATAAGCAGTACCAGAAGGCCACATGCCTGAACATTGCATTTGACGTGTGGATACACCAGGCATGGTGCGTTCCACCAAAAGGAACGAGATACCACCGAAACCAGGGTCACCTGTCCTGCAGGCCACTGTAAAGTAGTCAGCGTATGCACCATTGGTGATCCACTTTTTCTCGCCGTTCAACAAGTAATGGTCACCCATGTCCTTGGCTTCCGTCACCAGGCCGGCCACATCTGAGCCTCCTGATGGTTCCTACAACACCCCATAAAAGTAAATAAAGTTTGCATAAAAAGTACTCTATACCATTTACATACCGTAATGCACAAACAGATATTCTTGGTGCCAGCCAAGCAATCCTTGACGACCTTACGCTTTAGCTCATCAGAACCAAAATGAATCACGGGTGGCAATCCGATACCCAATCCACCAATCAAGGCCCAGACAACCTTTGTAAATCAACATCAGTATAGAGTACATAAAAGATGATGAAGGTGTCTCATACTTACACCACCTGATCCACATCGACATAATTCGTCGACAACAATGAGACGATGGAAAGCATCAAATTCTTCAGGCTTTACACCAGCAGGCAATGGGTATGGGTAAAGTGACGGATCCTCATTTTGGACACTGGCGCCGAGAATACCAGCTTGAGCCGCCTTGATAAAAACTTCCTTGGGTACCTTTTTAGCTTCATCCCATTCATGGCAGAAAGGGATGATTTCTTTCTCTACAAATGCACGTACTGCCTTTCGTACAGCACGATGTGATTCATTGTAATAGGGGCTGTACCAATCTTGATACCTATATCATGTAGGTAATTAGGCTTTGGGCAGCTTTGATATGGCACTTTTTACTTACCACATGGGATCACCAAATGGCACCATATCACCAAACGTCTCTCCCACAGTCAAGGGCGACTTTTCATTGCCTTCTTCCTCCTCCTCTTGGGATGCTTCTTCTTCTACACCAGTGCCAATCTCACCAATAAGGAATTGAGATGCCACCTTTTGCAAGACACTAGCATTGTGGAAATTTTCAAACTTTTTGGTGGCGTCCTTGCCAGACTGCTTCAACAAGATCTTTTTGCCACCTATGTATGAGCATAGCATGAATCAACATTAGTCGAATCATCACGATGACAATCGTTCCTACTAAATACATGCCTGGATGATCGTTCAAAAAGTTGGTAACATCATAAACCTTGTCATGGATGATCACCCAGCTATACGTGGTGGCACGATATGTATGTATTTAGCACAATCGTGTTACACGTATTGATACATGATGGACACCATACCAATCATTCTCGCTGTTGTGCTTTGCTACTTCTTCAATGGTGAACTTCTTGGTCGACATTGGTTCAAAAAGGGTAAAGAAAGAAGCATTCATCACTTAGCATCACTGACTTTATCAATGATTTGATTTCTTTCACATGTCAATGTTCGATCACTTTTTAGCAAGGTTACTCAATCACATCATCACTCCAACCACGTGAATATCCTCCACATTTTGTGTCGCGTTGAATAAAAAAGATGCCATGTTTTGAATGTTGTTGTGTGGGCGGGTGTGTGTGTGGGTGGGTGGTGTTTTCAAAGAAGGAGGTTGGGGTTGGGAATTTCTCGCACTCTTCAGCACTCTATGATGTTGCGGATGGTAGTAAAGGGTAGAATACTTAATCCTTGGTGACGTTGTGGATAGCTTCAGCAAGGTACTTGACGTTGCCAGAGGAGATACCAGCCATGGAGATACGGCCATCACGGGTGAGGTAGACGTGCCAGTCATCCTTGAGCTTGTCGACTTGCTCGGGAGTGAGACCAGAGAAGCAGAACATACCAATCTATATTGCGCGTATATAATAAGTTTCCCCGTTGCCTATCTTTATGTACAACAAGTGATCGGCTGTTTTTGCCTTTTTCGTCGTACCTGGTTGGTAATGTGTTCCCAGTTCTTCTTGGAGCCAAAGTCCTGCTCAAGATGGTTGCGGAGTTTGTTTCTATTGTGTATTGACATGTGAGAGTCACGCTCTTTACCCTCGGATCCATGGCCGGAAGGTAAAACAATACCCGGCTGCTACTACTATTATACACCCCCATTCACTCACCTCATGGTAATAATACGATCAGCCATAAACTTAACCTCCTCGAGCCATTCTTGCTTGAGTTCAGGGGTGTTGAGCACAGTGCTCACAAGGCGGGCACCATGGATAGGAGGGTTGGAGTACATGGGACGAATAAGAATCTTGAGTTGGGACTCGACACGAGCCTTCTCTTCAGCATCAGCACACACAACAGAGAAGGAACCAACACGTTCACCATACAAGCCCATGTTCTTGGCGAAGGATTGAGAAAGAACCAATTGGTGACCTTCAGAGGCAAACTTGCGAAGAGCATAGGCATCACGAGTGCAGTCGCCAGAAGCGAAACCTTGGTAGGCCATATCGAAAAAGACAAAGTGATCGCGATCCTACATATATGTATGCATCCCTTGTGAGCCCTTTTTTCATCCTAATTCCACATGTAAAAGATGAATCATTACCTTGACTACTTGAGAGATCTCATCCCATTGTTGTTGAGTAGGGTCAACACCAGTAGGGTTGTGTGCACAAGCGTGAAGCAAAATGACCGAGTTCTTGGGGGCAGCCTGATTTACAAGGTGTTACCATTAGTCATCTCTCTATTCCACCCATGTCGATATCAAAAAACCCCCCTTACCTTGATGTCTTCAAGCATGCCGTTGATGTTAAGGCCATTGGTGTTCTTGTCAAAATAGGTGTACTTTTCAATTTCGAGACCAGAGTGCTTGAAGATGGGAAGATGGTTACCCCAAGTAGGGTTGGGAACGTAGACCTTCTTGGCGTGGGGATAGAAGGAGTCAAGGAAAGCAGCACCAATACGGAGAGCACCAGTGCCTGAAATGCTTTGAGTGATGGCAACCTATAATGTATACATGATCATATCAATAACAATTCATTTTTTCATTTTCATGCTATTGTATACTTACGCGCTTGTCGTTAAGGAGAGCACTGTCATCACCATAAGCAAGACGACCAGCAGCCTCAATGAAGGATGGGACACCAGTGATACCAGCATATTCCTTGTCAAGGTTTTGATCCAACAAGACCTTCTCAGCCTACATTTGCATACCATGTAAGCGATTTGCATGCATAGGATGATCCTAGCCGATGTACCTTTTGAACAGAGTTCAAGACATAAGGCTTGCCGTTATCATCACGGTAGGCACCGACACCCAAGTTCATCTTGTTAGGGTTGGTATCTCTCTTGAAAGCCTCAGTGACACCAAGAATGGCATCAGGGGGACCTGATTGCGAAATGACGCGCGACATGAGCTATCCAATGCAAGCGTAAAGTGTGTATGTGTGTAGGTGGTTTACCTTGAGGAACGTTGCTCCAGGTGGAGACGAAGGCACGAGAGGCCATGAATGAAGGGCGCATAGCGACACGAGTGGCTGCTGAGAGCATTGTTGTGTGTGTGTGTGAAGAGTGAGAGAGAGAGAGAGAGAGAGAAGGGTGAAAGAAAAGAGAGAGAAAGAGAAAAAATGACAGCCGGGATCAAATAGCGGTGGTTAGAAAAATGTTCGTGGAGATGGCCCGCACGTAAACGATTGAACCAACCCGGATATCCCGTGATGATGGCCAACCACAGTTTGTATCTCCCCAGCTTTTTCCCTTATCTTCCCTCCCCCCGCGGAATCCTTTAACAATCCCCCAACTACCCTTTTGGCATTCGTGAGAATTATCTCACCTGATTATCGCCACGTTTTTTGCTATGGAAACTCTATTACAAACGTCTTTTACCTCTTTTTACTTTTATGCTTATTCGAACTCTTCAAATGCAGTCGTTGATGCATTAAATGAATGCATAGAGCAAAGGCATTTTATTGGATATCACTTGAACCATTGTGGGGAATAATGACTCATCATTTGCCACACCGCTACCTATATAAACGCAATCACGTTGTCATCATTGCAACAACAAAAAGTGTGGCACTAGTCATCACCACAAATGGTACCTTTACCCTCCTTTTCCCGACATGTCCCTCTGACAAGAAAAAAGATCGGCACACATTTAACGAACACACACACACACAACCACATCATCATCATCATCATCCATGTCATCATGATATATATTTGCTCACGATATGCAATATGGGAAATGTCGTTGTGCATCACCACATTGCGGAGCAAATCCGCTCTTCCGATGCTGCCCGATGAGAAAAGCATGCCAAGCAACCCGTAGAGCGAAAACGAAAAGCATCAACCTTATGCATCGTCCTACCAACCTTGATCTCATGTTTTGCTATCATCTCCTACCTTTGCATGCACATACTGCAACTAGCAATGGCATGAGTTACAGAAAATACATGGGGCGGCGATATAATAATGCTGGCGTTGTTGTTGTCTGCTTTGCACAAAAGGGGAATTTCCCTTAAAGGTTTTGAGTTTTCATGCTGCACAAACATGGCGATCCGCTCTACCTGTTAGCTGTTATCTGATATGGCACATCGTATTACTTATAGCTGAAGAGCTTGAGTCGTTTTTGTTGGTAATGATCCGGATCGTTTACAAGTTCCTTTGCTATTCTACAAGATAGATGCTACATCAGCATCCTCGGGTGCTACTTGCTCTTTTCATGCTCTTTCAAAAAGCTTCGCATTAGCAACTCAGCCATTTGGTCACGCATAGCCCGTCTAGGATGATGATGATGGATACGAAAGCGGGTGTCTCGTACTTTGGGGTAATCATGCCACTTCCCACTTGTAGGACCACTGATGATGATGCTTCAAGTCGAACGACCTACTTCTTAAAAGCAGCTTTCCATACAATAGGATGTCTGCTCATATTACTTTACAAGCGATAAATAGTAATGTTGATAGGTGTGCATATAAAAAGGGCGTGCCATTTGAAAAAGGTGGATGCATAATGTTCATGGCAAAAGTGGATACATGATGAAAGATTGGCACCTCCACTGCTGGCAATTGACCACTCATTAAGATCACGTGACAAGTATAAAGTAGAGCTACGAATGTATTATTTATTGGTACAACCCATCTATGCTATGTATAAAGGTTATTGTTTCAAATTGATCTCTTGGTTGGTGTATGAGTGAATTGGGCGTTCACAGCAATGTGCATAATGGGATTGTGTCGGCCACTCGTGACGGCGCATTTTTACTGTCAGCTCTCATTCGCATTCATCTCTTGCCTCCTTCCTTTTTCATACCACCGACACACACATGAGCTACGAGGTAGATTCGACATGGACGCACCACTCTATACATTGGTTACTTACACATACACCCACTGCATTCCTTCCAGAGAAACAAAGAGGGCGAGCTATTTGATAGCGACGTTGAAGCCGAATTGTCTGATCTTGATGGCGATGGAGGTGAGATTATACGTTCAACGACAGCAACTCTAGATTGACGCAAGACAACCCTTACAGGTTCCGATGGAGAGAATTACGACAATCAGCCTTCGACTGAACCTGCAGCAGCACCTGTGAATGATACGGCAGAGGAACAAGAAGAGAGCCCTATCGCACCGAGACCCAAGTTGCCATCCTTTAAGAAACAGAATCGATCCGAGCAAGATGACGCAGATATCGAACGTATCCGTGAAGAGATCCGTGCCAAGAAACAGCAACGTGAAAGTGGGAGAGGCGATGATGATGATGATGACGATGAACAAGGACAAGAGCCTGAAGAAGATGAAGAACCCAAGAATCCACCTCACGTACAAGCAGCATTGGATGAATTCGATCGACAAATAGCCATGTTGACTGCAAGTGGACGACGAAAGAAGAAAAAGGTGGATGAAGTGGATTTGGAAAGGAGCATGGATGAAGAAGTGAGCCAGCTACGTGATCGCATGAAAATGGCAGTGGATGAGGATATCATGGCCAACAATGATCGAAAGCCCGCTTTGGCAAAAATCAAGATGCTCAATGAAGTAGTCAGTTTGATGACACAGTACGTATACTATTGCCGCAAAGAGAGATACAATGATGGCTCATGTATGATTCACTTAGCAAACGTGCTCAAGACGCAATATTGGATAATCAGCTTTTGGACATGGTACGGTTGTGGCTCGAACCATTACCAGATCGATCACTTCCCAGTCTCGACATACAAAACGAATTGCTAGACGCCCTGGATAAGGTATGAAAAGGATGACATTGGTTATTTACATGGCTCTAATGGGTGATATCTCTCTTTAGTTACCTATTGTTGGGGATCATCTTCGAGAGAGTGGTGTCGGCAAGATCGTCTACTTTTATCAAAAGTCGCCTCGTGTGGATGCAAGGGTAAAGAGACGAGCAGAACAATTGGTCGCCAAATGGAGTCGATTGGTCATCAAGCGCACTGCCAATTACAGAGAGCGTCTTCACGAACGTCAAAAGTATTCAAGAGAGGAAATGTAAGATTGATTGCGCGTGTCATGGCATACAAGGAACGTTGAATTTAATCGGTTTTGGTGATAGGTTATCACGTCGTAAGAAATTCAAGCCTGAGACTACAGAAGAAAGGTAGGGAGGGATCTTGAAGGATGATCTATTTGGGAGAGGAAAGAAGGCTTACCATGAGCAACGATAGCAACTCGGGTTCAGGTGCTCCAAGGATGCATGTCAACATTCCACGAGCGGTTGCACCAGATTACGATGTCATTCCAGAAAGCACTGTCACTGCTGCACCACGATCAAAACACAGCAAGGATGTAAGTAGTAGTGTGAGCGCGATGTTCATTTTCGTGTGGGTACAGGTTATTGATCATGATTACAATTCCTATCAGGCAAGCTCGAGGAAGCGATTAACGAATACCATGCGATCATTGAAAGGGACAGGACAAAGACGATAAGAGAGATTCTTATATTTATATCAATGAAAATCATATTTGCATGTTGTTTTGTTCAAAGTCAAAAGGTGGATGAATAATGGTGCTGGATGGGTATGTGGGAAAAGAGTGCCATGACAAGTCTGCTCAAGGAAGCCACTTGTGTCAATCAGATACTGAGTACTAATCAAGGGGTTGGATGTAATGAGAAATTGTTTCTTGGTGAATGGCGTATCATTATCATGAGGAAGATGTTAACAACGTGATGATACTTAGTGAAGCTCATCCGGAAGGTCACTACCCAAGAATGGGGTTACCTGATCCTATGTAGGGTCAATCCACAACCAATTAAGAAAGCGAGTAAATAAAGGCATGAGTCAACAAAAGAAAGGCAAGAATACGAATAACGTGATCATAATGAATGGTAGATTGTTCTTTGTATTACACATGTGAAATGATGAGAAGAAAATAACAAGAAGAGATCACTACATTTATTCTTGCAAAATGTGGGAATCACACAACGCAAACCCAAGGCTTTCTTCAAGCGCCACGGCACATGTCGATTTTACCGCGACAAAAAGTCCCGTTCAAAACGTTTTGGTTGTTCAGCTCATCCTAATAAGATTGGTCAATTTGGTACTCTCAAGGCATGACAAGGTATGATACGTGATGATGTTGTCCCGTACTTACATATAGGCAAATCAAGAACTCAATAATCTTCATGGCTCGCTCGTTCCAAGTAGCGGGTATCATTGCTCATCGCATTTCCAGTACTTGCCACTTGTTGCTTGCTTCCAAGGTGGTCTTCATCAAGGTTAAGCGGTTCCTGATACATTGGAACCGAAAACAACAACAAGGCTAAGGTGGTGGCCTATCTTTTCCTTCAACCTCTCTTCGTCCTCAATTCCATCTTCAGCGTGGAAGTCATTTCATCCACCAATTTGTACCTGTCCGATGCCGTCAGCAAACACGTGATTGGTAACGTTGCTCCATATACCTGGTATCTGTAGGCTCTGCTGATGTGCTTGAGCAAGATCCTCACACCTATTCAGCATGATAATAAAGCGAACAAGCTTATATTAGTTTCATACAATGCATGATCATGTGTATGTAGTGTTACCGTACCAAGAGAAAACAACACGCTACATTGATCCCAAGTACTTGAAAATGGGACGATGCGTTCTACCCAGAAGCTCCTTTCTTGATCCATGCTGAAGTTTCCTTGAAAGGACCAGGCGAGATAAGTACTTGAAAAATTTCTTCATCATTGGTGTTGCTTCTCGTCTTCCGGTCTTCCACCCACACTTTGCTGGCGAAGTCGACATCGATGTCATCGTCACTTTCCACCAATAGCGTCCGGCTTTGTTGCCTGACCATTGAAGGAAGCAACTACATCACCACCATGCGGGCTGTACATAGTAGTACGTAAACCCCTTAATCCAGCTTTGCAGATACATCTCGGAAGGTAGCTACATCAAAAGATGTGAATGTGTGCTTTATCAAGCAAGGTGTTTAGGCGTTACCTTAATAATAAAAGAGCCAAATAGCACAATGAAAACAATGACAATGAAAGTAGGATAACAATGACACGCTAAAGATCATACGTAACACGTACATATGAGTACACGGATCGCTCGCAAAATGAGAACAACAACCATAATACTTACCATGGGCTGTTGAAGGGTGCCAGCATCAAAGAGTGATATGAAGGAAGAAGGAGACGTGTGGGAGTGACGATGGGCGACAACATCTTTTATTTGCATGGTGGGCGTGGGTAAGTATTTCTGTGATCACAAACAGGAAGAAACGAGTGATAAAGTACTTGATGAAAAGGAGAAAAGAGTGGTAAAGCGCTTATTGGAAATAATGAATGGCTGATAGATTGGCGGGGCCCTCAAAGAAAGAGCCTTGGCGTGATTGATTGTTCCATGATCTGGTATAAACAACGCGGCATTATCCATCACTATCATCATTAAACAATGACATATGGCGCTTTTACGCTTTCAAGTCATCTATCATCTCATTCATCATGCTCATATACTAGAATACATACTTAAATGTGATCGTTTTAATATACTGTACAAAAAATGGATAGGGTCTATTGGTAAAGGTGGAGGGTGTTGTGTAAAAATTACGATTAATGGGCACCGCTACGCATGAGCAAAGCGACGGGAGTATCGAGTTTGGGAAGTTGGTTGGCTGCAGAGGAAGGTTGATCAGGGAAGAAACCAGCCTTGACAAGGTATGCATAATAAAGACCGAGCAAGTCGTTACCCATGGGAGGACATGTGATACCTTCATTAGCCAACACGGCCTGCGTGTGGCTATCATCAAGTCGTGCGCTCTTTGTGGATGTTGGGAGATCATCAAGGACGAAATGCAACAAGGGGAAGAGCGAGTGGTCTTGAGATTGAAGGGTGAAATCCATGAGCTTGTTACGCCAATCAATGTATTCCGTTTGCTTGACAACATAGCCATAGGTGGACAATGTGCCAAACAAGTCATTGAAGGTGAATGTAGCAGGATGATGGGTCACTTGCATGACACCAAGCTTGGTAGATTGAGCATCATAATAAGCAGCAGCACCCACCACAGCAGCGACATAGTCGACGGAGCAGCAATTGACCACGTTGGCAATGGATGGGATATAGCCAAGTTCAACGCAACCCTTAAGCAAACGCCAAATAAAGTCATCCGAGTTGGTAACACCTGATTTGCTGTGACCAAGAATATAGCCTGGGCGAATGATGGTTGCTGGCATACCACGATTACGAGCCTCCATAATCAACTTTTCAGCAGCCCACTTGCTTTGACCATAGCCACTTTCAAGTCCTGTGCGTGAACCTTCCAAGTCATCGGTTTCGGGTACTGAATCAGACAAGTTGATGTAATGAGCGGTGTCAAGGACTGAAGTGGAGGATACAAAGTGGAAGGATTTGGGCTTGGTTTGAGTAGCAAGACGCATAGCCCACAATGTACCAAGAACGTTGGCAGCACGCAATTGCTGGTAAGGATAAACCCAGTGGACAAGGGCACCATTGTGAATCACGGTATCCGTTTCTTGTGCAAGTCTCTCCCAATCTTGAGTCGACAATCCCAATCTTTCTTGGCCAAGATCACCACACACGGCTTCAATACGACCTTCCCAATCATCATTCCAAACATTATGGTTGACGGCAGCCTTCTTGACACGTTCCAGGGCGGATGCAGAATCCTTAGCACGCACAATACATACAGCAGTGGTATCAGGATACGAAAGGACCTTGGCGAGAATGAAGGCACCAAGGAAACCAGTGACACCCGTAACCAAAATCTTGCGAGCACCCGAACGATCGGCAGGCAAAGGTGCATAAGAAGATTCCAAAAACTCAGCAGCAAGCTTGGCCACATCACCTGCATAATCAACAGCCTCCTTCTTTTGTTGAGCAATGGATCCATTTTCAGCACCAGCAGCACCTGTGGTGTCCTTAGCTTCAGTAGCGAGGAGCAAGTCGCTGTTTTGCAATCGAGAAACTTCACGAGCAAGACCACGAATCGTAGGTTCAGAGAATACAAGACCAAGAGGTGCATCCACTTGGAACTTTTGGCGGATCTCGAAAATAAGGCGAGTAGCAATAAGCGAATGACCACCAATATCGAAGAAGCTTTCATCAAGACCAATAACAGGTTCAGGGGATGGCAAGAGTTGTTGCCAAATCTCGTGGATGGCACGTTCGTTGGGTGACATTTCAGGCAACTTGGTATCCTTAGGAGCGGTCGTGGGTGCTTCTTGGAATTGGGCAGTATCAGGGAAAGGCAATGCATTCTTATCGGTCTTTCCATTAGGGGTCAAAGGCATACGAACAAGAGGAACAAAGACCGATGGGATAGCATAGCTTGGCAACTTCTTCTTGAGGTTGTCACGAATGTCCTTGATAAGACGTCTGTATCTGCGGCGAGAACGTACATCGTTGCTGTTGCCCTTTTCCTCATCACCATTGTCATCAGTGGCGCTTGCAAATTCGGCATCAGCTGTTTGAACGGGAACAAAGTAGGCTACGAGTGTTTGTTCTTCATTCTTGTCACGACGCACAAGGGTCACGTTTTCTCGCACCATGGGATGGGCTGACAAGTGGGTGTCGATCTCACCAAGCTCGATACGGAAACCACGAATCTTGATTTGATCATCGGCACGACCCGTACATTCAACGTTGCCATCAGGGCGATAACGACCAAGATCACCTGAACGATACATGCGATCACGCTTGCCCTTCCAGAATTCCTTCCAATCATCACCAGGGACCAATGATTCATCCTTGCCATCATCTTGATTAGGCGAATCGACAAACCAATTGGGAATGAACTTTTCAGCAGTAGCATCGGGTAAGCGAAGATAGCCTTCGGAGAGACCTGGTGCACGAACATAGATTTCACCAATTTCACCAACACCACACATCTTGGTACGATCATGGCGATTGACCACAAGCAGCTGTACATTGACCATACCCTTGCCAGCAGGGATCACATCCTTTTGTGAGCTCAAAAAGGCTGGATGAGCTGCACGCGAGGGCACCACATAATAGGATACAGAGCGTTGCGTTTCGGTAGTGCCATACATGTTGATCACGGCCACGTTGGGTGCGTATTTTTGGATACGTGCAGCATCACGCTTGCTGAGAATATCACCAACGAAGAAAGCATTACGCAAAGTAGGGATCTCGTTTTGGGCATGCGATGAGAGCAATTGACCCATAGCAGGAGTCAAGTGAGTGATGGTAACTTGAGCACGGTTCATCCATTCAGCCAAACGACCTGGGATACCAATATCTTCAGAGGTAGGAACATGCAATTCGGCACCAAAGAACAAAGGCGTAAAGATATCACGTTGAATGGGATCATGAGCAATACCAGAAAGCATGGTAAACTTGTCCTCATCGGAAATGCCAAAGGTTTCAGCCATCCATGGGTAAAAGTGTGTCAATGAAAAGTGACGGCCACGTACACCTATATAGGATACATACACATATTAACCCATCTGCTTATCAACCGTTGCCATGCCAACAACTTACCCTTGGGGATACCGGTACTACCGCTCGTGAAACTAAGAGTACCAATGCTATCAGGGCCAATGACAACACCCGTATTTTGAGCAGCCTTGCTACGAACAGTATCCAACACGTCGGCATTGCCATCGATACCACCAGCCAATACACCATCCTTGCGTAACTTTAGCTTGGGGATCTCGCATACAATATCCTGCTCCTTTTGAATGTACTCGCGTACGGAGGGTGCAAGTACACCAGCTTCCTGCAACACAATGAGACCACGTGGTTTGGCCACTGACAAGTAAATCTCTTGACGAGCGGGTGGATAAGCAGGGTCTATCACACACACACATAGACACATGTCAGCTTTTTGTTCTCTCGCTTCCTCTCATCATTGAAACTTACCAATGACACTAAATGTAGCACCAGCCTTCAATACACCCATAATGGCAACGACAAGGTCAACGCCACGATAAGCATAAATCATGACCACATCCTCTCGCTTGATACCATTGGCCAACAAGTAGTGGGCGACCAAATTGGAAGCATGGTGAATGTGCTGATAAGTGAAAGTGACTGTGGATCCATCATCATGCGATTCAACGACGCAAGTGCGTTCGGGATGCTTTTCAGCATTGGCAGCAAAAATATCCGTAATGGCACCACGCCAAAGTGACCAATGAAGATCGGTTGTAGGATCCGGCAAAGGTGAGTCAGCGGATTGATAATCGGATAATGCAATCTGGCCAACAGGTGTGTCGGGGCTTTGGGAAGCTGTTTGCAAAAGCGTGGCCATTTGAGAAAGGAGATAATGGATACGGCTTTGAGAGAACAGGATTTGATTGTACACAATGCGCACTTGGATGGGTCTCAGGAATGAAGTACGCAACGACGTGGATGACTCGGGGCTGGTAATAAAGATGGTCAAATCAGCATTAGCTGAGGTGGTGGAGAGCTGCGATTGATGTGGGGTGTCGTATTCATTATAGAATCGTACACGAAATAATGGACGACGGCTATCTGGATCAGGTTGTCCCTTGTCCATCAATTCCACAAGTTGTTCAAATGGCACTTCTTGTTCCAATGCTTCACTTTCCACCTATTCAATACATACCATCATCAGCCATTCCCACTCATAAAAAACTTCCTTTATCCATCCCCCATTTTTTATATACCTGATGCACCATGTTGACGACTTTGCTAAAAGTGTCCTGTGGATTGACATTGAGACGAAGGACAAGGGTATTGTTGGAGGGAGACGATGTTCCGACAGCAAACTCCTCATCACCCGTGTATCTTTGCAAAAGCACGGCAAAGGCAGCCAATAGAATAGAAAATGGCGTAGGACGATCATTATTTGGTGTCGTTTGGCCCACGGAATGTTGCAGGATACTCAGCAAGGTTTGTTCAGAGAGATCATAGCTTTGGACTTCTTCAACAGTGCGTGATGGTAGCGGACGTGGATAATCCGTCGGCACTTGGAGATCGGTCAAGTTTTGTAGGCGTGCTTGCCATGCTTCAAGCCTTGCAGTGGATGATGATGACATGATGATGTTGTTGTGTGATATGTACAAAAGAATGGATGCAGCAGCAACAAAGAAAGAAAGAAACAAAGAGTGAGACAATACGCCAAAGATGACAACTGCCTGAAATATCCAAAATGGCCCAAGATCGAGATGAAGATCAACAGTCACTCGGAGTTGGCTCGTAATGATAATCAGCATGATTTGTGCTTCGATAATCTTGTCGATTGTCCCCCGCTACTGATGGGCCATCCATTTAAGGTGCTGTCATTATAGATCGGCATAGGTCGTGATGGAAGATGGTAATACCATCGAGGTCACACACACACACACACACGCGTTGCCAACGCAATAAAAGCTGCTGCCATGGTTACTATCAGCTGAATGATATCCAAAGCTGGTTGTTGCTTGTTGATTATATTAGAATTGATATAGGATAAACGAGTAGAGTAGTGATGTAGTCATACAACAGGAGAACGACAAATGACAAGATGCGTAGAATATATGGATGGATGTATGTGATGCGGAGGAATAAAAAGAAAATAGTAGAGTAGTGGTGAAGGTGATGATGCATGATGTGTGATGGAAGAAGGCTGCTGTAAAAACTAATCCAATCTGTGACCATGTTCAATCTCATCCAAGTCTTCATCGACAGCTGCTGCCAACTTTGAATAGCGAGCTCTGCCGAGTGATCGATAATAGACCGTGAGCACAATGGCAAAGTACACCTACAACAACCAATGTATGTTTCAGTAAGGAATAAAAAGGGTGACACAAATAGAAGACTACTACTACTTACATGGACCATGCGTAAGCCCACCAACATGATAATGCTCACAATGCTCTCCATGCGGAATACGTCGTCATGCTCCTTTTGTTTGGATGGGTCATCCGCCAACTCCGGCAAGCTGTGGTCGGTGTACACATACCACTTGACGGCAAACACGGCAGTGGTCACGGCACTCACAAAGCAATCCAACCAGTAGAACATTGTATACCAACGAACAATTCGAATGTTATCCTAGACAAAAAGAATAAGATATCTCAAACTTCGATATCCCATGTAGGTAGCTTGTTTCTCTTACCGTGTGTAAGCCATAGAGACCATAAGCAAAGATACCAACACCACATAATGAGTAGATATAAACGGCAAATGCAATAGGATCGCTGGTATCAAGTGAAATAAGGCCGTAGAATCCAGATAGCTTGTTTAGCTAATGAGAAGAGACAAGCAAGGTGAGTCATTGGAGTTGTGCAAGGTTTTGAAAGTGCTTACAATGCCAAAGATGGTGATGATGAGCACGCCTGTTGGAATAGACAAGTGAGTCGATATGAAAGCGAGCAATGGAGTCCCACATTTACCAGTTTCATTGGGAATGAAGCCAAAGCATGTGCGTGATTTGCCAACGAGAGCAGCCATGGTGGTTGTATGTATGTGTGTGTTGGTAAAAGAAAGGGATTGTTGTTGTGTACCCAGCTCGGTAATAGCGCCGGATAAAGATGGAGCGGATTCATATAACCATCATCACCGATGCCATTTTCTGGAACCGCTGTTGAAAGAAAAAGAGCACATGATTATAATGAGAGTTGTTGTATATAGATAGAACAAAAAGACATTTATTGTACATGGTAGCTACAAATAGATAAGCACAAATAAATATAATACAAAGGTTCTTTTTAGGCAGGGAGCATCGGTGTGGAAGCACGCTTAGCTTCAGAAGCCTTGGTGTGTGCATGTGACAAGCGATCAAATACATTGTTACGGGTATATCTTGCACTATTGCTGGCAGTGGAAGAGGTAGGTGATACTGCAAATTCTTGCTGTAATGGCGAAGGTTGGTGATGATATACATTATTGCTGTCGGTGGTGGTGGTTGAGGTGGCTAGGCTGAGTTCACGCATGGAAAAACGGCGCCGAGAAGCCGAATCAACCAGCATTGGATGATGATGATGATGTTGATATTGTGGTTGTGGCTGTTGCTGCAAAGAAAAGGCTCGACGACGACGACCCAATAACAAGGATGATGATGACAAGGGAGTGGTAGGTCGACTCGAGCTTGTATCAGAGGAACGACGTTGCATAGCATGGGATGACAGCAACGAAGACGAGGAGGGGGTGGCTGCTTGCTCAGCCTGCTTTTGTTCTTGTGCCGACATGAGTCCTGCTTGTACAAGTTGCTGCAAAAATTGATCAGGTGATGACATTGAACTACGACGAGCAGCTGCAACAGGTGGACGCTCTACAAGTGATTGAGGTCTCATAGGTCGTAAAGTGGGGCTAGGTTGTGGTGGTGGTAGCTGTTGTTGTTGTTGGAAGGCTGTCTTGATAGGTGAACAAGGCACTTGTTGTTGTTGTTGATGATGACCCATAGACACCATTTTACCACAATTGCTAACACCTTCATTGTAGATTTGATCAAAGATAGTGCCATATTGCTGATAATGCTCTTCCACACGCAAGTCAATTGCTGAATCATCATCATCGCCATAGCCAACCGTGGTTGATTCAGTCGATGAGAAACCAGACATGGATGATCTTCTTGATCCATTCTGTTCTTGCAATAATAAAAGGGAGGATCTTCTTGAGGAACTCGTTTGTTGTTGCTCCAAACGTCGGATACGCTTCTCACTTTGTATGGCAGTCTCCACAGCCTTGTCTCTCATCACAACAAGCGTATGTTGCAAATCATGCACGGTCTTTTCCAATTGCTGCATTTGCATTTCATGCTGATGCTGATTCATGCGCAAGGTCGTTGTCTCCGTCACCATGGTCTCAAGCACCTTTTCAGCTTCATCCAAAGATAATGATCGTACCACCTTGAGTGCCATTTCATGGGCAGTGTCAGGATCAGCATTGGCAGGCAAGCTATAGCGTTCTTCAAGTGCATCCATATCCAACCATTCATCTTCTTCTTGATCATCATCGTCATCGTGTGGTTTGGTTCCCATGACTTGGTCGGCAAAAGTAACATGCTTGGGTTTGCGTTGCTTTTGTTGCTGACGAAGATCCACCTCGACCACTTGCTCCTCTTCTTCTTCATCATTGAGAATTTCATGAGCAGCATCGTTTTGAAGCGATTGAATACGTGCATTGATAAACGACATTTCAGCACCAATCGATTCAAGACGTTCATCCATATAATGTTGCATGGCTTGATCAAATTGCATCATCTTGTTGCTGCTGCTGCTGCTGCCATCGTCAACAGCATCATTGCCATACAAATGTTCACGCTCGCTTTGCAATTCAGCTCGCTTGTTGGCTAACTCGGATCGCTTGGCCATCAATTGCTGCATTTCCAAAAGTGCCTGTTTACCATGAATGTACTGGCACAAGGCACGATCCAACAAGTGTTTCTTTTTGGCGGCTCGTACTTCAACAGGAATATGAATGGCAGCACCACGACGACGATGACGGCTGTTGTTGTTGTTGTAGCTTGTGGAAGAAGAGCGACGTCGTAAGAAACCAAGATGCAACAAATCGGCACAACGGGATAGCATACGATCATCAAGCACACCCCCTTCACGCACGGCCTTTTTGAGAATCTGGACAATCTTTTGCAACTTATCATTGGTGACCACCACTTCATCAGAGCGTTTACGCAGCATGATTTGCACTTGCTTATTCTCCATCTCAAGACGTCTTCTACGTTCAGCATCACGTTGTTGACGACGACGTAATTGTTGAATCTCACGTTCGTGAGCAGACATTTGTTCCTTGACACGCAACGTCTCCTCCTTCATGCGCTTGACCATACGTCGCTTCTCGAGTTTGAGACTCTCCACATGAACACGTAAAGCACGCAACATGCTCTCGTTTTGGTTACGGCTGGCTTGAATGGCACTGGATGTTTGCGTGAACTTCCTTCTCATATCAGCGAGTTGCTTGGTCTTGAGCTCATAAGCATTACGCAATTCCATGATTTGTTGCTTTTCTTTGGCTACACGCTCAATGCTGGCACGTCGTGGTTTTTGCTGCTGTTGCATCAATACAGCATGGTCGCGCTCATTCTTGATGGCACTCATTTCATGAACCAACTGGTTGAGCTTGTGTTCAAATTGTCGTCGCATATCATCATACTCGGATTCACATCGCTCCAACTGCTGCACAAGCTCTTCTTTGACGCGGATGTCGCTTTGCACCTGTTGTATGATACGTGCTAGTTGTGGATGCTCACTGAGATCGATATCTTCTTCTTCCTCTTCATCATCATCCTCATGTGTGGTCATTTCATTGGTTGTTGTCGTTGCAGTAGCAGCAGTAACATGATCATGTGGTGCTTGCTCGGTCACACTCGTGCTTTCCCAATCCGCTGGTGGTGTCTATATAAGATTCTAAATGAGTCATATGCCCTTTAACATTCATGAGACACACGCACTCTCTCTTACCACACTTTGAATGTCTTCTGATACCACTGCAGAGGGATCCAGCATCAGGATGTCATCGGGATTCTCCATGTCAGCCGAGGATTTGAATATCTAAATATGCACACATAAAGAATAAGATTGGGGGTTGCATGGGTTACACAAAAGATGCAGGGCTCACCTGTGCGTGTTCTTTGGACTATAAAGTATCATGGCAACACAAAGAGGAGGACGAGTTAGTTAGTTCCATGTTACGTCATGGGGTGCGTTATTGACACTACTTTACTGTACCTTGACATTTTCAAGTACGCGTAATCCTTTTTCGATTTCTGATCTGGCCTTGGAAATAGAATCACGCACCTCGCTACGAATATCCTTGGTGTTGAAGATGCTATTGACAGGCTCCATTGTTTCTTGTAACCAGCGATTGATATCATCATGGTCGGTGGGTGCCACAGGGACTGGAGGATGTGGCACCTTGCTTGATTTGCGGAACGTGACATGACGATGATTCTTTTTATTGCGACGATGGCGACGTGCAGTGGTCGTGCTGGTACTTTTTTGTTGCCTAGATGTCAATGGCGGAGTAGTAGTAATACGACGTCGTTGTGAGGGAGATGCTGTCATGAGTTGTAAAGCATCCATCACGGGGCCTTGGGTGGATTCAACAAAGGTGAGCCGTTCACGTGTATCCTCCAATTCATTGCGTAAATCACGAATCGTCCGCTGATAATGGGCAATCATGGGAGCAGCTGCAACAGCAGTAGCATGGTCATCTGATGATGATGATTGTTGTTGCTCAAGTAGCAATGTGTCACGTTCAGCCGTTACTTGACATAGCTCATCTGAAGTTGCTTGGACTCGAGAACGAAGGCGATTCACTTCATGTCGTAATGCATCCATCTCACTACTTCTTGTGCTTGTAGAAGGATGATGACCACTTCCACCGGTGGTAGTAGTAGTAGTATTACGCAGGATGTTGAGTTCCATCTTGAGTCGAGCCACTTGCGATCTTAGTTGAGCTACTTCCACCGAAGAACCAGCAAACTCTTGATTGATCGTAACTCTGTTCTTGATATTGCGTGCACGGTTGGCGTATTTCAATGTGCTCAACGTCTCGACAAAGTTGGTGTCTGCTGGGGAAACACATGCCATCATCAATGTTTGACTATTGCCACCCAAGGAGTCTTGCAATAACCGTGTCAGCTTGGAATCACGATAAGGAATATGCGTCGATCGTCTCGCCTCATCGCCCAGGGCACTAATGACATTGCCAAGCGCAAGTAGACCAGAGTTGATGGCAATGCCTTCACGTGCACGTTCACCTTGTGCATTGGTGCGTTTCAGCTATGTATACGATTCAGCCAATGAGCAACCATTGACAATGGAGGCAAGGGGTCGTTTTACTTACTCTTTCAGAACCAGCGAGATCAACGAAATGGAACTTGCTCACAATGGTCTTGCTATTATCGGTGGATTGGTGGTGTTCTTCATTGTCGTTGTCATCGTCGTCAGGAGGAAGTTGTTGTTTAAGAATGACAGAAAAGATGGCATGTGATCGAGACGACACCGCATTCATATCAGTGGATCCCGTGGTACGACACAATGAACCTTTAGTGAGGTATCCCAATAACTCATCAGGATCATGGCATGGCTCTTCACGTACACCACTCCAGTAGATGTTGCCTTGGACGTCTTCTCGTATGGAAATCTCGTTGCTACGTCGTCGATGCTGTTGCATGTTGAGTAGATCCACCAAATCTTCATTATAAAGTTCTAGAAATGATACAAAGACTTGTGCATCGTACTTTTCACTATTGTTTGCTTTTTTGTGCTCGATTCGCTCATATAAATCTCGAATAAAACGAGGAACAATGCCTATAACATGTTGTATGAGATATACAGCTACAAAAGATTCAATCCTTTTATTTTACCTTGCTGATCTTCAGAACCGGTATTGCCATCAATGGCTGTTCCCATGCTGTATGTTTTGCCTGAGCCTGTTTGACTATAATCAAATGATGATGATGTCAATACAACGTATAACAAGGAGATGATGATTGTATCATTTACCCATATGCCAAGATGGTGGCATTGAAACTGTAAAAGAAAAAAGGAACATGATGATGTTTGAGAAACATGGAGCATTCAAGGGAGCGTTGCAAATGTATTTACCCATCAACGTATTTTTCCACAAGCGGTAGTACGCTCGAGTCGTAAATGTGATGTTGTGAGGATTGCGTGTCATAAACATGGTCGTATGTAAATGAATGATCCTTGCCAATAAGGATCTGCGGTTGACCTGGAATGAAGGATATGCACTCTGCAGAGTTGCACAATCGCTCTTTTTGCGTCAATGGTCGTACTCGTAAGGCAACCCTGTATATGAAAATGTCAGCCTTTTCTATGTCTGTGGTATCGATGTTGTGTGTATGTTTTGATTGTATGTATCGCACCTTACTGCTGTAGTGGTGGACATGTTGTAGATTAAAAAGTTGGAGTAACTATGTCGGGGGTAGTTGGGGGGGAGGAGGAGTGAAAAGAGATAAAGCAGAGAAGAGAAAAAGAATGAAAGATCTCGGATGAAGTATGCAGATGTTTAAATACGTGATGCGCTAAACACTATCCGTACGTGGGTAGCCCGCCAAATGAGAGCCTTGTTTCAAAGCCCAGCATCATCTCACCAACAACATCAGGTGTGTGTGTTATCAAAGAAGGTTTTCTTTATCCTGCCCACAGACCTTAAAGTCGTCCTACGTTTCCCCTGTTCTGTGCCACCTATACAGAACACTCATCTCTCGGACCAGTCTCTTCCGTGGGCAAATGCCAAGGTCCACTCTTTTAAGAAACCCGTCAGTAACGCGTTACCACGTACACACATACACAACTTGTCACTTTTTATCCTTGTCACGCCATCCACAAAGCTTTCTTTATTATACCAAGCACACCAACAATGGCCATCTCCTTGTGTGTGTGAAGAGCAACAACAAGGCTGGCCATAGCTTTTGTGTATCGAAACACAGATGACGGGGGGAGTGGAGATACATGGTCCACTCACCCAATGCATCGGAGCAATTGTTTGTGTGTGGTGATGAATGACGAGCAAGATGTATAAAGAAAGATGCAAAGAGAGTGAATGGGGAGGAGAAAGAAAAAAGATGTGCACGGCCAGTGTACTCTATAGAGTCGGGGCTACCATACTTGGGTTGGGCTTGTGCCACCCTGTTACTGAAAGAATGATCACGGCCCAAACTCACACACATCTCCACCATCGGAAATGCCGGTATGAAAGGTAAATGCTCAATAAGTATGTTGCTCACAACTCCCGTGCCATGCCTGTTTGACATGCATATCACCTGTCATTTGTTGATGTGTTGTTTACATCTCCAACAACAATGGAGAATGAGGCGGAGCAATTATGGAAAAAGAGACGTTTTGTTTGATCATGAGGATTGGGGGTCATTGAACATTGAGGAACGCATGTGGAGAACGTGTGGTGGGTGGGTTCTGGATCAGTGCCACATTCATGTATACCAAGCAATGGGAACCGGGATCCCATCATCATCCAATTCCTTGTTGACAACGACGACAACAACAACAACTTTTATGCATGTCACCATTTTTTATGCTTTTCGGAATCCACCGCTGATCCCTTCCGAAGATCATGATGAAGGGCTCTCTCTTCTTCTTCTCCGCATAATGTAGACCCCGAAAAGATGGCATCTGCAATTGAAGCAACTATGTGCATATCTCATGCATGATGCTAGCCTTCATCTTTGCGTCAAACCCGACATTGGCAGCATGATGCATGTTGCTGCACTATGTGCTGCGGTAGCTCACGGTCTACATCTTTCATCCTTCTCATGATGCACATACACATACAATCATAGCTCAATGATCTTTGATACAACAAGGGATCCTTTTTCAAATGATCTAGAGCAGAGGATACAATGGGAGTTATTTTCTTGAAACCAAGAAGGATTATGCTAAAGGCACAAAAAGACTGAGGTGGTCTTATTGATGTCTATCATTGCTTTGAAGTGGGTGCTATTTGGTTCACTAATCTTTTCTCCTTCGCGTTAGAAGCAAGGAGAAAAGCTGTAGACATACACATATGGTTACAATGATTCTTTGAGCAATGTTCTCATTAAGTCCAATCAAATGGCTTGACTACATCCTTGGCATCTAACGTAACATACATCTTTTAGCTCTTGGCGCTTTTGACATCCATCCGCATCACACTTCTTTTATCTTTTTCTTCTTCCAATCATCGCCATATGCTACTTAATATGTTCGCTGCTATTATCAATCATATCCAACCCACCCCACCGATGCAGCAGCATCATTCATCGCATTGTATTGCATCCAAGTCGCTATGAAAAAACTATCGTTGATTGGGTAACAACGACGTTGTATCAACCTATAGTCTTTTATTGTTGGGTTTGAGTTTTTGCATGAACAAGGATACATGTACTGTATCCGCAATTGCAGGAGCGCTTTGTAGCCGTATCTCTCTCTTCTCGTCATCATTTCTTTATGCCTATGCTCCCCCATCATGCATCCACTACCAATAGGATCGAGCGTAGAGCCCTGCCCACTTGGTTTGTTACACAAACAAGCCCTTCTCCATCTTTGGCTCTAATATGAATGAGGCGATTGTCAATGAACAAAGACCACTTTTGCATATAGCATCACGCTTACAGCATAGTAAAAAACATAAAGATTCTCATATCTCAAAACTTTACAATCAAGTGTGGGATCTTCAATAGAACAATGTTGCTTGACTTCCACCCAACTCTTGCTTAATCATGGTGCTCGTTTGACGGTGCTGCTCAAGCAATCCCAGTACCATCCTTTGGCTATCCAATTCCAAGTCCCTATTGTCTTTGCTGGTGTCAACGGTTTCCTTGACAACCTCCCTGTCAACAAGATCGTCGACTGGGAAAAGGATTTCATCAGCCACATCCAATCTCCATGACATTTACGAAAACTACGTCAAGTCTTTTCAGTAAATCTTTTATTTAAATCGTCGCATTCCCAACTAGCTGTTCGTTGATCCACAATAAGAAGTGGAAAGCCAAAAAGGTGTATTCCTGTTACTTCTTTTTCATCCATACAAATTCAGTGTCATGAGGATAAATTACATAGCCATCAGCATTGGGCTTGAAATCATTGATTGGATCATGTATGATCGCTTCAAGTTCCTTGTACAATGCTTCTTTGACGTGCTCAGGTAAACTTGCAACGTAGCTGTTGGTCATAGCACGGCGACATACATCATCCTTATGGACGGTCATATCATAATCATACATGCGTGACTGAAAAGGTAATTCAAAAAGCTCAACAGCTTCCTTGGTATCGAAACATTGCTTCCATAATCCCTTTCGATATTGCGGCACGTTTTGGTCAAATTGTTCGTAACGTCTACAACAACGTATGATAAGCAATCAACCCTTCCCTTCATGGTGCATGTCACTTACTCTCTCAAGAGACGCACCCATCTACTTCGTTCTCTGCTTCCCATGTTCCAAATGAGGATCAAAAAGCCATTGGGTTTAAGAACACGATGTATTTCCTTGAGACTGGCAACATCTGCAAACCAATGGAAGGCCTGTGCAACTATCACCGCATCCTGCGATTGATCCTCCAAAGGAATAGACCAGCTGGTGCCATCGGATACGGGCACATGTGGCAACAACGCGTGTAATTTTTCACGCATGTTTTTGGTGGGTTCGACTGCCGTGATGTGCTTGTATCCCACCTTGTCAAGCAAGGTGGTCATGATACCGGTACCAGCTGCAAGATCAAGAATCTTGGCATGATCTGTATCAGGTATCAGTGATTTGATATGATCCAATGCCGCGGTTGGATATGAGGGTCTTGATTTAGCTACAAAACAAGGAACGTTACTAATAAAGAAAAAGCTTATTGAATACATAAGGATTCAACTTACCATAATCATCAGCAGCGACGTTGAAGCCTGCAATGGCGGTAGGATGTACTTTAGCCATCATGATGAATGAGGGAAAAGAGAGCGTGTGTGTGAGTCATCCACGTTTCTCCGAATGCGCGTCTTTTATATGTATACGATATGCAAAGGAAAGGAAAAAGAGTACTAATTTGATATCGGACGTGATTATGATTAGCATAGTGTGCCTTGGCTAAACGAACATATAAAGTGCACTTAGATAATGGGGCCATGAAAGGGTTGCATGCAGAGGGTCACATTGTACTCCCATAAATACATCCAGTTGATTGACAGATAACAGGATTGCCTGATAAAATCAGAAGGCATGCAAGAATCTGAAGGGGTGTTTCTCATTATGCATATGCACCCCCTGAGAAGTCTAAATTTACGTCCCAGCACCGGTAAACCAAACCAGGATTTTGACTCTTTGTACTTATTACACAATGGTGAACAGCCTATTCCCGTGACCCTCGAAATTTTTATACATCATGTTGTCAGTTACAAAGTAGGAACAAATCCAGTGATAAAGTCATCGCTTTGGATCGTTACGTCGAATGTTTACATGGTACATAAAGGAGAAGGCAATTTCTTGCATACAAACAGCCACTGTATATGCAACTTTGGCGTTCATTCCATCGTCTAAAAAAGCGTCGTTCTTGGCAACCGCTGATGCAATCAATAGAGTGACTAAACTTGAAATCCAAGTAGTTATGGGATGGTTGGTTATAAAAAGTATGACATTTATTACATGATAACATTATCTTCTATGTATATCTTATCCTTGAGGTCATATCAGTGTGCCTAGCTCTCATACCACCGAGTGAGACGAGCCTCCATCACAAATACATATCCAAGACACAAAATAGAGATCACTTGTTACCCACCCTGACGAATGAATTATCAATCCCCATATAACTATCCACCGACCAGATTTATAAAGAACCATTTCATAGACATACTTGCATGTTATTATATCACTTTTGCATCGAGAATCAACATGTCTTGTAAGTAGGTAGTACACTGTGTTGGTGAGCCGTTGGATGGATTGGGCCAATCAAATGTTATTGTGGTAGCTCCGCAGCAGCTGCCTCGTTACTTGTTGCCCAGCACCGCGCGTGCCCTGACATTGCACCTTCCACACGAACACAACAGCTGTCAATGGCGAATAGCGTCCTTCAACAGGTACTTGTTAAACGTGTCTAGAGCATTGTTCATTGGTTAGCTTGCTCCTAATGCACCACTTTACAGAACCAGACTTGGTAGCTCTTTACCTGGGCAACAATGCATTTCATTCGGCGCGTGTTTCGAGCCTTCCTCGTACAACATGGTAAGCCCAGCTCGCTGTTGCAGGAAAAGAAGTCAACTAACACGTAAACGTTGTTCTACTTAGACGACATTACTTGCAAATGGTGTAATTTGGCTGGGCCAAGGTGTGTGTGTTTTCCGATCGAGCTGGTTGGGTTTGGTCGAAGCTCATTGGCTTCTTGTCGTTGCGTTCTACTCTCAAGGTCGTTTATGTGGTGCACCTGGATCAACAATCAGTATGCTTGAACCTTTGAAGCAGGTATAGATGAATTCTCCATCATTCCACTGGGGGGTCACTCATATTATGTGAATGATCTTGTAGCACTTGCAAGAAGCCGACAATGGTATACTTTTACATGCGTGTGAATGGCTAATGTATGTTTAGGATATGTGGATTAATCAAGGACCAAGGCCGTACGTCAAGAATGGCTTACGCTGCTGAGGTTCTTGTGGATTGATGGTGCTCATTGGCCAGTTGATCGGGGTAGTCTAACGTATGTACGTGCTACTTGTTGCCGTAAAGGAAACTTTGGGTATTCAACCGGTGGGTGCTGTCGTTCGCTTGAAACTCTGTCAGCTCCTCAAGAAACGTGGTGTACAAGATGGTTGTGGATCGTAAGTATGATTAGTATGGTTTCTATTGAAACATGAATGATGGCTAATGCATCATGCTTCTAGTGTGGATATGTGGATATGAGGATTAGAAAGGATGTGGATCAGCAAGGATGTGGATCAGCAAAGACGTGGATCAGCAAAGATGTGGATCAGCAAAGATATGAATTATCAAGGTTCAAGACCGTACTTCAAGAATGGCCTATGCTGCTGAGGTTCTTGCGGATTGATGGTGCTCACTGGCCAGTTGATCGGGGTAGTCTACGTATGTACGTGCTACTTGTTGCCGTAAAGTTAAACTTTGGGTATTCAACCGGTGGGTGCTGTCGTTCGCTTGAAACTCTGTCAGCTCCTCAAGAATCGTGGTGTTCAAGATGGTTGTGGATCGTAAGTATGATTAGTATGGTTTCTATTGAAACATGAATGATGGCTAATGCATCATGCTTCTAGTGTGGATATGTGGATATGTGGATCAGCAAAACATTCTGGATATTTGTGACGAGGCGATTGACGACTGGTGCCGAGTACGAGTACGAGTACGAATACGAATGATGACGGACGATGAAGACGACGATGGGTGGCAATATTGCTAGATGAAATAAAGCATTGTTTCTTTTATTACACGCTTGGAGTTTGCTAGCTTGTGGATTACATACTATTGCTTCGAAGATGGAATAATAAAGGTGGTTCCGGTTATCAGTCATGCAAGAAGTATATGGCTTTTGTGATACAATAAGGATGAGTGGGATGACCTCGAGAAGAGAAAAAGTGAAGTGATCCCGTGCATTGAGTTCCAGGATGAGTGACCCCCATCATCATCATCATCATTGGATTGGTTACTGGTGGGTTTACATAATACAAGTTGGTTTATGCAGTTCGACCTTCTCCTACATGCAAATGTGATACATACCTTGACACACCTTCATTACTGGATGCTGTTTACTTACGTACCTTCACAAAAGGCAATCATCATCATCATCCATTTGTGTAGCAACCTGTCAACGACGTGTTTGTGTAACCACCACGTGCCATTTCACTCAGCTCTTCATCTTTCCGTTAATGCAGCCGACACCATCCACTAGGAGAAAGCAACTCCACCACGCTTACAGCATATGCAAAACATAAAGGCACTTGTATCTCTAAGCTTTACAATGAAACATGGGGTCTTTGATAGAGCAATGTGCTCGGCTTGGCCAACAGCACCTTGTGTGCAAGTTTCACGATCAAGCTTGCCAATCCCAGATTTCGCAATGTCGCCACCAGCCAAACTGGATCTGGGGGTCGACCTCTTCGACGACGACGACCGAAAAAATATTTTTTGGGCTAGTTGCGACATTGAACGTGAAACTTTCACACAAGGTGCTGTTGGCCAAGCCGAGCACATTGCTCTAATAAAAACCCCACGTTTCATTGTAAAGTTTGGAGATACAGGCACCTTTATGTTTGTAAGCGTAGCGATGCTATATGAAGAGTGGTCTTTGTTCATTGTCAAGTAGGTGGACCCTGGCAGAGCAAAAGATGCAGAGGGACGTGTTTGTGTAACTGGGTTAAAGTTTGGACTTCAGGGACCATGCATGACAGGTACGCAACCCTCATTTTCAGGTCATACATTGGCAGCTAATAGCCACTTTTGTGCATTCACAACTTGTGCATTCCATTGTAGGTGGACGATTCTCCTGCTCCAGACATTCGTTTCCATGATTCAAGTAGCTTGATCCGAGCTGATTTGGTTGAGTTACGCTCACACAAGGTTACATCGGTTGAGCTACATCGAGCGTGCTTTATGTCCAGAGTGATGTAATCTCTCTTTGACCGCAGCTCAGCCGTCAGCTCGGATCAACCTACTTTAATCATGGAAATGAATGTCTAGAGCAGGGGCATCGTTCCCATGCAGTGGATCTGCGAAGCAATAGGCAGGTTGGATAAAAGTGGTCGTTAGCTAGCAATACATGCCATTCCTAGATGATCCATAAAGTAATTATACATTGACCCTTTCATTCATGCAAACGTAGCTGTGTTACACAACACGACCCTCTGCATCTTGCTCTGCCAGGGTCACCTACTTGACAATGAACAAAGACCACTCTTCATATAGCATCACGCTTACAAACATAAAGGTGCCTAGCTAATCTCCAAACTTTACAATGAAACGTGGGGGTTTTTATTAGAGCAATGTGCTCGGCTTGGCCAACAACACCTTGTGTGAAAGTTTCACGTTCAATGTCGCAACTGGCAAAAATATTTTCGGTCGTCGTCGTCGAAGAGGTCGACCCCCAGATCAATTTGGCTGGTGGCGACGTGTGCGAAAGATCTGAAGATCGCCCACGATGAACTTCATACTTTGACACAAGATTCCTTTGACCCCGACAAGCACGTTGATCTGGTAAGGGCCCACGTTTGTTGCTTGAAAAGTTGGAGATACAGGCACCTTGTGTTTGTAGCGTGATTGTATAAGAGTGGTCTTTGTTTAATGTAAAGTAGTATTTTTTTTGTATTGATAATGGTTTATTAAAAGTAATTGGAGCTGCTAAAAGAGGCCGCTACCAAGAACAAGTTGGGTCTGAAAACCGGGAGTGAGAAGAAACAAAGTATAAATAACTAAAGATGGGTCACGAAGACCAAACAAGAGGGAGAGAGAGGGAGGAAGACAAGGCAAGGTTGGGTTAGAAAACCCAAAACTAGGTTTCCATAGCATCAACAGGAGGGTCATAGCGGATGATGATGGTGGTGATGTGTCCATGCTGGTGGGTTTGCTATCTAGGGAGGAGGAGTCGTATTGATGCTGGTGGGTTTACTCTCAAAGGGAAGGAGGGGTAGTATTGAGGTCTGTAACTGGATCATGCGGTTATCATTGGGCAAGGGGTTATCCCTAAGTAGTAAGTTTGGCAGTGGAGTGAAATTGAACGAGGATTGTTGGGGTGGTGATGTCGGCGATCGTTTACGTTTGGAGTGGACTTGAGTTGGAGTTGCGGGAAGTCGGAGTAACGGCAGCGATTGTAGTAGGCGCTTGCGTATCAATGGGAGCGGGAGCAGATTTAACACCATTGCGAATATGACAGTCTTTACGTAAATGTCCTGTTTCTTGACAATAACAACGTGGTTTTGGTCGATAAGGGCATTATGGGCGTGTGTGTCCAGGTTCATGGCAATAACGGCAATGCAGTGGCATTTTCGACCACGTGGCATGCACGCGAGTGGGATAGGTTCCATCTTTTCGGGAGACTGGGATTGAATGAGATAATTGCTGAGGTTGTACATGAAAAGTTTTGACGGGGTGTAGTTCTTGGGGTTAGTGTTGAGATATACAAAGCCTTTGCCGGTGGTAGTGTTGTTTCAAGATAAATGCCAAGCTCAAGGATATTGCCGAAGGTTTCAAAGCGTCAATGAGGGCTTGCGTTAGAGTTGTACGGTTGTAAAGTGGGATGTGCGTGAGATTGACCTTGACTACCTCCCATTCTTCAGGAATAGGAAGGGATCCAAACAGCTGCGTACCATCTTTCATGGTGATGGGTTCATGCTTGAGTTTGTCAACGGTTCTTGATCATCAAATGTAACTTCTGCGGTGGTGTGCTTCCGGGATCTGTGGATGATGGCGCCATAGGCAGCATCCTTGAGAGGTGATTCATAGAGTGCTAGTCAAGTGTTCATCGCTTATTGCTGTACGAGATAAGTCAAGAAGTGAATGGGGGTGTTCTGCACGTCGCCATATTTGCCGAGTGTTGGTCTTTTCATGTTGATAAAGGGTTACCACTTCATTATCGTGAAAAAGTGAGGTGTATGTGCGAGGTTTATCAGGGGTCCTTTTTTTTTTTTTTTTTTGTGTGTGTGTGTGCGCGCG